GGAGTAGACTAGGCGCTGGGGAAGGAACTCCAAAGACAGCTCCCCCCTCCTCCTTGGAAGCAGAGGCTGTCTTTTGTCCATGAAGACAACTCTAGCGATGGTCTCCCACCTCCAAAGGACACGCACCTTGAATTGGTTTTCCATGAGTGAGAATGGCTGCCACGGAAATCTTCGCAATCTCTCTTAAGGGTTTTCACTCAGTGCATCCAAGGAGGGGGATTAGTGGAGCGATTTATGTTCATCGAGTGATGTTAACGATGACTCATGTTACTATTGTACTTTAAGGTTCGCAAAGCCCTTTTCTTACAACCATGTGGGAGGCAGGTAGAGCAAATATTCTTATGCCCATCTTACAACCGAGAAAGCTGAGCTAAGTACTTTGCTGAGGGTGCCGTGGCTAGTGTCTGCCATGGTCTCCGATCCCAGGCTCTAGAACAGGCCAGTGCCCACGCTCTCTAACCACCTTGGGTTTGTCTTGTATTTACTCTGGATATATTTATTCTGCATAGACAAATATCCAAAGGTCGTCTTCCCCATAGAACGTAAACTCCTTGAAGGCAGGAGTTACTTTTTTTTTGTCTTTGTAACCCCAGTGCTTAGCACAGGCACGTAGTAGGGGCTTAATAAATGCTTATTAGTTGATTGACTGATCTAGTCCAAGCCCCTCATTTTATAGATGAGAAAATGGAGTCCCCAGTAGGTTAAATGACTTTTACAAGGTCATGCAGGTAGTAAGTAGGACCTGGAGAGGCTGCCTGACTTGCCCACAGTCACCCAGGTAGTAAATGGGATTGTCTGTTCAGAGCTAGAAGAGACCTCAGAGACCAAATAGTCCAACCCTCTTATGTTACAGATGAGGAAACTGAGGTAGATATGATTTACCTAAGGTCACCAGGTAGTCAAGGCAGAGCTGGGATTGGACCCCCGGTCTTCCGGCTCTAAGATTATCCCTCTTTCTGTCTTTCATTCTCTCCTCCCACCCCACGGTGGTGCCTCCAACCACAGCAGGGCCCAGATTTGGACCCAAGGACTCCGATTTTAAGTCTCCAAGGTTCTTACCAATCCATCAATCAGAACGTGTAGCATGCACCCAGGACCTTGGCCTTATCATCCAGTCCAGCCCAGTGTGCCCAGTGCCAGCATTCTGGCTGAGTAGCCCAGCCACCCTCACGGTCACCTCCCCCGGGAATCATGCCTCCCTGGCTTTCAGATCCACTGCTTTCTTTCAGTGGTGGAAGCAGCTGCATGGGCAGCCCAAGTCAGATGCCATGCTGCCTTTTATTTTTCTTTTGGTGGTACCATGAAATGAGCAGGCCATGGGGAGCTCAGCTGGGAGCTGAGACTAAATAATGTGCACCCCCATTAAGCATGTCAGTGGGCAGGGGCAGCTAGGTGGTGCAGTGAAAAGAGTTCTGGCCTTGGAGTCAGGAGGACCTGAGTTCAAATCTGGCCTCAGATACTTCACATTTCCTAGCTGTGTGACCCTGGGCAAGTCACTTACCCCAATTGCCTCACAAAAAAAAAAAAACTCAAAAAAAAGAATGTCAGTGGGCGACAGCCAAGCCTGCTTCCAACAGGATTTCATTCCTTGAGCATCTTTTCCCCCAGTTCTCCATGTGATCCTCCTTCTTAAGAAGCACTGGTGTTAGTGAGTTAGCATAAGGAAGACCTGGGTTTAAATTCTGCCTTTGATACTTAGGGCCTGTGTCATCACGGGCAAATCTGTTTCCTTATCTGTCACATGAGAAAAAATACCGCAGCAAGGTTGCAGGAGCGTTGTGGGGATGACATGAGGTCATGTATGTAAGGTGCGATAGATGTGTGAGCTACCACTGTTCTATCATTTAACCATTTCCTGCTTGAGGTTTTCTCAGATTGTTGTTACTGGGCTGCTTTGTGGTCAGTTGTAATAGAGGGGCAGCTAGGTGGCATAGTGGATAGGGCACTGGGCTTGGAATCAGGAAGACTCATCTTCCCAAGTTCAAATCCTGCCTCAGATACTTATGAGCTGTATGACCCTGAGCAAGTCACTTCACCCTGTTCACCTCAGCTTCCTCATCTGTCAAATGAGCTGGAGAAGGAAAATGGCAAACCACTTCAAGGAAACTCTGCCGAGAAAACCCCTCCAAATGGGGTCACAAGTCAGACACAAATATAGTTATTAATGTCATCTCTCCCTCCCTGTCTATGAGTTCTGTGAGGGCAGGGACTGAACCTTAATTTAACCTTCATCGTTCTACAGGACCCTCTTAAGAAATGATCATTTTGGGGCAGCTAGGTAGCGCAGTGGATAGAGCATTGGCCCTGAAGTCAGGAGGACCTGAGTTCAAACTCAGCCTCAGACCAACTGCTTGGCACTTACTAGCTGTGTGACCCTGGGCAAGTCACTTAACCCCAATTGCCTAAAAAATTTTTTAAAAAAAGAAATGATCATTTTGGTTGCTTGGGTAGGGCTAGGATTCCATGAGCTTGAAGGTCACTCCCAAGTCTAGAATCCAGGCTTTCCCTCCTGAGGTTGGCTTCGCCTTTAAGGACAGGCCTAGTTTCTTAAGGCTGGGGAGGGAGTTAAACAGAAACGCTATTTCCCAGGCTATGATTTTGTATGTCAAGCTTGAGTTCTGGGCAATTATTTCATGGTTGACTTGTCAAGTTGCTAAAGTGGTGGTTGCAGTGAGGAAAGCTGGCAGCGGGTCCCCTCCCAGGCGGCAGTGGCTGTTGCTAATAATAAGTTAGACGGCTCAGCAAGAGAGTTGCCGTGTTATGTTCCTGTTTGGAAAACCAGTCTGGTGTCCTGGCTTTCCCGGCCGCCAAAAGTGGGGGAGGGGACACCCCTTCCTCCCTTCTCGAGGAGACCTCGAGCTGTGCTCTGTTGTCCCGGACCCAGGCTGGCTAGCTGGGGTGTCTCACTGGGCTGTGCCCATGTGGCCTCTACCGATTGGGATTTTAGCTGGGTCCCAGAGGCAGAATCTACCAGCCCAAGCCGTCCCGCTTACTCACCGTGCTTCTGAATGGAAAATGAGGCTCGTTCTTATGGGAAAACAATAACTGCCTGCTTGGAAAGCCAACTGAGTCACAGAGAAGTGGCCGCAGGCCCAGCCGAGGCTGCCTTGTTAACTTTGGCACTGGGGACTCGGCCATCTGCTTCTAGATCACGGCCTTTGTGGATTTTGAGAGGCAGCCTGCCATTAAGGAGAGAATGTGCTTTTGGACTTAGGAAGACCTGGAGCTACACCGGCATTGTGTTCGTAGGCGAATCACTTCACCTTGTCTGGGCCTCAACGCTCTCATCTGTAAAACTGGGGGAGGGGCTGACTCAGGGACCTCAAAGGTCCCCTCCAGCTCGACATCTACAATTCTGAGTTATTGGGGGCTTTCAGCACCAGCCTGAGACGGTCCAGATGGAGCTGGGCTTTTTGCTAAGGCACGCTCCTGTGGGACTGAGGGTAAGGAGAGGGTCTCTTCCAGAGAGCACCATGGCACTGGAATGGAAGGGACCTTGGAGATCACAGAAGAGCTAGCTAGCATTTATATGGTGCTTGAAGATTTGCAAAGATATGTTACCTCACTTAATCCTCACAGCCCTGTGAGGTAGGTGCTATTTTTTTTAACAAGTGAAGAAACTGAGGCTGAGGTCAGGTGACTTGGAAGGCAGGGGGTGTCACACAGCTAGTAAGTGGCTGAACTCAGGTCTTCCTGAATCCACTGCGCTCTCTCCACCATGCCACCTCCCTAAGTCATAGCTCTAGAGCGGTGAAGGACCTCAGAAGTCACCCAGTCCACTACCACCCTTTACATTTTAGGAAACTGAGGTCCACAGAGGCCCAAGCTCATATAGGTAGTGTCAGAGGTGAGATCTGAACTCAGGACCTTGCCTCAAAGGTCAATGGTCTATCTACTGTACCATGCTGCTTCCTTCCCCCAAACCAGCTTCCCTTCCCTTTCTACCTTCCAGAAACTCATTAATTTATCTACATTTGTCTAGCGCAGGGATGGGGAATCTGCAGCCTCTGAGGCCACATGTGGCCCTCTAGGTCCTTGGGTGTGACCTTTTGACTGTGTCCAAGTTTTACAGAACAAATCCTTTCATTAAGGGGATTTGTTCTAAGGGCCACACTTGAGGACCTAGAGGGCCACATGTGGCCTCAGAGGCCACAGGTTCCCCACCCCTGGTAGTGGATATCACTGATAATAGAAGGTAAACCTCTGGAGGGCAGCAACTGTTTCTGCTTTTGTCTTTGTGTCCCCAGCCCCCAGCTCAGTGCCTTGCACCTAGTAGGTGCTTAATAAATGCTTATTGGTTGATTGCATGATTGAGCTTCTGATTTGCAAGAACAGCTCATCTGGAGGGGAGGGGAGGCCTCTGGCTTGATTGTCCCTGGAGCCACCTACTTCCCCATTTCCTTGCCCTCTTCCCCTGGACATTACAAAGGTAGCACCAGGGATGTCTGGGATAATCCCTGGCATTCCTTCAAGAAGGGAAGAAGCTGGTTTGGGGGTTTTCCATCTGGATGAGATCCCAAATAGTACATGACATCACCCCCTGAACCCCCTGGCCCTGTTGTAAGCCTAAACCTTTGTCCATGCTAGCTGTCTTCATGTAGGCTTTCTCCCAGCAGGTTGGGCTAATGGCTTTGGCTCCCTGAGACAGCCTGGAGCCTTGCTGTAGCCACCTACCCCCAAAGGGATCACTGCTTGGCCCAGAATGAGCTGGCTGCCCAGAGCTCTGGCCTCCTGAGAGCCTCCCCCTCCTCAGCTCTGCCTTAGGACTGGCCAATATCCTCAAGTGTTTGGTTTTTTTTTTTCAAGTAGAATATTTTGGTCTTCAAGCCCAGCAAAGACAAAATCTAATTATCCTTTCTCATGTTTCAAATTAATTCCGTCTCTGTCCAGCGTCTGCTGCTCTTTGTTGCTGGGGGGAGGAGAAAAGATTTTCTTAGACAGTTTCACTGACCTCTCTGTTTCTCTCTCCCTTTTCTCCCCTCCCCTCTTTTGTCTTACAGTCTGCAGAATTCTTCGAGATGTTGGAGAAGATGCAAGTAAGTGTCCCAGTCATGGGGTTGTCCCTCCCTTGCCCGCCATTAAGAAGGCCAGCTCCTTGGGCACAGAGATGGTTTTTTTTTTGGGGGGGGGTACTTGTATGCCCATCACCTAGCTCAGTATTAAGCACCTAGTGAGTGCTTAATAGATACTTAATGGACTGATTGATGAGGACACTGGGCCTCAGAGCAGAGAGAGTTCTGACAGACAGATACAGCAACAACATGGGACCCACCAGTATTGAGAAGCTCACCAGTGTGCCCCCTAGTGGTGGGTTATGTGGATCCAGGATCCAGCAAAAAAAAGAGACCTATGCTTGAGTTACTTGCAGCCCTGCCATTCATTGGGCACCTTTCATACTTAATGGAAGTCAGTGTACTTAGCAGGTAAAGAGCTGGACTTGGGTTATTGGGTCTGATGGAAGCATCAGATCCTAGATGCAGAGCTGGAAGGGACCTTGGAAATCATCCAGTCCAATCCAGCTGAAATGACCCAGGTAGTAAGAGGTAGAGTGGGATTCGAATCCGGGTCCCCTGACTCCACATCAGGAGGACCTGGGTTCAAATCCTACCTCAGATACTTACTTGCTATGTGACCCAGGGCAAGTAAGTCATTTAACCGCTCCCATCCTCAGTTTCCTCATCTGTAAAATAAGAAAAACAGCCCTTATCTTACAGAGTTGTGGGAATCAAATGAGATAATGTGGAAAGCATTTTGAAAGCCTTAAGGTGCTATCTAAATATTTCTTATAAGTATTATTCTGGGATAGCTGGGGAAGATGCCTTATATTTATTTGCGTGTTCCAGGATACATTCATTCTTCTTCATTGAGGAATGAAAAAAAACCCTCTCTGCTAAAGGCATGATGGTCTTTTAGTCCAAAAGTCTCAAAATCTGAGAATGTCACAGCTATAAGTGACCTTACAGCACATCTGGTCCAACCTCCTCATTTTACAGAGGAGGAAACTGAGGCCCATAGTCATGTAAGAAGCAGCATGGTATTGTAGAAAGAGCCCTGATTTGGAGCCAGAAGACTTGGGTTCAAATCCTGCCTCTGATGCTTACTACCTGAAGGCACTTGGATTTCTTAGGCCTTAAAAATGAGGGAGTTGGCCTAGGCCTTGCCTAAGGTCTCTTACAACTGTGACAGAGATTCTTAAATGAGGCAACCTCTCAGGATCCCTCCAGCTCTTAAGTCATGACTCTAGTCCATGGCAAAGCTTGGACTAGTAGCCATGTCTTTCTAGCTTCCATGTTGGAATCTAGGTGAAAAAATATAATAATAATGATGATGACAATGATGGTGATGGTGATGATGATGATGACGGTGATGATGACAATGATGGTGATGATGACAATGATGGTGATGATGATAATGATGGTGATGATGATGATGGTGATGGTGATGATGACAATGATGGTGATGATGATGATGGTGATGGTGATGATGACAATGATGGTGATGATGACAATGATGGTGATGATGATGATGGTGATGGTGATGATGACAATGATGGTGATGATGATGATGATGATGGTGATGATGACAATGATGGTGATGATGGTGATGGTGATGATGACAGTGATGATGATAGTGATGACGATCGTGATGATGATGATGATGGTGGTGGTGATGATAGCTAATATTTATGTAGTGATCACTATGTGTCAGGCATGATGCAGAGTGCTTTTCAATTATTATCTCATTTGATCTTCACAACAACCCTGAGAAGTAGGTACTATTATTATCCCCATTTTACAGAAGAGGAAACTGAGGCAGACAGTGGTCAAGTGACTTTCTTAGAGTCACACAGCTAGTAAGTGTCATAGGCCAGATTTGAACTCAGGTCTTCCTGACTCCAGACTCAGTGCTCTATCCACATATGATATATCCCTGCTCTTGAATTTATAGCTCACTGGGGAGATAAGATTTAAGAACATGACACATCTCGTGAGAGCAATACAAGGAACCGTAATAATAATAAATAATAGCAATATTGATGATGATGATGATGATGATGATGATGATGATAAAGAGAGGCAGTGTAGCCTAATGGATAGGGACCTGGGCTCAGAGAGGAAAGTCTTGAATTCCAGTCCCATTTCTGGTGCATTTGGGTATGTGACCCTGGGCAAAGCTCTAAGAACCATTTTAGAGCCTGTACTGATTGGCATTATTAGAGGGAATTCCTTACACCAAGGAAATGCTCAATCTGGTCCATTTTATAGCTTTCTAAAGTTGGCAAAGATTTATTTCATTGGTTGCTCACAAGGACCCTGTGAAGTGGATAACTTCATCCCCATTTCATACCTAAGGAAACTGAGGCTAAAGGTCATCCCAAGTGCTAGACTCTATTTAGATTGTGTTACTCTGGAGAAGTGAAAGTTTGGCTTGGATTGGGCTCAGGAAAAGCTTCAAGAGGGACATTGGAGCTGGAAGGAAGGGCAGGGTTTGGACTGGCTTGGCAAATACTGATATACCACCACTTTTGCCTATTCAGAAGGTCCAAGGGGTTATGACTAACACAAGGCAAGGGTGACCGACCTCTGACTCAGGTCACTTCTTTACCTGCCTGGGACAATGGCTCTGGCTCTGCCACCACCGCGAAGCAGGCCTGTGCTGGGCTGGAGGGCCTTTTCTGACCCGAAGCAACACCTGTTGGGGAGGAAGGGCTCTCCCACACACTCTTGGCCACTATCAAAGGAAGAGGTAGCCTTCTGATTGCCTTATCTGAGGCCAATCAGCTTGGTAAAGTGACTAGAGAGATAGAGGCACTTTTTTTCTCAGTGCCTCAGTTTCCTCAGCTGTAAAATGAAGGGACTGGCCTAGAAGCCCTTCCAACTCTCAATCTATGATCCTCCCTCCCTGTAGTTACTTCCCAACCCTCACCCCATACACACACACACACACACACACACACACACACACACACACACCCCTGCAGAGCTACCTGTGAACCTCAATGCATGGAAACTCAATCATAGTGATGCCTGGCACCACTGGGCAATGAGCTGTTGTCCCTCATTCTAGAAACACTCATTGAGCATCTTAGATATGGAGGTGCTGGGAGGGAGATTCAGAGTAGGACACCCCTCCAGCCTCAGGGACCTCAATCTCATAGGAGGCACCTACATGAGCCACTACAATACAGGAGGGAAGGTGGATGTGGGGGGAGAATCACAGAGGGATGAACAGTTAGTTTGGCATGGGAAGAGACCGCTTCCTCCTGGACTTCCCGGAGCCCAGGTTGGCAGGGAGAGAAGGAGTGCGCCTCCCTTTGGGAACGTGCCACACCCACCACCTAAAGGTTAAAGTTTTGTTTGTTCTTTATGATGGCAGATGAATAAACACACTAATGGACAGGAGGACATTTATTAAAGGAAAACCCTGTACCAGCACTGTATTAGGTACTGAGGATTCTGATACAAACACAAGACCATTCCTGCCCTCAAGGAGTTTACATTCTCCTAGGGTGAGACACACGTGGGGGAGTGGCTTTTAGGGAAGGGCATTATGGTCTGGGAAGGCCCAGGGAGGCTGAGCGTAGTCAAATTGTGTCTAGTTTTAGAAATAAGCACACTCCTAATTTTAGTCACCCTCACTGATATCCAACACAGAGTTACAGGGAGAAAAGACTTGGAGTCCCTTTTAAAAGTCTAGACCTTTTCCGGGGTAGTGAGGTGGCACAGTGGATAGAGCCCTGGGCTTGGAATTAGGAAGACTGGTCTTCATGTGTTTAAATGCAACTTCAGACACTTAAAGCTGTGTGACCCTGGGCAAGTCACTTAGCCCTGTTTGCCTCAGTTTCTTCATCTGTAAAATGATCTGGGGAAGGAAATGGTAAACCACTCCAGGATCTTTGCCAAGAAAATCCCAAATGGGTCACCAAGAGTCAGACACTACTGAAAAGACTGAACAACAAAAGGCCTTCTTCTGCTCCAGTGTTAGTCCCCTGTGGTGATTGGTGGGGTTTTAATGAGAGTCTCAAGGGCCAGCATGATCCTTCCTCATCAAAGAAAGATCTGGAGACATGGGGAGGTACTCCAGGACCCAGAGAACAGACTGATTCACTTTAGAAACCTTTTTGGTGAGGGCTAAAACAAAAAGGGCAGCTGATTACTAATCTGCCTAATCAAGAAATCCAACTAACCAACGCCACTTGATTCCTAAGCGTTCCAGGAAATTGGGGTCTTACAGTAATTAAAAAGTGGCCACATTTCCACTTAATGATTAACATGGAGCTCTAGGAACAAAGGAGCCTTGATTTAGAGCTGAAAGACACCTTGGAGGCCATCAAGCACAACCCCTGCATTTTACAGATGGGGAAAATGAGTCACACGGAAATTAAGGGGCTTGTCTAGATTCACCCAGCCAGTGTATGAGGCAGGATTTGAATCCAAGTCTCCTTAATTCTGATTATAGAGCCTTATCTGTCACCCCTGGGTAGGGGCAAGGAGGTAGAGCTGGGGAACAGGGCTGAACCAAAGTCAGCTCAGTTCCTGATATCAGACCTGATGCAGACCCCCCTTGGCATTTGCCTGGTTACCCATGCCCTCTCCCTGCCCTGGTCCTACCATGACTCTGCAGAGCAGAAAGCAGGCATCTCCATGGAGAATTCCCATAAAAGGCTCTGGCTGCTTCCTAACTCTCCACTCCCATTGCTGCAGGAGGTCTGGGTGAGTCGGGGTGAGGGAGGCAGCCCTGGTCCCCACTGCTCTCTGCACATCCAGGCCAGTATAGAATTGGTTTGGAACATTTCATTCTCTGGGGCTTGAGAACTGGAAGGGGCCTTGGAAATCACTGAGTCTAACCCCCTTGCTTTATAGTGGTGGAAGCCTGAGCTCAGAGAATGGATTACAAACTCCTTGGAGGCAGGGATTTCTATTAGATTACAAATACCTTGAGGGCAGGCACTGTCATTGGCCTCCCTTTTTAACTCTAGTGATTGGCACAGTGACCGGCACATAGAACTTAATAAATGTTTATTGATTGATTGATCAACTTGCCCACGATCACACTGATAATAATTTAGCAAGAAAGGAGATTTGAACTCTGATCCAGATGCGGTATGATAACATGAAATGGAGGCTGACTCTAGAGTCAGAAGAGCCGGCTTCAAATACTAACTCTGCCACTTGCTACCTGTCTGGCCTTGGGCGAGTCAGTATCACTGACCCTCAGTTGCCTCATCTGTAAATGGGGATAATAATAAGTCCTCCCAGGGTTGTGGTGAAGTCCAACTGTCACAAGGTATATAAAGCACTTTGTAAACCATAAAGTTCAATATAAATTTTCTCTGAACCTCAGTTTCTTCATCTGTAAAAGAGAGGGACTGGCTGAGATGGCTTCTGCAATCCCTTCCGGGCTCTAGGTCTGTGAGCTGTGGATCAGGGTGCCTTCCGCTCCCATCCCAGGGCCCCCCAGATTTCACAGAGGAGGAGACTTGCAGAGCCACACAACTAGTGAGTTACAGAGCTCAGAGGAGGCTCCTGATGCCGAGTCCAGGACCCTTTCCACTATCCCTTATTACTGTTCCCAATAATCATCAGAGAGCTCAGATTCATGATTCACAGAGCTAGCTGGGTGAGCAGGCAGCGGTTCATTCTTTTTAATAGGCAGAAAATCTGATAACAACCCAAGCAGAGATGCCTAGGAAAAATAATTCCCTCCATCTGCAGAAAGATATGTGATTTTCAAAGTGGTTTCATGTCTATTAATTCACTTGAGTCCTATGCCAGCCCTAGGAGGTAGGCGGGGAAGGGGTTATTTAGCCCTGTCACAGGGGAGGCAATAAATGCTCAGCTGGAAAAGTACTGGGTTTGTAGCCAGACGACCAAAGTTCAAATCCTGATTGCCATTTGCTAACCATGTGACCTTGGACAAGTCATTGCAAACCTCTGAACCTCAGCTTCATTCTCTCCCCAAAAATGGGGCTGGGCTGCATGACCTCTAAGAGCTCTCTGTCTCTAAATCTACGATCCAGTGGTTTGCCCAAGGTCACGCATACAACTAGCCAGTGACAGCTACAATACGAATCCAGCTGTCCAGACTCCCAGCCACACAGCCTTTGTCCTCTAGCACAGTGCCTGGCCTAGTTGGTGCTGAATTAATTGGTTTAAATTGATTAGATGGCTGTGCTGCTCCATTTGGGTCCTCAAACAAAGATTCAGCTCTAGAGAGCTAGCTGCCAGAGGGACATGCTGATGATTCGCCTTCCTCTAGCACTTTGCAATAACAAAACTTTTTTTAAACAAAATTAATTATGCTTTATTTTAACATTCATTTTTTAAAAAGTGATGGATTCCCAATTCTCTCTGCTCCTTCAGTCCCAAGCAATTATGCTATCAATCATACATGTGAAGTCCTGCAAAGCATATATCCAGGTTAGCCATCAGTAACAAAGTTTGTGATGGTTTCTACACTTTCGTTGTCATTCCAGGGCATCAAGTTGGAGGAGCAGAAACCAGGACCCCAGAAAAACAAGGTGAGCTAAGTGGGGGAGGTGACATCCACATGGGTCCACGAGGGGCTCAGATCAGAGTCGGTGGAGAATGATTTTCTCAACTGGGCAGAGAGAAGAGTAATTCTCAGCAGGGACATCACAGGAGCATTTGGGCTCTGACTGACGGAAAATCAAGCCCTTGTTGTACAATTTTCCATCTCCAACCTGCTTGGCCTTTAGATTTTCACCAAGAGCCATTTAAGTGACTGGCCTTGTCAGTCTGGTGCGTTCCTAAGCAGCTGAGTGAGGGTGATGGTGGGGGAATGTGGATTTGATGTGGCTCTAGGGACCAGAGGGCAAATGGGAAACTGAGGCTGTGGTTGTAGCACCTTGCTTCTCCTTGACCAGGCAACCTCTTTCCCTCCTGTCCCCACTTCTTGGCACCCTCTGTCAGCTACAGAGAGCAACTTCTCATTTGTAGGGGTCAAGAGGCAGTTCCTATCTCTAGGAGTCAGCCCTTGTCTGGGAGGATCTGAGCCTGATTACCAGTTTTAGCCATCACCTGTAGGAGTCTGGTTCAGCTGGTATCTTAACAGGGTATAGGATTTACTCCTACTACAGGTTCCTGGGGTGAGGTTACCTCAACAGAGGCTTGACTTCAACTCCTCCCGCCCCTTTATGACGCTTCATTAATCTCCAATCTGTGGATAGATTTCCATTCTATGGGGCATAGAGTCAACTACCATCTACAGGAAACTGGGGCAGCTGGGTGGTACAGTGGATAGAGTGATGGGCGGGGAGTCAGGAAGACCTGAGTTCAAATCCAACCTCAGAAACCTACTAGTTGTATCTTTAGCAACTATTCCAAAAGTCATAGCCTAGGCCTCATTTCCTGCAGAGAGAAGGCTGATTACATCCCAGTGACAAAGCCATGAAGAATTATAAAATTATGTAAAGGTCATCCCTGGCAGAGTCACTTAACATCTGTTAGAGTTTCCTCAAATGAAAAATGGGAATGATTTACTAGCACACACCTCCTAGGGTTGTTGTGAAAATCCAATAAGATAATAATAATAATAGCAGTGCCTGGCACATAGTAAGCCCTATATAAATGTTGGCTATTATTATTATTTAGCCCATAACAGTAAAAGAAGGAAAATATAAGAAATTTGGCCTCAGCACCCTCTATTAGTACCTACCCATTAGTCTGTGAGTCAGACAACAAACACCGATGGATATGCTCCCTTCTGCTCCCTCTCAACCCACCCCAAGGCACAGAGCCTGGAACTATTTTTTGGCCCATTGCTCCTGGAATCCTCCTTTGCCAGGCTATCCACAGGGCAATTGGGAAATTACAGTCATAAAGAAATAAAGGTCTCATATATCTCAAAATATTCATGGTAGAGAAAGAAAGAAAAAAAGAAAGAAAGAAAGAAAGAGAGAGAGAGAGAGAGAGAGAGAGAGAGAGAGAGAGAGAGAGAGAGAGAGAGAGAGAGAGAGAAAAGAAAGAAAGAAAGAAAGGAAGGAAGGAAGGAAGGAAGGAAGGAAGGAAGGAAGGAAGGAAGGAAGGAAGGAGAGAAAGAATAAAAGAAAGAAAAGAAGGAAGGAAGAGAAAAGAAAAAAGAAACTATGAGGGGCAGCTAGGTGGCGCAGCAGATTAGAGCTCTGGCCTTGGAGTCAGGAGGACCTGAGTTCAAACTCAGCCTCAGACACTTGACACTTACTAGCTGTGTGACCCTGGGCAAGTCACTTAACCCTGATTGCCAAAACAAAACAAAACAAAACAAAAAACTGTGTGTGACCATTGACTGGTGAGTGTCTGAACAAAATTGTGGCACATAAATGTATTTGGGAATCACTGCACCACAAGAAAGTGATGCATTTGAAGAGTTCAGAGACATTTGGCCAAGACCTTTTTGAACTGACACTCAGTAGAGTAGGAAGTGAATCAAGAGAATGATGAACAAAATAACTTCAGTTGTGTAGGAAAGGAGAGCCATCAGACCAAGCTGAATCCTGGCCCGTTGCCATTATCACCGATGGCTCAGAGAAGAGATAAAGAAATACACCTTCTGCCTTTACCTAGAGAAGTTGTCAGCTGTCTCTGATGGCAGTTGGCTTGGTTTCAGTGTTTTTCTTTGGGAAAGGGAAGGCTCGCTGGCTCAAAAGGAGGTCTGTCTAGACATGGCAATGATGTGAAAGCAAACAATATCAATAAAACTCTTTAAAACTCAAAAATAATTAGAGGCATAAGGAGCTCTTTCATGTACCATCAGGGAATAACAGCAGTGACTTCTGATTTGTCTTTTAGGATGACTACATCCCATATCCCAGCATTGATGAGGTGAGTATGAGCCTCTTTACCAGCTAAACTGCAGATTGCTCTGTAGAGAATCATCTGGGATAATGGAAGGAGAGAAAAGTCATCCCTAGCGATGATTCTATGAGAAGGGTGGTCTCCGGGCAAAGTATCTTGGGACTGGGAGTTGGGAGACCTGGATTTTAGTCCTGTTTCTATCACTGACATGCCCTGGAACCTTTGGTCAGTCACTTTCTGGACCTCAGTTTCCTTATTTGTAAAAAGGGATTGATAATCCATAATCATTCTAAGGATACCCTGGGTAGTTGTGTCCAGAGAGTGGGGAAAAGCTATTAGAAAGGATAAGTAAACCCTCTCACTCACAAATGCCCCCATCCCCTAGTCCTTGGGATAGTGAAAAGAGCACTGATTTTGTAGCTATAGGACTGGCCTTACCTCTTACTAACTGTGTGACCTTGGGCAGTCATCTAAACTCCCTGGGCCTCAGTTTCTTCATCTGTAAAATGAGAGAATTAGACTAGAGGGTTACTGAGGCCCTTCAGGCCCCGAGTCTATGAAGTCTCTCAGATTTGTCCTCTGTCGCTTCAGTCTTCAGTTGCTAAACCTGAAGCCCTCCTATTGCAACAGGGCATCCAGAGGGAACTAATATGGGCCTTCCCCATTGCTTCCAGATTGTGGAAAAAGGAGGCCCTTATCCACTGGTCATCCTGCCTCAGTTCGGGGGTTACTGGATCGAAGACCCAGAAAACATCGGCACGCCGACATCGTCTGACAGCAGCATCTTTGAGGAGGAGGAGGAGAACCTCAGCCCCGGCATGTTTGGCTACAGGCTGGAGTGCAAGGGTGAAGCTCGGGCGTACAGGAAATACTTCCTAGGGAAGGTGAGCGGGAGAACCCCCAGCCCCCTGCCATAGACCCTTCTTCTTGTTCCCTCCATCCCCTCTGCCCTCCTGCCAGTCCTTTTCTCCTCCTCCCCTTCTCCTTCTCTTCCCTTTCCCAATTTCCTTCTCTGTCTCCTTTCTTAGAACTCTCCAAGGTCATGGCTGGTGAACAGAGGTGAGCTGGAGCCAGCTCATACTATCTCCCAAGAGCTGGCTGTTAAATTTCCACTGTGAGATTTTATGCCTGCTGTGGAAATCCCCAAAGGTTACACATTAGGGCTTTGTTTTTGTTTTGTTGATGGTCTAAATTTCAGATTCAATTTAAAAGTGTGTACTACTATACATTCCCCCCCACACCCCCTCAGGGAGCTGGTTATTAAACATTTACCAGCATACCGTGGCTGGTGACAGTGCTTCAAAGAGGAGTGACTCACCCTCCACAGAGGGAGAGGGTCAGAATCCATGTTTATGTCTCCGTCCCTATCATTGTGTTATAGAGAAGCAACTTGATTGGATGGTCAACCTAAGGAAAAGGATTGTTTAGAAAGTAGCAGCATCAGGAAAAAAAAAATTAATTGTGTAAAAGATTATAAAAACAATGGGAAGAAAAGGAAAAAAAAGCAAACCACTTGGGTTATTCAGTGTGTAGGGCTATCTATACCTCAACCTCTTCCCTTCAGCACAAGCATTTGGGAGTTGACTGCCGGGTGAAGCCTCCTTCACTAGGATCTCACAGGTTTGGTGTCCAGTGGGAGGACCCACCCTGATTCCTTTTTTTGATCAGCTGTTATTGCAGGATTACGGGCACTCAGAGTTCAAAAAGACCACAGGCTACTGTAGAATCTTCCTGGGCCTCAGTTTCCCTCTTTGAAAATGACCAGATGGCCTCTGACGTCCCTTCTTGCTCTCAATCTATGATTCTGGGAAATTAGTTGTAGCCATAGCGGCTCACTTTCACGCCATTTTGTTTTAAAAGTGAGGCTTCTAAATTGGGTCATGGAGTTAGCAGAGGGTGCCTCATGGCCAGGGTAAGTCAGGTCCCCTGACTGAGCCTTAGTTTCCAAGTCTGGAGGAAGGGCCCCAGAATGTTGAGAGACCTGGAGACTCCACCTGGTGAGGATGAGCTGAAGGGCCTGAGGACATTTAGCCTGGTGACTCTGGGGGTATGGGAAAGGGCTTTCATCTGTCTGCAAAGAGACACTCTACATCTCCTACTCAGCCCCAGGATACAGAGTGGGAGGTGGAAAGAGGGAGGCTTGAGTGCCATGTGAGAAGCAACATGGCACAGTGGAAAGTGTGCTGGATTAGGAGTCAAGGGACCTGGGTTCAAAATCTGTGATCCCAAGGAAGAACAGCAGAATAGGCCACCTTGGGAGGTGGGGTGGTGGAGAAGAAGTGCTTTTGCTGGAAGTCAGGGAGGCTGTTAGCTGCTTGGCAGGGCTCTTAGAAAGGGAATCCTGAGTAAGCTGGGGGCTCAGACTTCTGGCCTCCAGGTCCCCCCATCTCTGAGGGTCTGTGATCCCTCATCTATAACACCTCACCACACTACCTGCCTTGCATAAGACTTCAGAGGGTTGTTATTGTCACCAGAGTAACTGACATACTTGCGTGCACCCCTCTTTTATGTTCCTTTCCCTTGCTGATTGGAGTCGTTTCACCACCATTAACAACAATCTGTGTACAAATCATCCTTATTTGTCCTTCAAAGCAGCACCCAGACCTGGCAACACATTGGTAGCCATGGATGGATTGAAAGTCACCAAACGACATCTATTTAAACACATTTTATAATTCAGACTGCCCATTCCAACTGTCTTCTATCCTCCCTTTTTTATGCAGAAAACACTTATTTATATAAAGTGGTCATATATATAAATATTCAAAAATATTAACCAAACTTAGAAAAAATCAGCTTTGTCTTGATGGTTATATTTTTTTTAAAAGCTGAAAAACATAGTACTATATACAATCTGTTATCTTATTGACACCAGATATTAAAAAATTTGTCAAGAACATGTTAAGTTTAGGTAAACAAAGGAGAATTTAAATAAATTTACATAAGACCACAAATTTAATTCTTTTAAAAAAATCTTTTATAAGCACTAGCTATAGAATCAGATGCTTTAAAAAAAAATAAACTTTAAGGAATTAATGAGATTTTAAGAAATTAAGAGACTAAATTACTTTTCATCTCCAAAACACACACACACACACACACACACACACACACACACATACACACACTCAGTATACACTAGTAAGAAAGTTTCCAGTTCTTGTCAACAGCACACCTTCCATTTGATCCAATTCAATTAACATTTATTAAACACCTACTACATGCAAGGCAGTAGGCTTTGAGGATGCAAAAATGGAAAACAGCATAGTTAAGGACAGGTGGCAAATAAGCATGATTGAATTTGATAGGGAGCATGCATGGATGCGTACGCGCACACACATATACACACGGTATAAATTAGCAAGAAAGTTCACAGTTCTTGCACACACATGTATGCGCACTCACACAGACACACATGCACACATCACTAGCCATAAAACCTAGGCTTCTTAGATCTCCCCATTCCTTTGAGGGCACTCAGCTCCTGAGACTTTGGAGACTTCGGTGTGTCAATGAGGGGTGGGCAGACAGCCCCAGGTTTTCTGAGTTAACTTACCTTTTCTGTTTCTGTTTCTAGGATCATTTAAATTTTTATTGTACTGCCAGTAGTCTGGGAAACTTGATTCTGTCCATCAAGTGTGAAGAGGCGGAAGGCATCGAATACCTGCGAATCATCCTCAGGTGAGAACCACGATGCTGCTGGGGGCCTGGTGTCTGCACTAGGGCTGCCCTTCTGAGTAGACCAGGGGATACCGTCCTGCCTCTGTCTTGCTGTGATGAGGAAGACTGGCCTGGCTACATCCTTGGGCCATCTCCAACCCTGTCCCTTGGTGCCTGGAGCACCAGACCCCTCATCTAGAGCCGCCGTGGGCTCTGTACTCTTACTCCCTTTGGTATATTTTTCAGCCTGGGCTGAATTTTCTTCAGTGGGTTTGAGCATATTTAGGCACCGATGAGGCCAAGGTCATGGGTTTCATGATCCCCATGAGGGAACCAGAGAAAAAAAAATTCTGCTGATCTAACCTCAGGCCATCCCTTTAATCCCAGTCAATCAATCAACTAATCACTCAAATATTTATTGAAAGGCAGCATAGCAAATTGTATAGGGCACTTAACTTGGAGTCAAGAAGACCTGAGTTCAAATCTCACCTCAGACACTTTCTAGTTGTGTGACTCCAGTGAAGTCACATAACCTGTCTGTGCCTCAGTTTCTTCATTTGCCAAAGGGAGTAGGAGTTGGGTTAGGTGCCCCCCTGAGACCTCGTGTAGCTATAAATTTATGAACCTATGAAACACTTACTGTTAGCCAGGTGCTATGCCCGGAGACTGTGTGACATTTGGAAGGCCTTAGTGTATTTGAGCAGCAGCATGGCACAGTAGATAGAGTACAGGACCTCAGTTTAAGGCCTATTGGGCCTCTGACTTCTACTAGCAATGTGATGCCTTTAACATCTCTGAACCTCAGTTTGCTTCTCTGTAAAATGGGTATAATCATACCTCCCTCTTGAAGCTAAAATGAGATAAACCTACATGTACTGTATAAATGCTTTTGTTGTTGGCCCCATTTGGAGTTTTCTCGGCAGAGGTACTGGAGTGGTTTGCCATTTCCTTCTCCAACTCATTTTACAGATGAGGAAACTGAGGCAAACAAGGTTAAATGACTTGACAGGGTCACCCAGCTAGTAGGTATCTGAGGCTAGCATTTGAACTCAGGTCGTCCTGACTCCAGGGCCAGTGCTCTGTGCACTATGGCGCCATCTAGCTGTCTATATAAATGCTATTTAGAGTCACCATGAACTTCATCTGAAACTGGGTGATGTCCCCAAATGGCATTTCTTGGGGGTGGCATTCCTATGTCTTTCCAAACCCAGGGCAAATAGCAGGGACACGGGACTCCTCCATCCTGCCTCTGCTCCGAGAAGGGATGTGAGGGCAAGCAGCGGAAATGCACCCGCGTGATCCCGAGTGAGTCCTTGACCTCTCCAGGCCCAAGTTTCTCCAACTATGAAATGAGGGTTAGGGCCTCAGTGGCCTTTGAGGTGCCTTCTAACTCCAAAGTGGGGAATGGCACTGAGCTTCCAACAGCGGTCTGCCTGGGGCCTCCGCGTCTCATGTCCCAGCCATGATGCTGATGTGACCGCCTGGACCGTCCTCTACAGAAATCCCACACAGACGGCCTCGAAGTGGCCACTGAGTGGGTTTCAAGGAGTGCTGTCCATGGCCCCTCTAAGATCTCTGAAGAGCGTTTGATTTCATGTGTGTGAAGGGCACTTGGTCTCTAAAGGGGTCCTTTAGTCGGAAAGAAAATAATCACCCCCTTCTTGCCTGATTTATAGCAGGGAGAGCAGCATACTGAGAGTCAGAATCCACGTTCTGGTCCTGGACGGCCATTCACTTGCATGACCCTGGACTAATCACCACCTCTCTCTCTGGGGCCTCAGTTTCCCTACTGTAAAATGAGGGGGAGTTCCTGATGGTCCCTCCAATTCTACCATCCTTTCATATCAAGGCTGGCCCTGCTCTGTAGCTATGTAAAGCCCTCTAGATACTGGGTGTGCTCAAAGGCGGGGTACACCTGGATACCCAGACTTACCCGACAGATGGATCTGAGGGAAGTTGTTTGCATTATGGAATGATTCATCCCACAGGGATTCTTTAAATAGCCCGCTCCCCAAAGCATTTATAGTAAGATTCATAGGATTATAAATCATAGATCTAGGGCTGAAAGGGATGACAGAGAACATACCAATCCCTTCATTTTACAGAGGGAGAAACTGAGGCCTGGGGCAATCACACACTAATTAGCATCAGAGCAGAAAGTTGAGGTATAAAAATCTGGTTGTTAAAACCTAAAAGTAGCTGTCGTAAGTTGTTTCAGTTGTATCTGACTCTCCGTGACCCCATTTGCGGTTCTCTTGGCAAAGGCACTAGAGGGGTTCGCCATTTCCTTTTCCAGCTCATTTTACAGGTAAGGAAACTGAGGCAAACAAGGTTCAGTGACTTTCCCAGGGTCACACGGCTAGTAAGTATCTGAGGCTGGATTCGAACTCAGGAAGATCCTAAGCCCAGTGCTGTATCCGCTGCACCACCTAACTTCCCCAAATACATCTAGGATATGAAATTGGGCACTCTTCTCCCTCCCTCTGCACCTGAATCCCACCGTCAATGCGGAGATCCTTGTCTCACCCTGTGCTCATCTGCCCTTAGGTCCAAAGTGAAAACGGTTCATGAGCGGATTCCCCTGGCGGGACTGAGCAAGCTCCCCAGCATCCCTCAGATTGCAAAGGTAAATAGACCAAAAATGAAAGCAGCCTTGTCTGGGAAACCTTGGCTTCTCTGGGGGGAGGGGTGGCCAGTTGTGGGGTTTGGACCCATCAGAATTTGATGGCAGGACTCTCCTCTTTAGTGGGTGACACATGCCTGCCGTGGATGCCACCAGGGTTCTGCCTGGACTTCATGGCTGTGAGGGCCAGAGCTATAACTAGGGTGGGGCCATAAGGGCTTTGCTCCTAGGACACCAAATTTGAAGGGTGCTAGATTTAGAGAACACTGTTGGCACTTTGGGCCTATTGGCAGCATAGGAACAAAGAAGATTCACTCTAGATAGTCAGAATAATTAGCTAAGATAGAAAACTACTAGTTGACAGGCTGGGTGAGGTGGTCCCAACCATTTAGTTGGTATTGCTGTTTCTCACTCTTCAGAAATCCTCCACAGGTATACTTCGCATTGTGCAAGAAAATGGATTTCTTCCCCTACTCTGCCCTGCTTCTAGACCAGACCTTCCCCCAGCAGCAGGCTAACTGCAATGTCTCTGAGTCTCTGCTTCTCCCCCCAAATCCCCAAATACAGCATCATTTGTGCTGCCTGCCCAGGGACAAAAATTCCTGGTTATAGCTCTGGTGAGTGGGCTTGGGGCTAGGTAATAGAGGGCCATTCCAGACTCATAACCATAGGGTCAGGATAGGAAGGGCAGCCTCTCAGGCCCCCCAAATCCCCTTGGTATTGAGCATAGCTTTGCCTCAGGTTGGCCACACTCTGTGGGTCTGTGTATGGGACATATTCTGAGGGCTATAGTGAGTTAGACCTTGTTGGAGCAGAGATAAGGTTGGAAAATAGCAAGGATGGACGTCCTTACCATCAAATTACCATTTCCCCTGAGGTCCTTGACTCTGAGAGGCCATCAATGCCAGGAAGAGACCCAGAAGTAAATGCTGTGTCTGATTCCCCATTCCTGGGCTCCAATGGAGAGGTACTATTGGAGATCTGGGGGAAGAGCCTGCAGTGACTACAGAGGATGAGCTCAGCCTTAAGGAACAAGACCCATGGTTGGGAGAATCGCAGTACTTCCCTAGATAACAGAACATTTCTCTCTTCTTTTCATCTCTAGACAAGCCCCCTCTCCTCCCTCCCACATTCAGCCATGCTCTCTGGTCTCTTGCAGAATTTTCTAAAGGGCCCTGTGGATTCCCAATGTCACTCTTCCTAAATAAGATCATCTAGGGAGTTGCTTGCTGAAACATGGTGGCCATGGAGTGATCTGGGTTGTGAAAGAGTCAATTAAAGAGCCATGGATGTTAGGGAGGGAATAAAGGGTATGTGAGTAGGTGGGTGGGTGGAAACAGAAGTCCTGGGGTGGGGGGATACCTAACAGGCCTCCTTTCCTCACCAAGTAATTCTAAAATTGGGGGAGAGGTCTTTTTGCAGATCCCAGATAGTGGGGAGGATATTTCATGATCATTTTGGGAAGGACATGGTCTGTTTTCCCTCAAAGAAGAAAGGAATGGTACGTGTGTGTGTGCATTTGTGCATGTGTGCGTGCACATATGTGCATGCGTGCATGAAAGTGTATATGTATGTATGAAGGGGAGGACAGGATTGGTCTCTAAAGCATGAGCTTGTCTCTCTGCAGGCTTTCTGTGATGATGCTGTGGGACTGAAATTCAATCCCGTCCTGTACCCCAAGGTGAGAATACCCAAGACTACACCTCCCATGCCCATGAAGCCCTACCTGGAAATGTCGCCTCTTTCCTCCAGGACAGCATCCCCCAGAAACAGTTCTCATGATCTCATGACCCACTGGCCAGGAGTCCTCTCCACCCCAGCCTAGGAAGGTTTTCCTCATCTTGTTCTTATTCATTGTGATTTTTTTCTTGGTGGTAGAGAGGGGACCAGACCTGAAATTTCACTGGTCTTGATAACTCCCAGTGAGAAGAAGCCTTCCAGCAGTGCAGGTCAGCACCTCGTCTGCTACTTCTAGTCTTTTAGAGAGCTGCCTTGGGTACTGAGTTGGCCAGGACACACAATCAGTGCACATCAGGGGGTAGACTGAGCCCACAGTGTCCTAATTCTGAGGCTGTCTCTCTATCCTTTATACCGCCACCCCTTTCTTTATTGCTTATTGTGGTAACCATTTTTTTTTGTTTTAAAGTCTCCCACTTTTATTTTTTTAATAATTAATTAATTTTTAGTTTTCAACACTCGCTTCCATAATATTTTGAGTTTTAAATTTTCTCCCCCTCCCTTCCCCCTCCCCAAGATGGCATGCAATCTGATACAGGCTCTACTTATACATTCATATCAAGCATATTTTCCCATTAGTCCTGATGAAAAACCAATTAGAATTAATGGGAGGAACCATGAGAATGAAGCAATAAAACAAAACAACAAAGGAAAAGGAGAGCAAATAGTATGCTTCGATCTGCATTCAGACTCCATGGTTCTTTCTCTGGATGTGGTTAGCATTTTCCATCATGAATCTTTTGAAGTTGTCTTAGATCCTTGCATTGCTGAGAAGAGCTAAGTCTATCAAAGTCAGTCATTGTACAATGTGGCTGTTACTGTGTATAGCATTCTACTGGTTCTGCTCACTTCACTCAGCATCAGTCCATACAAGTCTTTCCAGGTTTTTTTGAAGTCTGCTTGCTCATCATTTCTTATAGCATAACAGTATTCCATTACATTCATATACCACAACTTGTTCAGCCATTCCCCAATTGATGGGCATCCCCTCAATTTCCAATTCTCGGCCACCACAAAAAGAGCTGCTATAAATATTTTTGTGCATGTGGGTCCTTTTCCCCTTTTTATTCTCTCTTTGGAATATAGACCTAGAAGTGCTATTGCTGGCACAATTTTATAGTCCTTTGGGCATAGCTCCAAATTGCTCTCCAGATTGGTTGGATCAATTCACAACTCCACCAACAATGCATTAGTGTTCCCGCATCTTCTCTAACATTTATCATCGTCCTGTTTTGTCATGTTAGCCAATCTGATAGGTATGATGTGGTACCTCACTGTCGTTTTGATTTGCATTCCTCTAATCCATAGTGATTTAGAACATTTTTTTCTATGACTATAGATAGTTTTAGTTTCTTCCTCTGAAAACTGCCTGTTCATATCCTTTGACTGTGATAACCATTAAAAATCATCTTGGTCCTTCTTGCTCTCACCACTGGTCTATGCATATCCCAGCTCTAGGTCCCAGGTCTCCATCTTGTCCAGGTCTCCATCTTATCTGAATGGATCACTTCCCATGCCAGAGGAAAGGTGAATGGCATGCCATCTCATAGGCTGCCATAGCTGGAAGGGGAGGGGCCCTTGTGATTAGGTAGTCTAGTGGCCCTCAAAGGGTATGTCACAATATACCAGTGGGCTCCAAGCTTCCCAAGAAGTTCCCTGAGTTGTATGAAGCTTAGAATCACTTGCAAATAAATCTCAGATCATCCCGTAGCTTTCTGAAATTCATCATAGCGAAGAGTAATATTGGGCTGGGAGCAAAAAAAAAAAAGTTTGAAAACCACCAATCTTGTCCAACACCCTCATCTTATAGAAGGGGAAACTGAGTCGCAGTGAGGGGATGTTATGGCCCAAGGTCACCCACTGAGTCAGTGGTGGAAGCTTCTGGATTAGAACCCAGAACTGCAGACTCCCAGTTCAATGTTCTTTCCACTACCCCACGCTATCTTCAGCAATCAGGTGTTAGAGTGAGGACAATAGAAAAGCGAGGTGCTGATGTATCAGATGGCTCGGACAGCATGTGGCTTGATATCCTGAAACAAATTGCTGCTTGTGTAGACAAGCAATGGTGCCTGCTCCTCTGTTCCCCCATACCCCTGCCATACCCTCAGGGTGGCCATCAGGGCCGGGAATCACTGTAGTATTTCAGCTTGTGCACATGAAATAGTTTTTTAAGAATTGAAGTCCAGGGAATGACTTCACTGACATGGCTCTCTGGTCTCCAAACCTTTCTCCAGCTCTGGCTAATAAACCAGAGGCCAGTTATACATGAGGATGTTAGTTGGTTTCCTTAGGACATAGCCTGTTCTTGACCTCAATTCAGGTCTGGGGGAAAACAGCAACAATTAAAAAAAAAAACCAACCCATAAGCCTCAGCTACTGGCCAAGCAGACCAGGCTAATTAGATGTGGACCAGAAATTGTCTCAGGGAAAACAAAAACCCCATAGCAGCCATGCCCATCTCAAAACCTGCCAGCCTTGGGTGAGAGGCTGGTGACAGGCTGAGCTTCCCAGACTCAGGCCAAGCCCCGAGACCCTCAGAAGTGCTCCAAGTTTGTGTTAGATCAGGAGGACCGAGGGGAGCACGCAGCACCAGATGATCAGAAAGAAGCAGAATTCAGTGCAGACGTGATCTCCCCATCCCAACAGGGAGAGCTAAGTAGCCAGTGAAGGTAACCATGACCTGCAAGTACAGAGAAGTGGGGCTGTGGTCACTCATCTGCCAGGCAGTGGCTTCATGCCCTGGGGAGCAAATAAGATCAGGGCCCTCAGAGCCAGGCAGCCTTGATTCCTTGGCTAATTCTCTTTGGTGTGTCTCTACCCAGTGTCACTGACCACACACACGTACACAAACACTTTATTTTTGTCCAGACCTAGGATTTCACTAATATGGGGAAGATCTAGGCAAAGAAGCTCCCTCTGTCAATGCATGTCAGCACCAGCTCTGGAACGCAAAATCACAGCGCTCCCCAGGGCACTGAGAGTCTTAGGGACCTGCTTAGGGTCACCCAGCCAAGATGTGCCAGAGACAGGACTTAAACCCAGGTCTGCCTGGCTCGAAGCCCAGCTCCTTATCCCCTATGGCATACTGGCATGAGATTGATATGGGTAGGCAGATGGATGGGTGGATGGATAGATAGATGAATAGGCAAATAGATAAATATGTAGGCAGATGGATAGATGGATGGATGGATAGATAGATGACAGATGGGCAAATGGATAAATATATAAGCAGATAGATGGATAGATGGGCAGATAGATGGGTAGATGGATGGAAAGATGGATGGATGGATGGATAGATAGATAGATAGATAGATAGATAGAGGTAAGCTGGTATCATGGTACAGTGGAAGTTTACAGAAGAGACTATGGGTTCAAATCCTACCTCTGATGTTGGACAAATCCCCCAAACTCCCTGTGACTCAGTTTCCCCATCTGTAAAATGATATGATTGGATTAGATGGTCTCCAAGGTGTCTTCCAGTTGGAGATATGTGATCTTATATAGATTAATCAACCAACAGACTGTTCGTTACTGAGGGCTCACTATGCTCTGTGCTAAGTGCTCCAGAGACAAAAATCAGGATAAAACCATCCTTACCCTGAAGGCCTTTAGCTCTAATGGGGCCTGAGGTGGAATACAGACAGATAGCAGACAGACAAAAAGATAAGCGAATCTCCCTAATTTAGAACTGGTAATTCCTTTGGCTGGGGGCTGGACTGAAGCATGCCTTCAGGTTATCAAAGAAGAAAGGCTTTCCAAACAAATCAGCGGCGAGAGGAGGGTTAGAGGCTTAGTGAGTGGATGCTGGGTTTGATCACATTGGCAGCACCTGTACATACATCAGCTCACTCACGTGCTGATTCCAAGTGGTAGCTAGAATCATCTCATTTTTAGCTGGGAAGAGACCTTGGGGATCAAGCCAGCCCTGTCATTTTTGGCCACATTCAACCAGCTCCTGGGGGATTCTGCCCATTGGGCCTCAGTTTCCTCGCCTGGTTTAGACCGGGGGATCTCTAGGGGCCCTTCACACTCTAAATTCTATAGTTCTGTGATTCTGTACTTGGTTTCCCCATCATACCCAATGCAAGGGCACTTGGAAACAGGGGCAGTGTGGCATAGTGGATAGAGACTTGGACTGGGAAAGACCTAGATTCCAATCCTACTTCAGATCCTTACTAGTCATGTGACCTTGGGCAAGTCTCCTAGCCTGTCTGCCTCAGTTCTCTCATCTCTAAAATGAAAGGGTTGGACTGATCTCTAAGATCCCGTCCAGCTCTAAATGATCCTATAATCGGGATTTGGAGAAACAGCTAAGACACTTGGGATCTCAATGACCAAGTGTCTTGTCTGGGAACAGCTCTCCCTCCCACGTTCTCTTTATCCAGACGTGTCTACCTTGCCTACCCCTCATGCTATTCATTTCCTCCATGTGGAATTTTCCTTCCATTGACAGGATTTTGTTTCAGAGATGACCCCGCTCTTGCCTTCCCCACTCCCAACATGGCAATCAGCCTGACTCCTTTCCTCTCCCTCTCCTGCAGGCATCCCAAATGATTGTGTCCTATGATGAGCACGAAGTCAACAACACCTTCAAGTTTGGCGTCATTTATCAAAAAGCCCGCCAGGTGAGCTGGGGATTGTGGATTGGTCAACACAAGCCCAGTGGGGCCTCATTGTATCAGGTCCTATCGAGTCAGCAAGTGTTCATTACTGGGCTGGGCATTGTGCCAAGTTCTGGAGGGTACAAGAAAGGCAAAAACATGGTCCTGCCTTCATGGGGTTCATATTCTACTGGGAGAGACAGCATGAAAATAGCTATGTATATACGAGATACAGACAGAGAAACTGGAGATGATCTCAGAGAGGGCACTAGCAATGACAGGAGAGGAAGACTGCAGAAGGTGGAATTTGAGCCACAAGGAAGCCAGGAGGTGGACCAACATTCCTGGTGGGAGGACCAGCCGATGCACATGCACAGAGTCAGGACATGGTGGGTCACGTGTGGGTCAGCTGACCTTTCCAGCCTCATTTCCCTCTCTTCTCTTTCATGCACACCATGTTCAAGCCAAACTGGCTGCCTGGCTGTTCCAGATCCCACTCTGTGCTCTCTTTTGGCCTCACCTGTGGGAAATCTTTCCTGTCAAAGCTCAGCTCCACTTCCTCCGTGGAACCTTCTCCGATCTGCCCCCACCCCTGGTGTCATTGCCCTCCTCAGATTTCTCGAGGGTCCTTTGTTCTTGCCTTCTCTTTGCTCCCATCCCAGCCTCCCAGTCTCCCTGGTACCATAACTATTTGTGTGTCTGCCTTATCCACTCTGCTACTTAAACACTTGGAAGCTGGAGACAAAGCCACTTTCATCCTTCTATCCCCAACACCTGGCATGCCATACTCAGAGGACTCTGGGATCGCACATTTGGAGCTGGAAGGGACCTCAGAAACTGGCTTGTCTGACCTCTTCATTTTACAGATGAGGAAACTAAGGCCCGAGGAAAGGAAATGACTTAGAATCAAAGATTTAGTGAGGAAGGGACCCCAGAGGCCACCTCCTCTAATCCTTTCTTTTTTCACAGATTAGGAAGTGAAAGTGGCCGCAGTCAAACAGCTCCTGGGGGATTCTGTCAATCAGGCCTCAGTTTCCTCACCTGGTTTGGACCAGAAGATCTCTGAGGGCCCTTCACACCCTAAATTCTATAGTTCTGTGATTCTGTACTTGGTTTCTTTATCATACCCAATGCAAGGATACTTGGAAACAGGGACAGTGTGGTATAGTGGATAGGGGACTCATTAAAAAGTCCTTGGTCAAGAGGACTTGACCAAGGTCAAAGAGCTAGTGTCAGAAGCAGGATTTGAATCCAGGTCCTCTCATAACAGAGTCATTGCTTTCATCCATGTGCCATGTAGATGCTTAATAAGTCATCATTGAGTTAAATTGAATTGAGTTGAGTTGAATTGAATTCTGCTGCAGAGCCTAAGAGATCCTGCCCTGCATTTTTTCTTCTTAAACACTCCTCCCATGAAGGTCACATTCAAAGTGTGGACAAGATACCAAAAGGAGGCCAGCCTTTCTCTGCAATGCTAATAGCGCCTGAGCCCCAGGTGGGATCTCTATAGGAGCCATTTAGCTTTAAATAGAGAAAACAGCAGCTGTTCCCTGGCCCACTGTGGACTCCCTAACCCTGCTCAGACATCTGATCGTGCCATGTGAACCATGGGACCACAGGGAAACTGGGTTCCAGAGGGTGGATGAGTCAGCATGGCCTCGTCCCTACTCTAGCAGACACAGGCTTCCCAGGCAAAAACAAGCTCTTTCTCCTCCCATACCCTCCCTTTGGATGCCTCTTATAGCCCTTCACGGTCTGGTAAAGCAGGGAAAATTCGGGCCTGGGAGTCAGGAGAGTCCTACATTCGAATCCTGTCACTGCCGCCTGCCATCTCTAGGACCACCTGCAAGTGACTGACCCTCTCTGAACCTCAGAGTGCTCATCTGTAAAATGGGGGTTTGTTGTGAGGATCTGATGAATTCAGACTATGGTTATGGAATACTCATAGCTGACTTTCTGCCAGCGTGTAAGCTTTGCTAAGGGCTTACCATCCATTACCTCACATGAACCTCACAGTCTAGGACTGAGTGTAGAAACTTGTCTGGGGGCGCCGAGATGGGGAGTTGCCTAGGATCACTCAGCCAGTACATCATACAGGCAGGTGGGGGACACAAACCCAGATCTCCTGGATGCTGAGGCCAGCTCTTCATTCACTAAGCCACAGTGCCCATGGTGCCTCTCCTGACAGAGGCACTACAGATCTAAAAACATCTCTCATGATTCATAATAGCATAGCTGTTCGCATACACATATGTCTTTTCCTCTATCAGATTATCAGCTTCTTGAGGGCAGGAACTGGGTCTTGTTCATCTTTCCTCTCCGAGAGTGTTTTCTAGTATAGCAGGTATTCAGTAAAAGTGAAAGGAAGGAAGGGAAGGAGAAAAGAGAGGAAGGAAGGAAGGAAGGAAGGAAGGAAGGAAGGAAGGAAGGAAGGAAGGAAGGAAGGAAGGAAGGAAGGAAGGAAGGAAGGAAGGAAGGAAGGAAGGAAGGAAGGAAGGAAGGAAAGGAGAGAGGGAGGGAGGAAAGAAAGGAGGAAGGAAGGGGAGAGAAGGGAAGGAGAAGCATAAGGGCTTGGGCCTAAATAGGAGATAATTGCCCATAGTACTAAGAGGTCCCATAACCCCCCACTCTCAACCACCATTTACTTGGACAAGTCAGTTAAATTCTCTGGTCCTCAGTTTCCTCATCTGTAAAATAAAGACATTGGATCCAGTGACTTGCAAGGACCCTTTTGGCTTTAGCTCTGTGACCCTGTAGTCTCCCTCTACAGAGGAAAACAAGATTTTTTTTCAGCATGCTGGTAGATGTTTTATTTTTCTTGGCCAGATAATAGTTAATATCCTCATCTGAAGATTAGACCACAAGAGACATGTGTTCGCTTAAAAACACTCTAATTAAGCCAAGACTTCAGGATCTGAAAGCCCAATACAGATGAATCTTATAATTTAGCGAAGATTATTCAGGGAGGCTCTCTAATTATTTTCCCATATTGCATTTTTATTGGGTACAGCTCTGCTAATGCAAACCCCGTAAATGAAAGTGGTTTTGTTCAGAAATACACCGATGCCGATCTCACAAGGTGATTAGAATCCAATGTTCCGGCAGGGTGGTAATTATTTACCATTAACCAGACACCTCTGAGAGCAGGCAAGCGGGTGTTGTTCATGTATCTGATGCTGTTGGGAAAAGGAAAGGGAAGATAAAAGCCTTTTTAAAAAAAATATATATGCAGATTGTTGCTTTGAAAACCAGCTGCCTAGGGAAATTTGACATGAGGATCTGCTATATTAAAGCTCTTTGCTGTTCTCTGTATAGAATTATGACGCTCCTGAACCACCCAGGGACTTTTAGGACACAGACTTAATGTCGTTTTCCCAGGAGTGGGATTGGATGGCAGGAAATCATCCACATTTTCCCCAAGTCAGAGACTCAGTGGGAGTTAGAGTAGAAAGGGACCCTAGAGATCATCTAATCAACATTCTCTCATTTTGTGGAGGCCCAGAAAATTAAACATCTTCTCCGGGGTCACAGGCTCGAACCCTGGTTATCGCACTCTAGGGTCAACGCTGTTTTTGCTGTCCCTCCCTAACCCTTTCGATTCTTCTTAGAGGTGGGGAGGGAGTGGAGAGGGAGGTCTCAGGTCCCTGGAGAGACAGTGATGGCCAAAAGAGGCATGCCGACTGACTCTCTGTTCTTGACCCCATGCTGCCTCCCAAATTAGCGGCCATGGCACGTGAAAAGGTGTTTACTGAGCCAACTTGGCTTTTTTTAAACAACCTACTATAACCTGGCAGATTTCCCTGATGGGCAATGTCTATGTTATGGAAATGTTTCACCATCGTGGCCTTCGAGTTGGAAGGGAACTCAGAGACCATCTGGTCCAATTCTCATTTTACAAATAAGGAAACTGAGGCTCAGAGCAGGTAGCTCAGCAGAAGCAGAGCTGGGATTTGAGCTCAGGCCTTCTAATTCCAAATTCAGAGGTCTTTACCATCAGCTAACTACCCTCATCAAAGCAGTGACCTTCATGTAAAAGAATCTTCCCTATGAAGAAAAAGTTAAATGGAATACTCTTTTGATGACCTCCCTCCCACCCTCTCGTGGTTGTTGTGAGAAAAGTGCTCTGGAAATCTTTAAGGTTCTAGGGGGATGGGGAGTGATTGTTTTGGGAAGGGGGACAAAGAAAAGAATTATTTTCTCATCTCCTTCTCATGGAAACAATGCTTTCCTCCTTTTCGGTTTTATTTTGTTTTTTTCAGACGCTAGAGGAGGAGCTGTTTGGAAATAATGAAGAGAGCCCAGCCTTCAAAGAATTCTTGAGTCTACTGGGAGACACCATCACACTACAAGATTTTAAAGGGTACATTTTATTTTATTTTTATCTCATTTAGTTTTATGTCCCCTTCACGTCCCATTAGATCCTTCCCCAGAGAGCTGATCCATGTAACAACAAATTTTAAAAAGAGGAAAAAAAGCAATTCAGTAAAATTGATCAGCATATATCAACCAAATCTGACAGTGTATGCCTTACTCCACACTGATTGTCCCCTGCCTCTACAAAGAAAAAAGAGAGGTCCCATTTCTCTTCTTGGGACCCAGTCATTATAATCACACAGGGTTTAGTTCTCACTTTTTTTTTCTTTTGTCATAATCATGGTGTACATTGTTTTCCTGATTCTTCTTATTTCCCTCTGTATCCATTCATATAAATCTTCCCGTGCTTTTCCGAAGTCATGTCCTTTGTTATTATCAAAAATAGTATTCCATTACATTCAAGTACCATGATTTGTTTAGCTATGCCTCAATGTATGGGGTTTGAGGCATACATTTTAATAAATAGGACTGCTTGGTTCCCATTGACATAGACTAGGAGAAGAGTAGAGAAGGCCCCACCTGAAGCCAACACACCTTTGGCTTACACCTCGGTGTTTAAGGTACAGCTTGGGAAACCTATGGCCCAGGGCTCCCTAACCCAATCCAGCTTTGGGGTTGACCTCAAATGTCAACCAACCAAAATATAATTGGATTTAAAGCTACAAGCCCCTATTTTTCTTTGGCAAAAGTTGGCTCCAGGGAGAGCCCCCAAGTTTGGTCGATTTGACTGATCTGGGTGGCACATGGCTCCCGGGCCAACGTTTGATCCAGCCCTCAAAGAGGCCTGCCAGCTTCCCCACTGTATCAAATGTACCCAGCTGTGAGTCAGAGGAATCAAACTGTAAGATGCTACTATCTTCACAAAATCATTTTTAAAAAATATTTTTTGGTGGGTTATAGAGGAAACATTACTGGACTCAGGGTCAGGAGACTTATGTTCAAATCCCACCTAACACTTTACCTGTGTGATCATGGGCAAGTCAGTTCCCTTGCCTTTTCTGGGCCTCAGTTTCCTCATTTGTTAAATGAGAGAAGGGAGATTAGAAGGCCTCGGTGATCCCTACCAACCTCTGGAGAACACAAAATAGAAGACAACCTTTAAAAAATATAGCAATAAATATAAAATATATTTAATATATAATAAATATATGCATAAATATATAAAGATGTTTCATATGTTATATACTTAATAAAATTTATATGTATAACATAAAGTCTTCAAACTAACAGAAGACCAACTAGCAATCTTGTATAATCTAGTCTCGGGAAAGGAAATAGAGCTAATGGTAAAGGAACTCCCAATTCTGTGAAACTTCTAACAAACAGTATTGATAATACACAAATTCTTCTCAAATATAGAGAGACTTAAGCAAACAATCTACCTGCTCAAGAGTTTAATTAGTCAATAAACATTTACTAAGTGCCTACTATGTGCCAGGCACAGTACTCAGTGCTGGGGCTCAGAGAGTCACAAGACAGTCCCTGCCCTCAAGGAGCTTGTGGTTGGATGGGGAGACAACCTCCTAATGCTACATACAAAATGGAGGTTCAGGGAAGGGGAGTGAGCTGCCTGGTCAGTGGCAGCACCAAGACCAGCACCCAGATCTCCCGACACTCGGGCCAGTGTTCTTTCCCTACTCCAGACACACCATTTCCTTTCTCAGCCTCACTCCTTAGAGCTAAAAGATCAAGAGCTGGGGTCAAGTCGTATTTCATTTTCTTCAAGAAATGGGCACCTGCCTAAAGCCCCACTGTGCTCCCCATTCCCGCTCCGAGCAGCTGTGTAGCCCTGGCCTGATTCTCCCCAATTTTTCTTGGTGTCAGGGAATGGAATTTCCAAATTACTTCCTATGTTGGATGGTGCTGATGATAATTAACATTTATATAGTACTTTAAGGTACCTGCAGGTGCTCTGCCCAAAGGAATATAAATTTTCATCGCTGAAACCTCACAAGGTATCTTGGGGTTTACAGGCTAGCTTGCTTTCTTATGGACCAGATCACTTTGGCTCTCATCGATTGGCCAGCAATAGGTCCCAGCCCAAGCCTCTCTTGGTCATTGTTTGGGTTCTTATGGCTCAGAGTGAGTGTAAATAGCAATTGTTTCTGTTTTGGCCGGAAACCCTGAGGATCTTCCCCTCCCAGATTGATTTTTTTTTTTTGTGGACTAGGTAAAAGAAGCCATTCTTTGCCTTGTTTCTTACTTAGCCTGAATTGCTGAATGGGTGTTGCCACAGATAGGCTCAGACCTAGGAAAGACCTTAACTTAAAAAGGCCAAGGTCCCCCATTGCATCCTGGGCTGTATATCTTGCCACTGGACCTAGATGGCTCTGGAGGAGAGAGTGAGGCTGATAACTTTGCACAGCTCCACCTCACTTAAATACAATTCACTTTTAAGCTGTGACATCACCCTCCTGATGTCATTGGTCCTCTCCGAGAATGAAGGATAAACAGCAACAAAAAATAACAACAATAAGATTGTCAGAGTCCGTCATGTCTTAATGAGTTACTTTGATGCTCACAACAACCCTATGAGTGTAGGTGCTATTATTATCCCCATTTTATAGATGAGGAGACTGAGGCACAGAAAAGTGAAGTGAGTTGCCCAGGGTTACACAACTAGTAAGTGTCTCCAGCAGGATTTAAACGCAGGACTTCTTGGTTCCAGAAGGTGGGGGGCATAGCAGAGATCTGGCCAGTCTCTGGGGTAGGCACTTGGCTCTGCCTTTGGCAGGGAGTCTACATGTACCCACATGTTTAGGCCTGCAGATATCCAGATGGGTGGACAGTATTGTATAGCTATACCCTAAATCTTGAAAAAGAATTTTTGTATTTTTAAATAACTAATTCATTGCTAGAATTTCTGCAAGTCTGGTATAGGTCTGTTCTAAAGATACTTCCCATCTGGTTTCCCCAGCTAAATGAATTCCAGCCCCTCTGTTCCTCTCTCCCTTTTTCTTCTTATCTCCTCTTCTCCCATCCTCTGGCCCCTCCTTGTTTCCTCTCACTTTCCCTTTCCTCCTGTTTCTCTCCTTTCACTTCCTCCTCCCTCCCCACTCCTCACCCTCCCCTCTTCCACGCTCTCCTCTTCTTTCTCTCATCCCTTTTATCTCCTCTCCCCTTCCCTTCCCTTCCTTTGTCCTCTCCTCCCCTTCTCTTTACACTATCTTCTTCTCTTCTCTTCTTGCTTCATTTGTTTGTGGCATCATAGAGGAAGCCCTAGACACTTAGTGTCAGGAAGCTCTGGATTCAAATAGGTTTTGTCTGTTTGTCTATTCTAATACTCTGTGCCTGTGAGGGTAACAGGAAGGTATTCATTGTTGTGGTTGGGGTTGTTCAGTCGTTTTTCAATCGTGTCCAACTCTTTGTGATTCCATTTTGGGGTTTTCTTGGCAAAGATACTGGAGAGGTTGGGGCAGTTAGGGTGGCACAGTGGATAAAGCTCCGGCGTTGGAGTCAGGAGGACCTGAGTTCAAATCTGGCCTCAAATACTTACTAGCTTATGTCACCCTGAATAAGTCTCTTTACCTCTCTGTGCCTCAGTTTCTCATCTGTAAAATAAGAGGGTTGGACTTAATGGCCTCTAGAGTCCCTTCTTTTTTCCAAATGTATGATCCTGTAATCCTTTCCTCTCTTCCTTCCTTTATTTCTTTTATCGTCTCTCCCTTTCCTTTCCCCCACATTTCTCCCTTCTGGCCTTATTCTGCTTATTCCTCTCTCTTCTCTCCCCCTGCGCCCTGTCTTTACTCCTCTTTCATTTCCTCTCCTCTCCCCTTTCTGGCTCCCCCCCTCCTTACTCTCCTCTTATATCTCCTCTTTCCTTCTCTTCCTTTCACTCGACCCAAATTCTCCCTTTCCCTATCTCTTTTTTCCTCCCTTCTTTCCTTATTCTCCTCTTCCTCTCTACTATCTCCTCTCTTCTCATGCTGACATCTCTTCTTGTCCTTTCCCCACCCCTCCACCCATGCCCCAGCCCTGGATCATAGAAATGTAGATTTAGAAATAGGTACCTTGGAACTGTCAAATCCAACCACCTCATTTATATATGAGCAAAGCGAGGCACAGAGATGTTAGGTCATTTTCCTAGGGACACACAGCTAGTCCAATGTGGAATTTGAACTCAGGTCTTCCTGCCTCCCCTGTTCAGTGCCCTATCTGCCTCTCCCTCAGGGGCATCACACCGAGTGGTCAGGTTCCCTCTGCTGGACTTTCTGCTGCTCATTCTTCGGTTCTCTCTCCTGCCCTTCTTTCCTTGGCAGTTTCCGAGGTGGCTTGGATGTCACCCATGGCCAGACCGGGTTGGAATCAGTATACACTGTATTCCGGGACAGGGAGATCATGTTTCATGTCTCCACAAAGCTGCCATTTACTGAAGGCGACGCCCAACAGGTAATCTGGTTTGGTGAGGCTCATCCTGGGGAAAGGGGCACTCCAGGTGAAGACTCTGTGTGAATGGGGTTTGGGGACTGGGACTGGCCTTGGAAAGAGGCCCCTTGATCCCATTACCTGGCTTAATTAATGAGTCCCATGTATACAGCCCTTTGTCCTGTCCAAACTGTTCTTCTGTATGTGGTCCCATTTGATCCCCATGGTAGAGCAGATATTCTTGTGCTCATTCTGTAGAAGAGAGGAAACTGAGGCACAGGAGCGCAAGGTAACAGCATAGATTTCAGTCTGGCAGAGACCTTGGAAGTCACAAAGTCATAGATTTGGAACTTGAAGGGACCTCCGAGGCCATCCTCTCCAACTTCCTTATTCTGCACAGTAGAAAAGTGAGGCCCAGAAAAGTGAAGAGATTTTTCTAAAGCCACGTAGGTGGTAACTAGCAGGACTGGCGTATCAGTCCAGGTCTCCTGACTATATCCAGAGCTCTCCACTCTGTGGGTACTGCCTCATGACAGGGGGAAAGCCAAGGCAAGAGGCCAAAGTCCCTGATACCTCCTCTGGTCTTTTTTTCCATCCCACTACTTGCTCTGCTCCAATTATCTGGGGGGCTGCCTTCAGTGCTGAGCTTTTCCTACATCATAGGCACATTCCAATTTGTGTATAAAAAAAGAAAAGTATATTGTATACGGTAAGCATTTAATAAATTTGCCAAATCATAGTAACCACTATTGGAAATGGTTGTGAAACCAATGGATTTGTCATTCTTCTTACCTGGAGAAATTGAGGCAGATATTTGCTTTCAGGATCCTAAGACTCCCCACCACCACCACCACCACCACCACCACACGCACACACATCATATGATCAGCCTTTCCTATATTTTGACTCTGGTCAAAATTCTTCCTTTAGCCCCCTGGCAAGACCCTGCCTGTGTCTTCGAGGGGGCCAGGCTTGGCAGCTCCATCCCTAGCTGTCTCTCTAACGCTCCTGTAGCTCTTGGCCTTTTACTCCTTGTCAGTTTCCAAGAGAGCCAGCAGGCCCCTGCCCAACCTTGGCGCCATTTGTCTGCGTGCCAACAGTGGCATTCCAGAGCAGGGAGCCCGGGGAGCGAGCACAGATGTAGAAATGCAACCACAGTGACAGCGTTCCTCTCAGGGGAAAAACATACACACAGAGCCACCCAAAACTGGTACAAAAGAAAATGAGTTGGCTCTGAAATCAATACTGAGTGTCCCCAAAACAAATGTGAGCATCAGTTGTTCTTCTCTCCAAAAGGGCTTTACATACAGTCATTCCCTATGGCCCCTTACAGAGAGACGCAGCTCCCCCAACTCACAAAGGCCCTCTGCCGTTTTGTGTATTTTGGGTCTTCTTCCGTCATCCCCTACTGGGGTCCCTTCCCCTCCAGCCAACACGACCTACTCTCTGTACCCCTGAATGGCACTGGGTTTGCTAAATCCCTCTTCTGCACATTTCTATATTCCTCCTCCCTCTTCCCTAGGTTGCCCTTCCCCACTTTTCTCCACCCAGCCATACTTATGACTTCCTTCAAGATCCAGCTAAGGGCCCTCTTTCTCCAGGAAACATCCCAGATCGCTCACACTTTCTCTCCACTCCCATTCGAATCTGCTCTTGGTTGAGGGCCCCCTTTAGTCCTTGGGATCATGGATGCTGCTTCTTCCATTTCCTCAGATGGTTTCATGAGGGAAAGTGTTCTTTTTCTCAGACTGATCTCAAGCTCCCCATGGGCAGGGACCAGGACTTCTGTTTAACTTCGTATATTCCCCTTAAGTACTTAGCCTAGGACTTTCTACACCGTTTGATACCTGGACCAGGGACCCTTTCAGCTTGACCTCCAGAGCCCATACTCCCTTCCCCCAGGGGAATTAACCCCCTCAACTTTGAAGCTGGGCTATCACAATTGGTCGATGAGTCAGTGCAAACTCACCTGATCCGCTATACGTAGCCTACCCCAGACCATGCTTCACCCCTATTCACCCCAGACATCTGGCCAACTCTTCCTGCCTCCCTTCCCCCTCCACCTCCAGCCCAATCAATGCTACCATTGTTTCTGAAAAGGGTGTGACAACTGGCTGCCACATGGCATCACTTGGACATCCCTGTGACTCCCCAGGCGATAGGTTTCGTCCCTGTCCCTAGCTCCCTATGTATGTTGTCTTCCTCTATTAGAATGTAAGCTCACTGGAGACAGGGACTGTCTCACTTTTGTATATGCATCCTCAGCACCTTGCATGGCCCTGGCACATAGTAAGCACTAAATAAATGCTCATTCATTCATTCGCAGTAGACACTTAGTAACCACTCCTCAGATACTTACTAGCTATGTGACCTTGGACAAGACACTTAGTTTCTCTGGGCCTCAGTTTCCCCATCTGTAAAATGAAGGGATTAGACTCAATGAGCTCTGAGGTCCCTTTTAGCTCTATATCTTTGATCCTATGAAAGCTGCCTGTTAGCTAAATTCTATGAGGACTTATTTTATAATTTTCTCATCTTCAGAAAATGGGAAAGAAATTTCCCCAGGGAAAGTTGTCTCTCTTTTTCATTCCCCCTGGCTTTCTGAGCCACTAGGCTCAAGCACAGAGATGCTAATTAAGACTTTCCCAGACCGGTGTGCCCCATTCACCTCTGTTAATTGGTTCTGTAGGAGCGATCTTTATGCACACTCAGTCCCTCAATCAATAAACGACCCAGAGGGGCTCAGAGCACCAGGGACTCCTTTCATTAGGCTCAGAGAACATCTCTGCTGACCAAGGTGTGCTGTATCAGGGTTTCCAGACATTAAAGTGGGATTTGCTTATAATTTGATTAAATTTGACAAGTGTTTCTGGAGTACCTGGGCCTGTTGCTAGGGAAAGATATAAAGTTTAATGAAGGTAGCTAGGTGGCACAGCAAATAGGGCCTGGAATCAGGAAAAACTGAGTTCAAATCCATTCTCTGATATTTACAAGCTGTGTGACCCTAAGCAAGTCACTTAACCTCAGTTCACCTCAGTTTCCTCAACTGTAAAATGGGAGTAATAATAGTTGTTGTGAGGATCAGACGAGATAATAATTGTAAAGGACTTAATATGGTGTCCAGCACATAGTAAGCACTTTATAAATGCTTGCTTCCTTTCTCCCTCTCCCCCTTTAGCTAAGAGATGACTCTTGCCTTCAGGGGGCTTGTGGTCTAATTTATAGGATCATCCTTTTGGAGCTGAAAAGTATCCTGTTCAGCCCCAACATTCACAAATAAGGAACTGATGAGAGAGGCCAAAGTGACTTGCCTACAGACATTAAGGGGCACAGGCAGGATTCGAGCCCAGGTCCTTTGACCCCAGAGCTTTCCACTGAATAAGAGATAGAGAATTGGAAGGGACCTCATCTGGCGCGTGCGCGCGCACACACACACACACACACACACACACACACACACACACACACACACTTTAGAAATGTGGTCACTGAGAGCCAGGAGTTTAGGTGACTTGCCCAAGGTCACACAGGTGGTGGAATTTGAACCCAGGCTCCTCTGACTCCAGATTCATCCCCCTTGTCACTGAAGCCCACTAGAACCAGACCATATGAATGACAGTCCTGCCAACACTGGTCAAGACCCTGTCCTGGGGGCAGCTAGGTAGTGCAGTGGATAGAGCACTGGCCTTGGACTCAGGAGAACCTGAGTTCAAATCCGGCCTCAGACACTTGACACTTACTAGCTGTGTGACCCTGGGCGAGTCACTTATGCCCGATTGCCTCCCCAAAACAACAACAAACACCAAGACACTGTTGTGGACAGTGTGGCTGTTGGGTTCTCCCTTTATTTTCTTCCTGACTCACAATAACAGCCCAACACTCTTGCTTTCTTCTGGCTCAGCTCCAGAGAAAGAGACATATCGGGAATGACATCGTGGCTATTATCTTCCAAGAAGAAAACACTCCCTTTGTCCCCGACATGATCGCCTCCAACTTCTTGCACGCCTACATCGTAGTCCAAGCCGAAAACCCAACTGGAGAGACCCCGTCCTACAAGGTAAAAGGGAATGGAAACTAGCCCACTTGAATGGGAGTGGCATAGCCCTCAGCAATTCTAGTGATCCTTTGGGTCAGCCAAGTTTGAGGCTGCTGACACATTCGCCAGACACTTTGGGGGAATAGGAAAGACAAAGGAAGCTCTTAGGGGAATGGCACAGTCAAGTGGGGGAGATGAGTCCACCCAAAGCAACCTAAGAAGGAGTGGAGTTTAGCCCAGTGTGGACATGATGAGGAAGGTTGGGACAGCCAGGGCTGGGGCACCATGCCTAGGGAAAGCTGTACATCTCCTCTTACACATCTGTCCCTTGGGCTTACAGTAGGAAGCTACTTCTCCACCCATTCAAGCTACCTTAATTCTATACCTAGTTATTGACTTCTTATCTCCCCCATTAGAAGGGCAGGAACCATGATGTTGCCTTTCCAGCACCCCCAACACTTAGCACAGTGACCCCAGAAAGCACTTAATAAATGCTTGTGGCCTGATTGGTCCCTGGGTCACAGACCCAGACTGAGACTCAGAGCCTTCTGGCCATGCTGGCTGGAGGTTTGATTTCTCCCATCAGCAGCAGGGCATGCATTGTGTGGTGGGAGAGCTGCGAGCCAGGCCAGAAATCCAATCAACAGAGCTCACCAATAATTTCCTGAGGCCGAGCCCTGTGGCTGTTGTCTCAGCGCCCCAGGGATGGAGAAGCCTGACCAGCTGTAAGCTCCTCTCCCCTCCTCCCCCTACCTTCCCTTGGCATTGCCCTAGGCTGGCTCTTCCCCTCCCCCAGCCCACCAGCCTCATTGCATCTGCCCTACTTTGCAGGCCTGATAAGCTGGCAAGAAGCCAAGGCCAGGCGCGCGTCAGCAGGCAGCAGGGAATGGGAAAGGGCAGACTGTCCGATAAGCAGTGGCAAACCCTCCCCTCCCCCCACAGCCTCCCAGATAGAAAGCAAAAATGGCCATCAATGGGAAAGTTTGGGGAAGGGAAAGACAGAGACACAGAGACACCCAGAGAGAGACAGAGGGAGGGAGGGAGAAAGATACAGAGACAGAGAGACAGACAGAGACAGACAGAGAGACAGAGGGAGGGAGGGAGAAAGAGACAGAGAGACAGAGAGAGACAGACAGACAAACAGAGAGACAGACAGAGAGACAGACAGGAAGAGACAGGGAGAGGGAGGAAGAGAGACAGACAGAGACAGACAGACAGACAGGAAGAGAAAGACAGGGAGAGGGACAGAGAGAGATTCCAGCCTGGTTATCTCTACACTAGGGTTCCTACAACAAAGATTCTAAATCCTAGAGTTTCCCAGCTGAAAGAAACTTAGGGAAGGGCAGGCAGGCCGGTGACAGCCAGGGCCTAAGGACCTGCACCAAGCAAACGCTCCTGCTGCCTCCTGCCTCTGCCCATCTGTGCCTGGTTAAGCTAAATTGGTGTTAACAAGGTCAAGGTCCTAGGACCCAGCATCATATGGGCTGGTTAACTAGTGAGTCAGTATTCTTACTCTATGCCAGACACTGTGCTAACCAGCATGATCTAGTCTTTTGTGTGGTGAAGCCTATGAGCTCCTTCGCAGAATAATGTTTTTAAGTGCAATAAATAAACAAATGAGTGGATAGATAGACAGACAGACAGACAGACAGATAGACACACAGAGACAGACAGACAGACAGATAGATAGATAGATAGATAGATAGATAGATAGATAGATAGATAGATAGATAGATAGAAGCTGACATTAAGGCTTGCAAAGCACTCTACAATTGTTATTTCATTTTATCCTCACAATAACCCCTGGGAGGTTGGGGCTATGATTGTCCCCATTTTTTACAGATGGAGAAGCCGAGGCAGACAGGGTTTAAGAAACTTGCCCAGTGTCACACAGCTAAGAAGTATCTGAGGCAGAATTTGAACTCTCCACCACCCTACTGCCTAGCTGATACAATTACCAGTGCATAGGATTACAAAGGAAGCCAAGTGGATTGAAATACAGTTATCAAATGGGAAAAATAAAAATGAAACCCACAATCCCCAGGTTAACAACTCCTGGCCCAACAGAAAGAATACTGGCCTTTGGAGTCAGAAGAGATGTGGGTTCCAATCCGGGCACTAATGCTAACTCTAACCAACTGTGTGACCTTGGACAATTTATTTCTCTGACTCCTCTTTACTTGTAAATTGAGACTAACACTGTCTGCCTTGCCTGCCTTCCTGGGCTGTTCTCCCACCTATGGGAAAGCACTTTGATAAATTACAAAGTACTTCCCACTTACCTGGTTGTGTTTATTTTGTGAGCCTTTTCTACATCCATAATATATCCAACCCCGCTGATAATAATGGGGAGGGTAGATGGATGGATCATGTAGCCCAGCTCGACTATAAGAAGACAAGTTCGGTTCTAGTTCTCCCAGGGGCCAGAAGTACCATCTCTGCATCCAGAAGACAACATAGCTTTGCATGTCTGATGCATCATTTCCCCCTTGTATCTGGGTGGGAAAGGAAGACTTCTCCCTGCAGGAAGCCAGGTTGCTCAGCAACAAGGCTGGAAGGAGAAGCTGGCTTTCCCTGCCAAGGGAGGCATTGCTTTCCAGTAGAGCAGAGGGGCTGCGTGCCCTCGGCCACACTCTTGGCTGCAAGCTGCCTCCAGCTGCCACGTGGGCCGACGGGCGCTTCCCTGCTGGTTGGGCTCAGTAGCATGTGGGTGTCTTTGGTGGTACCCGGGCAACCACACCCACCTCCTGTTCCCTTTCATCTCTTCCTCTCCCTATTTCTGACTCTCCGCTTGTCCCAGGTCTCAGTCACTGCTCGAGAGGATGTACCACTCTTCGGTCCACCCTTGCCCAGCCCCCCAGTGTTCCAGAAGGTAATTCATCCTTTCTACCTTCCATCCATCTCTTCCTGTGAGCTCTGGACCCCTGAAGAGCTCTGAGAGTCCCTGGCAACAGTTGGCTGGGGACTGAGTTTCATTTCCCACTAAGGCCCAAGTTTGGGTAGCCCCTCCATGAGTGGAGGAGTCTTTCCCTCAACTCTCCACATCTCCTGATCTTTATGAATGAAGCCTGGTAAAGGATGATGGGGTGGGTATTTGAGACCATTTATCCTCTTTGTTCCAAAAGAACTACAACTACATATAAGCATACATACATAATATACATACATATACATGCAATACATGCATGAATTTATTATATAAATGTGTATTAGAGTACATGCACATATGCATACACATATTTATACATACACATATGTGCACATACATACATGCATGCACACATACACATATATAGGCATATGTATGTATAAAGAATTAGGATGACATAGCATATGTGTAATATATCATACGTTGTCCCAATTCTTTATACAGAGTATTCCAAAAGCCTTAGGACAGTTTTAAGCTATTAAAGCTTTAAACTGCCCTAAGACCTTTGAGACACCCTGAATATGTTCAACTATATAGATATATAATGCATAAAATATAATCATATTTAATAATGTGTAAATTTATTTCAATTGTGATATGTGTGTGTGTGTGTGTGTGTGTGTGTGTGTGTGTGTGAATTAAGAGAGTGAGAGAGAAATTGAGACTGGATCTCTAATTTCCTTGATAATCCAACATTCTCAGGTGAGAAAACTCCCTCTACCAATGTAGGTTAGCAGCTCCATAATTTAGAGTCTTAGAAAGTTGCCTAGAGCAATAAGAGATTAAGTGATTAAATTAAATTGAGTTTAAATGTTTAACAAAATAAATAAAAATACAATATGACATAGACAATGTGAATTTGTGGTTTTCTAAATCAATATAGCCCACAGCGATCTGTTTCTATTTGACTTTGACAGAACTGATCTAGAGAACGTTAGAGGTTAAGGGTCCAGCGTCACTCAATCAGTACCTGTCAAAGGCAAGATCTGAACCTGGGTCTTCCATCTTCAAGGCTCACTGCCTGCATGATCTTGGGCATAACTCTAACCTCCGTGGGGCTTGGTTTCTTCATCTATAAGATGAGGGGTTGGATGAGATGACCTATGAGACCCCTTCTAGCTCTAGAGCTAGGGCCCTATAATCATAGAAAGGCAGCCTGGTATAATGAAGAGAGAGCTGGCCTTGAAATCAGAAAGGCTTGGGTTCAAGTCCTGACCCTGACACATACTGGTTGAGTGACCCTAGACAAGTCCCCTAGCTTCTAAAATTCTTTAGGTCAGTAGTGTAAAATTCAAAGAGAAACACTCCCTATCGGCCCTATTGACTTAGAAAACCACAAATTCACATTATCTATGTTGTATCGTATTTTCATTTATTTTGTTAAACATTTCCCAATTACATTTTAACCTGGTTCCAGCTGCATTCAGGACTTTTGTGGGTCAGGAGTTTGACACTTTCTCTGGACAACTCTCTAAAACCAAACAGTGCAGAGATGGTGGGGACCAGCATTGACAGAGAGAGTTTAGTCCCAGAGTGCTCTCTAAATGGATGAAATCACAAGTGCAAACACACCCAGACATCCACATGTATGTGTCACTCTCACTTGCCCCAGTGGCCCAACTCAACTTAAAAAATGGAAACGTCCTCGTCCTTCCTGGGCGAGGCTCTTTGTTCTATTGGGCTGGCTGCTTGGGGATCTAGAACAGACCTCCCTGGAGTTTTTCAGCGGGTTTATGGATGTAGGGGAGGACTCCGACTGTATTGGCAGGCTGCCAGTGGATGAAGCCTCAGGTGGCTTTAGGGGTCTCATGATTCCTTCCATCTCTTACAGAGCCCCGAGTTTCGGGAATTTTTGCTCACCAAGCTCACTAACGCTGAGAACGCCTGCTGCAAGTCAGACAAGTTTGCGAAGCTTGAGGTAAGAGCTACGCATCGTTTGGGACCTCTGCCCCAGAGACAGCATTGCCCAGGAGAGCGTGGGACAGACGCAGGGGCAGGTCCCTCAGACATTCACCAACTGTGTGAGCCTGGGCAATCTCTTAACCTCCCTAAGCTCTATTTATAAAATAATGATGAGGGGTGGCTAGGTGGTGCAATGGATAGAGCACTGGCCCTGGATAGAGCACCAGGAGGACCTGAGTTCAAATCTGGCCTCAGACACATGATACTAGCTGTGTGACCCTGGGCAAGTCATTTAACCCCATTGCCTCACCAAAATAACAATAATAATAATAATAATAAAAGACGATGACGATGCACATGGTACCTGCTTCACAGGGCTATTGGGAGGCCTAAAGGGAATATCGTGCAGCACATATAAGTGATAGGAAGGCAATAAGACCAGAGAGCCAACCTAGCAGTCAAGCAGTCCTGGGTTCGAGTCTTGCCTCCGGCTCATTCTGGTCCCATGACCCTAGGCAGGTCACAACCTCTCTAGGCCTCCAGGCAACTCTTTGAATCTATAAACTAAAAAGAAGTTGCTAACCTGCATTAGTGGAGGGGGTTTCCACACCAGAAGTTCCATATGCCAATAAAAATCACAGGTACAGTCCCTTGTTCTCCCACCATTTCAATCCTGTATGACTCTTTGTGATTCCATTTTGGGGTTTTCTTGGTGGACACTGAAGTGGTTTGCCATTTCCTTCTCCAGCTCATTTGACAGATGAGGAAACTGAGGTAGACAGGGTGGAGTGACTTGCCCAGAGTCACACAGCTAGTAAGTGTCTGAGGCTGGATTTGAACTCAGGAAGATGAGTCTTCCTGACTCCAGACCCGGCGCTCTGTGCACTATGAGCTACCTGGCTGTCCCCCTTCTTCTACAGATGACCAGTTATTTGTCCTGGCCTCTCCGTCGTCCCTCTGTCTGCTTCTCTGAAATGCCCATGATATCTACCCTCTAGGATGATTTACGGTCCTGGTGTTGGCCCCTGCCTCCAGGCTTCTAGCTTGGACTTGGATTTGCAGGAGGAACCTCTGCCCTTCCTCTTTCTTCAGCTTCTGACCCCACAGCATCTCCCGCTTTGCCCCACCCTCCCCTAGAGCTCATTCACACCCCCATTCCTGGCAGAAATCCTGGCCTGTGCCACATTAGACATTTTCCTTCTCCTTTTTCCCCCGGCGACCCCACCCCCATCCCACGATTTATTGGACTCAGCACTTGCCTGCAGCTTCTGTGACCCAGATGGTCCAAGTGCTTGACTGTTCCTGACACCCTGAGCTGACAGCCACTGGGATAGGAGTGTGGTCACCTTGAGTCCTAAGCCCTCCCCTAATGCCTCATTGGGTCCCTGGAGTCTGTGGGTGTTAAGCCAGAGGAAGAGCAGGCTCAATCGGAGTCCCACAAAAGAGGGATTAACTCTTTTTGCTTGGCCCCAGAAGGCAGATCTGGGAACTATGGGTAAAAGTTGTAAAGAGGCAGATAGGCTGAAGCCGGTGACATAGTGGATTGAATGCGGCACATGGAGTCCCGAGGACTTGAGTTCAAATCCTGCCTAAGACATTTACTAGCTGTGTGGCCCTGAGCAAGTCACAGAACCCTGTCTGCCTCAGTTTCCTCATCTGTAAAATGAGCTGCAGAAGGCAATGGCAAACTACTCCAGTATCTTTGCCAAGAAAACTCCAAAAGGGATCACAGAGAGTAGGGCACGACTGGAAAATGACCAAACAACAACAAGCCATGTAACTGGAGTAGTCAATCTCTTTCAGACTCAGTTTCCTCATCTGTAAAATGGTGATGATAAAGAGCACCTACTTCAACAGGGTTGCTTTGAGCTAATGTTTGTAACGTACTCTGTGAATCTGAAAGTGTTATATAAATGGTGGCTATTGCTAACAATTAAAACCATCCCAAAGTAGAGTGACCTGCTGGCGCCTGCTCACTGGAGGTCCTCTGGTAAAGCCCGGACGACCCCTCGTCCAGTCTGTTGCGTGAGGAGGAGATGAGGAGGATTCTGGCCAGGTCTAGGTTGGATTTGATGGTCTTCCATTTCTGGGATTCCAGGAGAGGGAACGGTAAGGAAGTAAGGACACTAGGCTTATATGATTTGTCATTATTCCTTCAACGAGGATGAAAGAAAAGAGAAAGGGGCAGCAAGGCGGCGCAGAGGACAGAGCACCAGCCCTGGAGTCAGGAGGACCTGAGTTCAAATCCAGCCTCAGACACATAACACTCACTAGCTATGTGACTCTGGGCAAGTCACTTAACTCCATTGCCTCACCTAAAATAAATTTTTTTTTAAAAAGAGAGAGAGAGATGGGATCAAGCATGAAGAAGAGAAGGGCTCATACCTGTCATGGAGCATGGAACGCTGTCCTGAATGAGGAAGAGGGGTTAGCTTGATTCTGCCTGAGCCCAGAGAGGTGATGTAGGGAAATCATGAAGAGGAAAGATCAGGCTCGGTGTTGCTGCTGACAGCTGGAGCTATCTTAAGGTGGAATGAGGGTGATGAGGGTTCCCCCTCATTGGAGGTGCTTAAGCAAAAAGCCAGACGAACACCTGTCCAGCCAGTTGTGGCAGGGGTTCCTGCTCAGGTCTGCTCTGACGGCTTCTGAGATTTGAAACTCTCCGATTGTCGCACAGAGCCCCTGCCGACACAGCTCTACCCCACTTTGCTCTTTCAGGACCGGACCCGGGCAGCCCTGCTGGACAATCTTCATGATGAAATGCACACCCACACTCAGACTATGCTGGGGCTGGGGCCTGAGGAGGACAAGTTTGAGAACGGGGGCCACGGAGGATTCCTGGAGTCGTTTAAGGTAAAGGAACATGAAAGCTCGGCTTTGGCGGGGGGAGGGGCAGGGAAAGGAGGGGACTGACCCAAAGGCCTGCTTGAAGATGGCCGGTCTGCTCCAAACCCAGTCCACGGATGACAGCCAGGTTTGGTCTGATCAGCAAGGCAGCAGGTGTACTAGTATGGAGCAGTAGACTTGAGATGGGGGCAGTAGGTGGAGCAGAAGAATGCCTCCCAAATCTGTTTCTCTGCCCCTTATGGAATCTCTGACCATCGAAATTAAAATCCGGCAGGCATCTAGCAAGTACCTTCTGTGTATATAGAGCACTGCACTGGGTGCCAGGGATAGAAAGATAAAAAATAACTCAGCCCTCTCCCAGGTGGCCCTGTAAGCAGGGAGGAGGGAACAGGTGCTGGAGATATTGTAAGGTGGCAAGGAGAGTGCCTGGAAACGGATGGGTATGAGAGGGAGGACGCCTGAGCCGCGAGGAGGATGGCGACGCCCTCTGCCACCTCTCCTCCTGGCTCAGGTGCCAGGGACAGCAGGCAGGAACCCCTATTTAGCCTTCAGGGTGGAGGCTGGGGCGGGGGAGTCAGCAAGACCAAACACCAGAGGTTACTGTGTCAGTCATTAAACAAGCATTTCTGAGCTGGTTGCCATATTCTAGGCATTGTTAAGTTCGGGGATACAAAGATAGACACAAACAGGCCCTGCCCTCAAGGAGTTTACATTCTAATAGAGGAGAGTTTAGGTGCTGGACTCCGTCTCTTGTTGGGGAAGGTTTGTGGAAAGGTTAACTTCGGGGGTTATCTACAACCAGTGGGATGGCATTCTTATTCTCCTGCTCTTGATTCCTCCTTGGATAGCATACCAGGCGAGGCCAGGGGAAGAGCATTCTCCTAGGGAAAGCTCTCTCCCCTCTTACCCGATCCCCTCTCCCCGGACTCCTTGGCCAGCAGACAGCATTGCTTCTTTGGTTCTCAGTCAGGGCACATGGCCCAGATTCATCCAAAGACAGGGCTATGGAAGGGTGAGCAACACATTGCTAAAGCTGGCGGGAGGGTCCTCAGGGGTCTGCTTAAGTGCCGAAGGAAAGCTACTAGCCGAGTGATGGAGAGAAAGCAGAGCCCATTAGGGAAAATCAGAAGAGGAGGAGCAAGGAAAAAAATGGTGGGGAAGGGCTAGGACAAGACCCCGATTGAGGAGGAGGGATGAGTGAAATAGTTCAGATGAGGAAATGTTCTGGGATTCTAGGAAAGATAGAGAAATCAAAGCTGGAGGCATAAAGCAGAGTGAGATTCCCAGAGCATGCTGAGGTCATCTCACTCACCTACCTTCTTCAAGAAGGGCAGCCCACGAATTGTGCTTTATGATTGAATGTTGAGTCCACTCCTAAAGAGGTCTAGGGAAGGAGATACCACCAGCTTTCTTGTTCACCTGCTTTAGTGTCTTATCCCAAGAAGTCGGGATACTCTGCTCTGCTCTGCATCCCTCCCACAGGGGTCTGGGATCACGTTCTTGGCTAAACGTCCCCTTCCTTGTTTTTAGTTGGTTTTTTTTGTACCCATCTCCATGGTAACGCCAAGGACATCTGGCCAAGTGTCATACCCCGTTAGATCCTCTTCTTCTCCCAGCTGCAGAGCCCAAACTTCCTCACCTACCATATAGATGTTGGGGCCTGGCCCCTCAGCCACCTCTCTGGTCCCTCTACCATTGCTCTGCGCTATGGACACAGGCCTGGGGACAAAACAGGGCCAGAGGAGCACAGAATCAAAGTGAGACATTGCTTGTGGCACTAAGATTCTCTGTTCTGTTCCTGCCAAAGCCAGTTGGTGGAGTTTGTTGGAATACGGGTCCGGGGGAGCTGGGGTTGTAGGTCTGACCCCCTGAGCACCAGCCAATTCACAGGACCTTGGAGCAGTGGATGGTTCCAAGTAGTGGCATCCTCCCAGCTGCCTCTAGCCCATGCGTCTGTCACAGGTGCGGATCCCTCCTTGCCCCCCTCCCCTATTTCTTTGAGATATATGAGGTGCCCTAGGCATGATAGGATTTAGAGCCAGAAGGGACTGTAAAGATCATATAGTCCAATGCCTTCATTTCACAGAGGAGGAAACTGAGGTCCAGAAAGGGAAAGTGACTTGGCCAAGGATGAATGGAGTTACTTCGGGGAAAAAAAAAAAAGAATGTAGAGGTAGGTCATCTAGAATAACCCCCATAATTTAAGGATTTAGGAGAGGGAAAGGGACTTGGCCAAGGTCATGCAGAGAGTTGGTAGCAGGGCTGGAATGCGGACCCAAATTGTCCAGCACTCATTCATTCAGTCATCGGAAATGAGTTCCTCCCAGATCTGCTAGGATCCGATGGCTGTTCCACTGGTCTGAACCTGACCCCTGCTGGCTGAAAACAGAGCCAGCCCGCATCGGTCATCTAAGGATCCCCTGTGGCTTCACCAGACAAGGACACAGCCGTGGCGGCTCCAACTCCTTCCCTTCCCCCTCTTCTTCCACTCCACCCCCGTGGAAATAGCCAGTGACAAAGTCCTGATGGTTCAGTCTGCTGTGGGGTGGGCCCGTGAGTCTGCAAGCATCCGTGAAGCCACTACTGCAGGCTAGGCTCTGTGCAGGGCACTGGGGAGTCACCAATCCCTGCCCTCAGGGAGATTACATTCTATCAGGGGAAACTGTGTATAAACATAAGGAAAGAGAAAAATACGAAGTAAACTTAAAAGCACCATTGGGAAAATTTTCCTGTAGAAAGGGGAGCTTTATTTGAATTTTGAGGAAAGTGAGACATTCTAATACATAGAGATGCATTCTAGGCATGGGATATGGGAGAAAAGTCATGTACTAGGAATGGTATGGAGGCCAGTTTGCCTGGACTATGATGTTTGTGAAGGAGGTCAATGCACATCATGGAAGCTGGCTTGGGCCAGACTTTAAAGATCTTTAAATGCCAGACAGAAGGTCAAGTGCTCTGTCCTATATACAGTGGAGTTTATTAAGCAGGACAGTGACGTGGTCAAACTGCTACCTTAATTAGAGTTGTTGTAGTTGTACAGGTGAGAGATGGTAAGTGCATGAGCTAGGCTGTGTGAGGGGAGAGAAAGAGGGATATGAGAAATATGGGGTTAGAATCAACAGGGTTAGGCAACTGATTGGCTCGGGTGGGGGAGGTGCTAGGAAGGACACTGACCAATCAAGAAGGTCTCTGGAGTTGGGAACCTATGTGACAGAGGATGGTGGTGCCCTGTGAGAACTAGAGAAATTAGGGTGGGTGTGGAGGAAAAGGTCTTGAATTCTGTTTTGGGCATGGGAACTTTGACATCCAGTTCAAAATGTCCAGTAGGCAGTTGATGATGGAGGACTAGAGGTCACTAAGAGAGATTAGGGCTGAATGTGTAGATCTGAAAGTCAGATAGTAAGTGTTTAGTAAATGCTTTTCATTCATCTGCATAGAGATAGTAACTGAATCCATGGGAATTGATGAGCTTACTGAGAAATAGGACAGACATAGGCAGAGAGACAGACAGAGTCAGAGACAGACAGACAGGCAGAGGAGAGAGAGAGAGAGAGAGAGAGAGAGAGAGAGAGGAAGAGAGGGGGAGGGGAAGAGAGAGAGAGAGAAAGAGAGAGACAGACAGACAGACAGACAGAGACAGAGAGACAGAGAAAGAGAGAGAGACAGAGAGACAGAGAGAGACAGAGAGAGCCAGCCCTGAACAGACCTTAGGACACACCAAGGCCAAAAATATGGGTTTGATCCCGAGATAATAACATGTACAGAAAAAGTCCCTAGGATGCCCCTCATCCCTGGCCAGCCAGCTTCAGGTTGAATGCTGTGGGTCATAAGGGAGACCAGACACTCACTCAGGTATTTGTCACTGCCAATATGATGTGAACCTCTTTGCTCAATGGTGACCCATAACTGCAGTGTCCTAGAAACAGGATTCTGACTTTACACTTTTGTTCAGTGACTCCAGAAATCCTAATGAAAGAAACATGGGCTAACGGTGAGAAGAAAGAATCAGGTGTCTGTCTCCTAGTCTCTATCCCTTTTCTCCTTTCCTTCCTCTCTTACTTTTTCTCTTTTTTCTGTCCATCATCCTCAGTTTCTCCTCTTTCTCAGGCTTCCTAGGAGAACCTGGGAGTCATTGGCCGTCTGTACTGCACAGAAATATCTGGTTGAGAATGGAAAAAACAGGTGAAATTTTGCCATTAGTCAACAAGTGTTGGTTAAGTTTCAAGGCAACCATAGCGTACAGGGAGAAAACCAGCCTTGAAGCCTGCAAGACCTGGGTTCGAATTCTGACTCTAACCACAGCACTTAATTTCTCAGTGTTCCAGGGAAATTTCTAAGACTAGAAATTGCAAAGCTGATGCAGGTTTTTCACCAGGAATTCCCCATGTAGATGAAATCACAGATGTGGTCCAATGTGCCAGGCACTGTGCTGGGGAGACGAGGTCAAAAATGAAACAATCCTTGACTTCAAAGAAGTTATGTTCTAACAGAGGATACAACACAAATAAATACAAGTGTACATAGTATATATTACAAATATATATTTCTAAATATGTATATATATAGTATATCATAAGATGTATTAAATGTGTATATAATGTTATGTACATATACATAAATGTATGAATTCAAATATATATCTACGGTGATGGAAACAGTTTCCTTCCCAAGAGATGAAATCACAGATGTGGTCCAATGTGCCAGGTACTATGTTGGGGAGACAAGGTCAAAATGAAACAATCCTTGACTTCAAGCAAGTTATATTCTATCAGGGGAAACAACACAATACAAGACAATACAAGTAAATACAAATATACACAGTATATATTATAAATGTGCATTTATAAATAGGTATGTACACACACACACACACACACACACACACATATATATATATATATATATATATATATATATATATACAGAGTAAATGCAAAATAATGGGGGGGGCAATAGCAATGGGAGGGATTCTGAAAGACCTCGTAGACGTGGTGGCCCTTGAACTGACCTTTGGAAGGAGCTCAGGCTTTGAAGAGGCAGAAGTGAGAAGGGAGGGTGCTCCAGACATGAGAGACGACCCGTACAAAAGCATGGGATGAGAGATGGAATGTCTTAAGCAAGGAATGAGAAGTAAGTAAGTAGGCTGGAACATAGAATGTGTAAAGATAATGGTGAGTTCTGTTTTGGATGTATTCAATTTGAATTGTGTACAAGAGGACCAGTTGGAAGTATCTAATAGGCAGTTGATGACCCAAGAGTGGACTTAAGAGATTGGAGCTGGATCCATAGATCTGGGAGTCAGCCTGCCTCCAGATACATCTACACTGAATCCATGGAAGCTGAGGATATCTCAGAAAGTGCACGTGTGGAGAAAAGAGGAGGCACAGGGCAGAGCCTTGTTGCCCCGGTTGAGTGACTTGCTTAGCCACATTGTCTTCCCAAATCAGGCCATTGTCCCATGGGCTGGGAAGTATCCCCACTGCTTCTTTCTTTCTCCCTTCCCTATTGACAAGAGAATTATCTCCCCACCCACCCAGGTCCCTGGGCAAGTTATTTCATTTGTCTGAGCCGTGAAAGGACAGGGCTGGACTAAGTGGTCTCAAAGGTCCTTTCCCAGCTCTGAAAATCTGAGTCTCTGAGCCCAATGTTCTGTCTCTGATAGAGAAGTCTGCAGTATAATAGGACACAGAACCTGGAGTCAGCAAGACCTTGGTTCAAATCCTATCTCAGATCCTTATTATTTTTGTTACCTTGGACAAGTCACTCAACCTGTATGCCTCATTTTACTCATCTATAAAACAAGGGGGTTGGACTCAATGGTTTCTAAGGTCCGTTGAGCTCCAGGTCTATGATTCTTTGAGATGACATTGGAGGTTTAATGGGAGGGCAAGATTACCTTCCTTGGCATCAATATCCATGCCCCCAAGCACCTGAAGTTTCCCTTAACGGCCCACCCAGAAGTGTTTGCCAACTTTGATGGCGCCTCTCGCTGCTTTCGGCTTGGACCACCTGCTTAGTTAGGAGTCCTTTCAGTTAGGGAGGCTCTGTGATTTGGAGGAAAGAGCTTGTCGTTAGAATCAGAGGACTTGCATTCAAGTTTTTTTCTCTGCCACTGACTGCCTTTGTGACTTTATACCTCTGTGCCTCAGTTTCCTCACTTATAAAATGAAGGAGTTGGATTAAATGAGCTAGAAAGTCCCTTCCAGCTATAAATATGTGACACTATGATTTTTTTTAAATGGACACTTGTGTGATGTATCTTAGAGGCTTCACAGCATCCAGAGAAATTTACCATCTTGATAAGGGCATCTCCGCTCCAGCTCCCCCTTCTGCCCTCCACCCACAGCCCTTCTCTGTTTTGCAAAGTATATGGCTGTTGTCATCTTTCAGTGAGGCGGCCAACAGGACATGGCCGTTTTAATGACATTTCAGGAGACCGTTGCTAAGAGACCTAGTTCTGTGAGCTGGAGGGGAGATGCATCTCTGGTGGTGAGTCTGTGGCTTGGCATCTGAGAGAAGGGTGCACGGCCAGGGGAGGGTGTTAATTCTTTATGCTCAGTTTGGAGGAAACGTGGCTCCAGAGAATGAGTGCTCGCTCTGTGAATAACCCTGCCCCCTCCATTAATCTACTTAATTGGCTGAAGCCGGAAGACAAGGCACGAGCCTTCTCCATGATGGCTTTCTAGGAAGGGAGAATTTCTGAACCTGAGAGACCTCAGTGAAGGTAGAATTTTTCATATGCCTGATTAAGAAGACCCTTTGGGTCCCTATTGCCTCTAGAATCAACTATAAACCCCTTATTCTGGCATTCAAAGCCTTTCACAACCTAACTCCATTGATGGGGTATCTGGCAATGTTCAGCACACTTCATGGTGAGCTGGAAAGCCTGCCCTCGATGGTCCAATGGCTGCCATAACCATACAAACGTGTTTGTGCCCATGGGAACCTAGCTCTAGAGCTGGAAGCAACCTTAGAGGCCATCCAATCCAATGCCCTCATTTTACAGATGGGGAAACTGAGGCCAAGGGACTTGCCTAAGGTCACACAGGTAGTAAATGGCACATGCATCCCTCACATATGTATACATGCATGTACATGTGTGAACAAGGCAATAATAACAATAGCTCGCTTTTATATAGCACTTTAAGGTTTGCAAATACCCAAATGAGCTATCTCATCTGATTCTCATAACAACTCTATGATGAAGATGGTATTATTATCTCCATTTTACAGATAAAGAAACTGAGACCCATAGAGGCTAAGTGACTTGCCCAGGGTCAGTCACATAGCTAATAAGTTTCTGATGCAGGATTCAAACTCAGGTGGAAAACTGGATGAAAATGTGGTTCAGTCAGCACAAGCACTGCTTGACAACTTATACGTAGTCTTGGAGAATTCCTGCCTCACTGAGAGGTTAAGTGACTTCCTCAGGGTCACACAGGCAGGACTTGAACCCAGGTTTCCTGACTTCAGGGCCAACTCTCTATCCACTTTACCAGGCTGCCTCTCAGGCCAGGATTATTATATCCATATTATGGATGGAGAAACTCAGGTAAAGTAATTATTTGCCCGTGATCACGTTCCTAATATGTGCATGAGGTTGGGATCCCACGCATTAGACTCTTCAATATTTAATGAATTAATTGGAGAATTTTGAAGTTGGAAGGGACTTCAGAAACGACACAGATCAATCTCATGAGGAAGGCAGTCCCTGCCCATTGTCAGATAGCTGTCATTATTAGGAAATCGATCCTTACACTTGGCTGATTAAAGATGAGATCATGGAATCCTCCAAGGGACCCTAGGGGTCTTCTAGTCCAACTCCCTCGTTTTACAGATGAAGACACTGAGGCCCAGAGAGGTTAAATGAGTTGTTCTAAGTCACACAGCTAGGAAGTGGCCAAGCTGGGATTGGATCTTGAGTTCTCTGGCATCGTCTCTCTTTCCTCTGAACCACTCTGGCCTCCCTGTAACTTCCACCCATTGGCTAGAAATTCTCCTTGGTTCTCAGGACTACAAAGTTAATCTACTCCTCCTCGCACAAACAGCCCTTCAGATATTTAGAGCCAATTCTCATATTGCCCATCAGGTCTTCTCTCCCCTGGTTTCTTCAACCAGTCCTCAGTAACAAAGGCTAAAGTCCCTTCACTGCTGCAGGTTGTACATTTAGAGCTGGTAGGGATCATCATTGTACAGATGAGGAAACCAGAACCCAAAGAGGTGAGTGGTTTGCCCAAGAACACACACGTAGAAGCAACAGAGCCAGCATTTGAATTCAGGGCTTGTGACTCCACAATTCACCAATTCAGCAAGCACTTATTAAGTGCCAACTGTTTGCCAGGCACTGTGCTATGTCCTGAGGATGCAGTAGCATAACTGAAACAGTCCTGGCCTCAAGGAGCTTACACCCTATTGGGAGGAAACAACAGAGACCTATATAAGCAAACAAAAACTCTATACAATGTGTTTCCAGAGGGGTGGGCACAGGTCTCATAGGAAAGGCAGTTTGTAGCCAAAGTTCCAGAGGGTGCAAGGATATGACAGAAAGAGGATTGGGTCTGAAGACCTGGGTTCAAATCTTGGCTCTTCTGCTGACTGTCTATGTGACCTTGAGCAAGTCACAGTCTCTCTGGGCTGCAGTTTTCCCATCTGTAAAAGGAGGGAATTGGACTCCCGGTCAGCTCTAGATCTCTGATTCTAAGACAGGGATCGGGACCCAAAAGGGAGGGGTCACAGGGATGGTTCTGGCGGAGGAATAAGCGATGCTTAGAACTTGAGTTTAGGTGGCTAATGGTGGCTAATGTCTCGCCATCCCAGGAATCCTCCCAATGACCTCATTATCCTCAAGCTCTGCCCTGATCAATCATTAACCAAGCAGTTTTTAGATACTGAGCTTCAGGCACTGTGTTGGGGATGCAAAGACAAGTGTTTTCATCGGCAAATATTGCACCTTGGTTCAGCCTTACATATGTTTGCCTCCAATGCATTGTATCATGTGCATGTCCGAGGCACGTATTGTGTGTGTTTGCACACATGTATGTGGACACATGTGCCAGGCATAGATGTATTCGAATCCAGACGAAAGATATCCTAGAGTTGCCCCCGGGCTCCCCCTGGTGCCCACGCTCTTCTCTGCAGAGAGCCATCCGGGTGCGCAGCCACTCCATGGAGACCATGGTGGGGAGTCAGAAGAAACATCAGAGCGGAGGGATCCCAGGCAGCCTCAGCGGGGGCATCACACATAACAGCGCGGAAGTGACCAAGACCACCTTCTCGGTAAGTGCGGGGCTCTGGGAGGGAAGGAAGGAGGGAGAGAGAGAGGAAAGGAGGGGGGGGAGGGAAGGAGGGAAAGGAGGGAGGAAGATAAGGAAGGAGAGAGGGAGGAAAGGAAGGAAGGAGGGAGGAAAAGAGGAAAGGGGAAAGGGAGGGAGGAAGGAAGAGAGGGAAGGGGAGAGAGGAGGAAGGGAGGGAGAGAACAAGGGAAGGGGAGAGGGGGGAGGGAGAGAGGGAAGAAGGAAGGGAGGGAGAGAAGGAGGAAGGAAAGGAAGGGAGGAGGGAGGAAGAGAGGAAAGGGGAAAGGGAAGGAGGAAGGAGGAGAGGGAAGAGGAGAGAGAAGGAGGAAGGGAGGGAGGGAGGGAGAAAGGGGAGAGGAGGAAGAGCATTTGGCTAGGGGAGATCCATCTGGCGCAGGGAAGTGTTTGGAGAGTTGGGTGTTGGGGCAGGGGGGCGGGGAGCACAGCTCCTGCCTCAAAGACGGCGCACGGGACCTCACCCCAGAAGGCGTTTGGCACGTGAGGGTTTCACTTTGGGATTTCATCCGGCAGCCTCCAGTGGCAGCAGCCACGGGGAAGAACCAGTCGAGGAGTCCCATCAAGCGGAGGTCAGGGCTGTTCCCCCGCCTGCACACGGGCTCCGAAGGCCAGGCTGATAGCCGGACACGATGGTAAATCCTGGGGCTCATGACTGTGCTTTCTTTGCTGTCCCATCCCCCAGAGTGCTCGGGCACAGGGGTGGAGGTTGGAGGCAGCGGAGTATGTTGGAAATGGCATTCGTTATGGAGTCAGAGGACCTGGGTTCAAATGTAGCTTCTGATGTTTGCAACCTGTGTGACTTTGGGCCAGTTCCCCGGGTGGCTAAGGCCCTTCCACATTTGCCATCTGGTGATCCCAGTTATGAGTCCATTAGAACCTCTCCATAGACTAAAGAGGATTTTTGTATCCTGGGCCCCTCGAGGAGTCTGATGAAGCTTATGTACCCTTTCTCAGACAAAAAAAAATGCTTTTAAATGCATAAAATGAAATAAGATTACAAAGGAAACCAAGTATCTTAAAATACAGTTGGCAAAATATAAAGCACACAAGCACACACAGGTTCACAGATCCCTGGATCTTAAGAACTGCTGGCACAGACAGGTAAATGGATACGATGGCCTCTAGCCCCCTCTGGCCCAAAGTCAGGCGTTTCTTTAGTTGTAGGGGCAGATCAGGCCAACTTACATATAAAAATTAGGACAAATGCCTTGTCTCCATTTAAAAACATGCCACCAAGAGACAGGGAAATCACAAGCTGTGGGTTCTAGTCCCAGTGCTAACACTAGTTGTATAACCCAGGCCAAATGTCTTCACCTGTATAATGGGTATAATATCATTTATCTTCTCAATGGGTAGGATAGAGACTGGAGGGAGAAGAGCATTTGGAACTCAACATTTTTTTATATGAATGTAAAAAAAAATAGTAATAACCCTGACCAGAGCAGCGAGGTGGTAGAGTGGATAGAGCTCTGGGCTTAGAATCAGGAAGACTCCTCTTCCTCAGTTCAAATTTGGCCTCAGACACTTACTAGCTGTGTGACCCTGGGCAAGTCACTTCACCCTGTTTACTTCAGTTTCCTATCTGTAAAATGGGAATAATTGTGCTGATAGCACCTACTTCACAGAGATGTCGAGAGGCCCAAATGCTGTAATGCAAACTCTAAATTGCTATATAAGTGGCAGTTATATTACAGCCCATGTGGTCTGCAAGCCCAGGACTTTCTCTCATTAGCACTGGAGTCCTGACTCAGGGCTCTAAAACAACTAGAGAAGAATGATGTGGGTCTGTGTAGGGCTCCTGAAAGGCTGTGAAGGTGGGGATAAAGAGAGGCTTTCATGGGCTCTGCTCTAAAGCTTCCCAAGGACTTGCAGGTGGAGAACGTTTCTCTGACCCAGAGGGACAACCTTACTCTGAAGGCATAATTTGGTGACTGCTGCATCCTCCTTCCCTTCCCTACCCCCACCACGAGTGAGAGAAAAAGCCAGATTTATGAATCACTAGCCTTTGACTTAGATGGCGTAGGAGCTAAATGGCACACGTGATTTGGCAGCAGGAAGACCTGAATTGAAATCCTGCCACGGAAATTTACTATATATGTGACTTTGGAGAAGTCACTTAACCTGCCTCAGTTTCCTCATCTGTAAAATAGGGATGATGATAATAATAGTGTAAGAATCAAATGAGATAAAGCATGTAAAGTCCTTTGAAAACCTTGAAATCCTATATGTAAAAGTTATTAATATTATTATTGTTATCTTTTCCCTCCTTCCTGTCTCCTCAGTGACAGTGTCTCTAGCACTCCCAAGACTCCAGATGGTGGCCATTCCTCTCAGGAAGTGAAATCAGAAACCTCGTCCAACCCCAGCTCTCCAGAAATTTGCCCCAACAAAGAGAAGTAAGCGGGCAGACCTTCTCTGGAGGAGCTAGGCAGCGGGCAGTCAGAGGGGGCACAGGGAGGAGGGCTGGAGCCTCAGGCTGGATCGGAGGAGCTGCCCTGGCACTGTGCTCACCCAGTGACTGCAGGGGCGGGGGGCCCTGTGTGTGTGGGGGCAGGGGCTTCGTTCCCACCCCTTCTGCCTCTCTTCCCCAGGCCTTTTGTCAAGCTGAAGGAAAACGGCCGATCCAGCATCTCCCGGTCCTCTTCCAGCACCAGCAGCTTCAGCAGCACAGCCGGGGAGAGCGAGGCCATGGAGGAGTATGACATTGTGGTAGGCAGAGCCGCTACCCAGAGAGAACCCAGACTCTCACTCATGCCTGTGAGGGCCAAGAAGTGGAAAGGCCTGGGCCGGGGCCCTCCACTGGCCCTTCCTCTTCTCTCCAACCTTGGGACTCACACACAGCATTTATTAAATACCTACTATGAGTCAAGCACCGTGCTGGCTTCTAGGAGTACAGTGACAAAAGTCCTGCCTGCAAGATCTTATGTTCTGTTTAGGGAGATAGCCAGTCAATAAACACCTACTGTGCCCCAAGCATTGTGCCAGCTGAGAATGCCAAGATAAAAGTGAGGCATTTCCTACCCTTAAGGAACTTACCTTCTAAATAGATATTCAATCAACAAGCACCTACTATGTGCTATGTGACAAAAGTATCTGCCCACAAGGAGCTTACATTCTAAATAGATACTCCTCAACAAGCACCCACTATGTGCTATGTGACAAAAGTCCCTGCCCACAAGGAGCTTACATTCTATTAGAGGGATGGAGCATGTTCACAGATAAGTAAATACAGGATAGATATCCCTGCAATACACTGGGATGCTCTCATAAGTAGAAGAATCAGAAAGGATGTCTTGAAGGAGGAAGCCCCTGAGCTGAGCCTCAGAGGGGGCTTGAGGTCCCCAGAGGCGGATCTAAGGAAGGAGAGCATTCCAGGCAAAGTTGTAAAGTGGGAGGTGGAATTCCCTGTACCAGGAGCATGCAGGAGGTTAGTTTAACTGGAGCTAGAATGTGTGATGGAGGATAGTGTGAAAATGGCTTGTGAAGATGAACTGGAGTCGTATTGTGAAGGGCTTTAAGTGACAAAAAGAATAATGTAACTTGAAGGCAATAGGGAGCCACTGAAGGTTTTTGAGCAGGGGAGTAACGTGGACAGACCTGTACTCTCAAAATATCACTGGCACCTGTGCAGAGGATAAATTGGAGAGAAGGGAGTCTGGATGCAGGGAGCCCAATTAGAAAGCTATTGCATTAGTCCAGATGAGATAGCAAAGGTAGTTTGGTGTGAGGAAAGAGAGATAGGTGTAGCAGATGCCAAGGAGGTGAAAGCCACCAGACTCAGTGACTAATTGGAAAAGGGATTGGGAGGAAGTAGTGAGCAACACTGCCAGGTGGGAAGACCCCCAGAACATCATAGATGTTCTGCAGAGAGAGAAACAAAGGGCTGGAAATGAGTAACACCTACTGTGTGCAAACTCAGCCCTAAGTCCTGTGGACTTGTTATGGACTTGTGAAGAGAGGATTACAAAAGTCAGGGAAGATCCAAGATTCCAAGACATTGGCTGTTGTGTATCGACTGAATATGAAAGCAAGGCATGGATGGGGAAACAGAGGCAAGGAGGGCAAGGACCCTGACTGAGGTGAGGGAAGGAAGACTTTCTGGAGGGAGGAGGGAGGCCTGGAGCCAGGTGTGAAGGAAGTCAGAGACATGAATTCACAGAGAGGCCAGGAATCTGACGTGTCAGGCAGGGAAAGTGATACTAGCAGGCGGGCAGGGACTGGGTTGGCTGGATCACAGACCATAGATTTAAAGCTGATGGGGAAATTGGAGGCCATCTGTTCCCAGCCCCTCGGGCAGCTAGGTGGCGCCATAGCGCATAGAGCGCCAGGCCTGAAGTCAGGAAGACTCATCTTACTGAGTTCAAATCCCACCTCAGATACTTACTAGCAAGTCATTTCACCCTGTTTGCGTCAGTTTTCTCATCTGTAGAATGAGCTGGAGAAGGAAATGGCAAACCACTCCAGCATTTCTGCCAAGAAAACCCCAAATGGGGTCACGGAGAGTCAGACGTGACTGAAAACAATTGAATAACAAAGTCCAACCTACTCATTTTATAGATGCGAAAACTGAGGCCCAGAGAAATTTAGTGGCCTACTCAGGGTCACACAGCTAGGAAGTGTCAGAAGTGGGATTTGAACCCAGGTCTTCTGAGTCCAAATCCATTGTTCTTTCTTTTGTACTAACCAGGGGGACCTGGTTAGGAAAGCCCTACTTCAACAACAAATTCTTCGGTTCAGGCAGGGGATGCAGCTACTTTTTCTGGTTGAGTGGGAAGGGGCCTGGCTTTGGTGAGAGAGGACCTGGGTTTGGATCTCACCTCTACCACCCATATGATGTTGGGCAAATAATTTAACTTCTCTGGGCCTCAGTTTCCTCATTCATATAAAGAGGGGATGAGACTCCCTGGCCTCTGAGATCCCAGCAGCTTGAAATCTGTGATTCTGTGATCTCTGACAAAGGTAAAAGCGGTCTATTTTCATGGCTGGAGAGGCAGGCTTGAATTTAATCAATCCACAAGCATTTATTAAGCCCATATCATACACTGGGCGCCAGGAATACAAGTAGCAAGAATGAAGCAATCCCTGCTCTCAAGAAGTTTCCATTCTGTTGGCAGAAAGCACAGACACGTTGAACCACTCCGTCCCTAGGCAAGTCTTTAAGACTGTAAGCTGTATGCAGAGGGCTGGCCTGTATTGGTGAAGGGAGTTCCAGTCCCTGACCCTCACTGTTGTGATGAGTCAGGGGCTCTGCTCTCCTGGAATCTGGCTGGGGAGGGGATTGGTCAAGGCAGGTCAGGGAGGAACTTGATGTCTCCAGACCCACCTGCATGGGAAGCTTCATCAGGACCGAGTTTGGGGAGTGGCCAGAGAGGAGGGATGTGATATGGGGGTGAATGTAAAAAACCATCCAGCTGCCCATCCTCTTACCCGTCTCTCTCCCCCCCAGAGCAGCCAGCCCTCCACAGCTTCACCCTTCAAGCAGGAAGTCTTTGTCTACAGCCCGTCCCTGAACATCGAGAGCCCCAGCCTAGTAGCAGCAGCGACCCCCTGTTATCATGAGCCGGAGTCCGACAGGTCAGTGATGTCCAGGATGGGGTGGCACTGGGTAGCCTATGGGGAGAACCCCTTCACCGTGGCTGATAGCATCTGATCTTGTCCTGCAGGTGGCGGCCTGGTAGAGCCGAGAACGGAGCTTGGGTTTGAGCCCCAACTCTGAGATGGGGAGGTTCTGGGCAAACTGTGACTTCTGTGACAGTCACTGTGTGGCTATGGGATGCAGCAGTGGGCACCACTGCTTCTCTGTGGCTCCCAATGTAGCCTTGATGGGCATTCCTGGGGATCTCTGGTGGAGAGGGAGGCTCAAGGGCCCTGGAGACTATAGCCATAGAATCAGGTAGAGTTGGGCAGTGCAGTGGGGAGGTGTGCTTTATGTGGAATCTGAGGACTTGGCTTTGCCTGGCAGCGGGGTGGCTCAGCAGATAGAGTGCTGGGCCTGGGGTCAGGAAGACCTGAATTGACTTCTGGCCTCAGACCTTTACTAGCTGTGTGACCCTGAGCAAGTCACTTCACTCTGTTTGCTAAATAATCCTCTGAGATCCTTCCATCTCTACATCTATGATCCAATGCCCCTAAATGATCCCGAGTCACCTTCGTCTCCGACCCTCGCTCTTCCAGCTCTGATGCTATGAGCGTGTGAGGTTTCAGGTGTGGGAGTGTGCCAGGAAGCAGCCCCACCTCCTCCCTTGGCCCCTGCGCTCTGGTTGTCCGTCCACAGGGTGCCCAGTTTGGTTGGTTAGACAACAGCACCAAGGTGGTTGAAGTGGCAGGTTTGATGCCCATGTGGATCAGTGATCTTGTGCTGTTTCGCAGCCACAGATGGCATCCCCAGCCCCCCCAACCTCCTCCTTAGTGAAGCATCCTATCACAAACGAAGCAGAAGAACGAGCAAGCTCAGGGTAGGCATCCTGTCGCTAGGGAGACAATGAAAGCAGACAGCTGTGTGATTGGCCGGGGGGGTTGGGTCGTTGGATGCAGAGAGCTCGCCATCATTCTGGGGACCAATAGTGAAAAGCTTAATTAGCTTTCATTCAACAAGCATTTACTAAGTCCCAACTGAGTACAAGGCACAGAGGACACAGACAAAAACAGCAAAATCTACCTGCCTTCTAGTGGTTTACATTCCATGGGCTTCTTGTACCATGGTTCAACACACATACCCTATAGCATACTTTCTCTGCAGAGTATTTCCCAGTCCCTTCAATTGGCCATCCCTTCTAGCAGCTTGGCAATAAATCAGCCATAACATATAATGACAATGATAATAGAACGGATGATAGAGGCCTTTGAGTCCAACCCATGGACCATTGAATATGAATCTTCATGCAACGTGTCCAACAGGAGAGCTTAAAGACCTCCAGTGAGTGTAAACGGCAAACATTGGTTCAGCGCTGAATGTGTGCCCTGTCAAGTAGTAGATACTACGTGTGGGAGATGCCAAAAAGATAGAGCATCTGCCTTCTGTGAGCTCCCAGTCTAACTAGGAAAAATTAGGTAATAGGAGAGAGTAGTATGTGATGAATCACGAAGTGAGGGTGATAAGTAATGTGTCAGGCGCTTTGCACATCAGGGGAATTTTTGGCCAAGGTAACCAGGAAATTTCAGAAACCAGAGGGCCAGTCACGTCCCAAGTCACATGTGTAATTTCACTTCCAGAGTCATTTGCTTTTTAGGGTCTTGCTTCGACTCGTCCCACTGAGGGCTGATGCTCCCAACACTGAAGTGTTTTCTGTTCAGTGTCGTACACGACAGGGATCAGACAGTAAATGCCGCAGTCATACCAGGGAGTCAGCCAAGGCTCAGAAGCACCCAGATAGATGAGGCACGCCAAGCTGTCTGGTGACAGTCTCAATTTTCCTTACAACGTGTTTGAAAGACCAGGCCTCAAGGCTGTGAGCTGAGTGTGGTCCAGGTTGGCACTTACCCTTCCCTAGCCATGGGCAAACCAGGACAAAAAGTCCATTGATCCTCTCATCACCAACACTGACTGGGTCATGGCTGGATACAGAGCTTTGGGCTGTACACAGGTGAAGGTAAAGGGAAAAAGAAATAAGCATTTATAGAGGGCCTACCTGGGCAGCGAGGGGGGGTACAGCAGATAAAGTGCCAGGCCTGGAGTCAGGAAGAGCTGAGTTCAAATCCAGTCTCAGACACTTCCTAGCTGTGAGACCTTGTGCAAGTCACTTCACCCTGTTTGCCTGCATTTCCTCATTTGGGCTGCAGAAGGAAATAACAAACCATTCCAGTATCTTTGCCAAAGAAAAAAAAAACCAAAACACAAAAAGCAACCCAAAAAACCCACATGGGGTCACAAAGAGGCAGACATAACCGAAAAATTGCTGAATAACAACATATGCCTATTATGTGCCCGGCACTAGGCTAAGCACTTTTTATAAATATTATTTTATTTGATCTTAACAACACTGTGAGGGAGGGACTGTTATTGTCCCCATTTTACAGTTGAGGAAACTGAGGCAAAATAGGGGTTTAGTAATTTTCCCAGGGTCCCACAGATAGTAAGTGTATGAGGCAGGATTTGAACTCAGGTCTTCCTGACTCCAAGCCCAATGCTCTATCTACTCTGCCTACATGCAAAAATGCAAAAGAAACATGAGACATACTCAAGGCTCTCAGAACATTCATGGGTGGCTTGTTGGGGAGCCAAAAACACATTAAAGAAAAAAGATGACGGAGACAAAGCAACAAATTTGTTCTCTGTCTCTGCTTCTTGGAACACTAAGCTCCCTTCAAGGCTCAGGTCAAGGGCAGCCTCCTACAAGAAGCCTTCCGGGATCCCCCCAGTTGTTATTATGCCACCGGGGGTCCCATCGCTGTGTATCTTTTTCATCTGTATCCTGTAGTCACATCTCTATGAACATGTGCTCCTTGAGGGCAGGAATTGTTTCACTTTTGTCTTCCTACGCCCAGAGCCTAGTATAGTACCTGGCATTTGCTGCTGTCCCTCCTTTTCAATCCTGTCCAACTCTTCATGACCCCATTTGGGATTTTCTTGGCAAAGATACTGGAGTGGTTTTCCATTTCCTTCTCCAGCTTATTTTACAGATGAGGAAACTGAAGCAAACAAGGTGAAGTGACTTGATCAGGATCACACAGCTCACTAAGTGTCTGAGGCTAGATTTGAACTCAGGAAGATGAGTCTTCCTGACTCCAGGCCTGGCTCTCTGTGCACTGTGGTTCCCCCTATCTGCCTCTCTGGCACTCAGTAGGTGCTTAATAAATGTTCATTGATTGACTGGTTGATTGAAATGCCTTCCCTTCCTAATTTTTTCCCTGGCTGTTTCTCCTAGACTTGAAGAACAGGAACTCTCCAAGGTCCAATCTGAAGTTCCGCTTCGATAAGCTCAGCCACACCAGTTCCAGCTCGGTATGAAGGAGGCTCTGGAGCATGGGGGTTGAGGGACCTAAGGGGTTGGGGGGCCAGGGGAACATCAGAGAGTGCCTCATTCATACAAGGAACGCACAGGATCTGATTTGAAGGGTACCTCTCAGGGTCCTTTGGGCCCAGAATGCCTGAAATGCAACCACTCAAGGTTCATTGTTTTGACTCTTCAAGGCTCAGGGTCATCAGGAGCCCCCTGGGAAAACTCCATCACTATTGGCTCTTGCTGTATCAGTTATCAGCTGTCACTGTAGTTAGGATTAAGCTGGGCTGAAAGCATTCCATATGAATGGGAGCAGAGGTAGAGGTCTAGAGATGGGGAGGAAAGCAAAGGCAAAATCTGCCCCTTTTTTCCAATTTGGAGATGTGCCCTGCCTGGCAGAGAAGTCAGGGGTGTAGGAAGGAATGGGCTTGGAAGGCTGGGAGGAGGGAGGCCTCTACTGTCCAATTGGAGATCCTACAGCCCTTTGTTCTGTGTCAAAGCCTCTTAGGAAGACTATTTCTTTTGAGTCCCCAGCGGATTGGAGCCCCCCTCCCATATTCAAATGGAGAACCCACCTATCCGTATACAAAATGCAAGACCAACTCCCTACTGTCTTCTAGAACATAGGTCCAACCTTTTCTGTATAGCTTACTCCTATGGCAGTCCCTTGAAGCCTGTGGTTTCATTGTTCAATTGTCTCAGTCCTGTCTAACTCTTCATGATCCCCTTTGGGGTTTTCTTGGCAAAGATACTGGAGTGGTTTGCCATTTCCTTCTCCAGCTCATTTTATGGATGAGGAAACTGAGGCAAGCAGGGTCAAGTGACTTGCCCAAGGTCATACAGCTAGTAAGTGTCTGAGCCCCACACACTATCCACAAAACCACCTAGAAGCCTATGGACCCCTTCTGAAGCAACATTTTTAAATGCATAAAATAAAATACACAAGATTACCGAAGAAACCGATCACACTGAAATAGTTACCAAGATATTTTTAAAAACTAGAATTCCTGGATCCCAGGTTGAGCACCCGGAGGTCGGCTGTCCCTTTATCTGTTTTGGGCCAAACCTCACTTTCAGGTAGTTTGTTACTGCTGGGTAGCACCTGCTCATCGGATAGCATAATGGATAGAGGGATGGACTTGGCATTCTAAAAACCTGAGTTCAGATCTTGCCTCCTACTTACTAGCTGTGTGACCCTGGGCAAGTCACTAAGCCTCGCTATGTTTCTACATCTCTAAAACAGGGATAATAATAACACCTGCCTCATAGGGTTGCTGTGAGGACTCTTTGCAAACCATAAAGAAATGTTAGCTATCATTATTCTGCTGGTGTTGGTGAGGGTGTGGGGGGTCTACCATGTGAGGTCCCCCTTGTAAAATTTTTCTTGGTGTCCCCTGACAAGCTACTGAATTCTATACCTATTTATTATCCTGTCCTGGGCAGGTCACTTAATTTCCCTCAGCCTCAGTTTCCTCTTGTGTCAAATGAGGGAATTGGATCCGGTGATTCTAGATTTCTGATTTCTGATCTCCACTTACCCTTACTTCGATGCTCAGCCCACAACCCAGCAAAGATGAAAGTCTTTTTTGCCACTAAATACTTACCTGTTTCCCATTAAACCAGAAAAGTTTTGAGCTTCAGTCTGAGAAGCGAGGTTGTCTGTTTCCAGCATTGCATAATGGGAAAGAATGAGCACAGCCAATAAGTGGAAGTTTCCCGAAGTCAAGGCTTCTTAGGGGATGCCGTTATTTTGAGCATCAATTACCTGGTACTTTAGAACGCTAGAAAGCCAATTCAAGGGCAAGCAACCTTTCATTATCTGAGACTGGGGGTCTCCTTGGGCTTCCCTTCTCGCCTCCTTCCTGCAGAGAAGTGTGTCAAAAGCAGACCCTTTGTGCTATCCCCGTTTGACTTTGCACATGCCTGGCACACGATGGGTGAGAAATGCTTTTTGTGTTGCTAATCAATTGATGATCATGTGAAGTCTTTGTTCTGATTTTATCCTGGAGCAGGGTCACTAGTGGGGAAGAGAAGTCCTTCACCTGTCAAAGGTGAGTAGAGGGATAGTCCCCCTTGGAGCCCGGTGGGATGGGGCTTCTCTTTTCTATCCCCTTTCTGACCTTCACATTGACTTTGTAAAGGCCATCCTGAGAGAGTCAGCCAACTCTGGGCTCCGTCAGCCTGGGAAGTTTGGAGACAGGATTCAGTGGGCCAGAATCCAGATCCTCTCTTCCCTGAAGCTGCTAGGTTTGGGGCCAGGCCAGGGAGTAGACTGCATTTGACTACAAGAGGAGAGAGTTAATAAATGCTTATTGAATTAAAGTGAATTCCAACAGTCCAGTAGTCATATAGATGAATATGATAAGCTCCTTGAAGCAGAAGTCATCTTATTTTTGCTTCTGTGTCCTTAATGCTTAGCACAGTGCTGGGCACATAGTAGGGATTTAATGTATGGGAAGGGAAAAAGAAGGGAACAAAGCATTTATCAAGCACCTACTACATGCCAGGCACTATTAAGCACTTTACAAATATTATACCATATATGTTTGTTGATTCAATCATTCAAGCAATTGACAAGCACTTATTAAACACCAGCTGTGTGCTTGGCACTGTGCTAAGCTCTAAGGACACAGAGACAAAAATCCCCCTGCCTGGAAGAAGCTTACATTCTATATGACTGATTGTTTGAATTAATTTGATCGAGTATCTGCTATGTGCTAGGCTTGATGTTGAGTCTAAGACACAAAGACAAAAATAAAACAGTCCCTGCTAATCACACAATGAGCATTTATTAAGCACCTACTATGTGCCAGGCACTGTGCTAGGCAGTCCCTGCCCCCAAAGGGCTTAAATGGGAATTGAGTTTTCTGGGAAGGGGACAAGGGAATGAACATCATTTCTTTAACACTTGACTAGCATCTTTTCTGCCCCCATCCTATGGCTCTGAATGGACTCCATCACCCAGCCCTGCTGCTAACATTCTCCGTCTTCTGTGTTTGTCTCCTTCAGGGCAGTCCTGCCTCAGCCCAGGGAGATGGCCTCTCTTCCACCAAGACCTTGGGAACATCTGTCCACTACACTACTCCCTGAAGCTGCTCCCTTGCCCAGTGTCCCCACGCCACTGGCTTCAAGCTGAGGCCAGCCTTCCACTCAGCACCCTCCGTAACCTTCCCCGATGTTCCCTGGCGGGCACGCCTCCCACCTTTCTGAGAGGAGGCTTCTTGTACCATGTAGCATACACTGAACATGCTGCACCCAGCCCCCCCAGGGCCCATGCCCATAGATCTCTTTGTTGATTCACTTTGCGTACTCCCAGCCTGTGCCACAGCTGGGCCTCTGGCCAATGCTGTGTGTGCATCTGTGCTCTCTCCTACCCATGAGCACGGCCAGAAAAAGGTCTCTCTGCCCTAAGCTTCCTCCCCTAGCACTCTGTCTCCTCTGGTCCCCACCATGGTACATCTCCATCTTGGTTCTGTGAATGGTGGGCAGAGGTCAGGCTTTGGGTTCCCAGCCTAATTAGTCCATCCTGCTCCCTTCCCTGATCAAAATTTCATTATAAAGTGCCAGGAAGGCCCAAGACTTATGTTGGCAGGGCCCCGAACCTCCATATCTCTTTCAGGGAGCAGCCTCTGTTTAAGGGGGTGAGAGGTTCCTTCAGATGCTCCTTTTGGGAACAGGCTTGGGGAGGATGAGAGAAAGAGACAGAGAAAGAGTGAGACGGGAGCCAGGAAAGCCAGAAGCAAACCTTTCGCGCAGGGAAGGAAGGAGATGCTTTGAAGGTCAATGGTCTGTTCTAGGCTCCTGCGAGTTACATCATCATGTCTCGAGTAAAGCTGCCCTGGACATCTCCTGTGGCCGGGGAAGATGTCTCTAGGTAGGAGTTCCACTCTTCTAATGGTTGCCATCTTCCTCCCAGGAACCAAGTTTGGGAGAGTCTTGGCAAAATGCATCAGGACCAGTCAGGCCATCCCATCCCTCATCCCAATGGGCTTCCCAAAGCATTCATTTGTTAGCTCAACAAGCATTTATTAAGCATTTGCTAGGGAAAAAAATCTGTCCCTTGCTCCCTTCAGCTTCTCCCAACATCCCGGTGATCCTACTCAGCACCGTAGGGAGAGATGTTCATCGATGTGGATTGTCTGCACCCTTCCATGTCCAAAGTCAGACGTCTCTTCGGCCCTACCTCTTTTCATTCAGACCACAGGTCACTTTCCATGGCTGCTACAAGGGGACTCCCTTTCCCCTCCTCTTCCCTAGCTCTGATGGGCAGCTCCTTGTAAGTGATCAGAGGTCAAGTGCAGGGTCAAGGAGGGACTAGGAGAGATTATGTAGATGGTCATTAGTCAGCACATTCCAAGAGAGAAGATAGAAGTGTGCCAAGGCTGTTGAGACCTGGACCCAGATAAAGGCTTCTGCTCACATTTGGAATCCACTAGGGGTGTGCTTTAGTATTCATCCACTTCTCTTGCCCAGGCTTTAAGACTGAGAGCTGGAAATCACAAGAGCAGACGTAGCTCCTGGGATCATAGATCCAAAGCAGGCAAAGGAACCTCAGAGACTATCTAGTCTCTCATTTTACAGATGAGGAAACTGAGGCCCATGAAAGCAAAGTGACTTATTAAAGGTCACAGAGGTAGTAAGCTTCAGAGGTAGGATTTGAATCGATGTTCCTAGCCCAGAGGCTGACTTTCTATTACACCAGGGCCCAGTGGATGCTTTTACCTCTTAGAGATCTGGACAGCGAGAGCTAACTGAGAAGTATGCCCAGGAGGTGGGCTTAAGGTTCCCCTATCAACTCAATCTCAGACTTTCCAAAATATTAAGGGCAAAAGTCAGTCCCACATGCCAGATTCCATAGAACGTCCCCTGGTGTGCCATCATGGCTAAAGCAGACTTTATTCCAGGTCTGTGGCTGAGACCCCTTCCCTTTTTCCTGCCCTGCCCTCCCAACCCCTGTACTACCTGCTCTCCATCGATGGGATTCTGTCCATGGACTTCTGCTCACCCCAAAGGAGTTCCGAGCCTGGGCAGAAGGGCACAGATGTGACATTGGCTCCATGCCAGAGCAGGCTATTTTCCTTTATCTGTTCCCTCTAGTCCCAAGGACCCCACCTCCTTATGGACCAGCCTGATTCATAAGGGCTGTCCCGCCTCTGACCACACTCAGCCCATCCTCTCAATCAGAGATTTGAACCGAACACAAGTTTGGTGCAGCATGAGGCCCTTTGACTCACGTCCCATGATGCTGCCACAGATGCTTCTGGTGCAGATGGAGGCTGAATTTGTCATTTGATTTTAGAGTCCGAGATAGCTAACGCCTTTGAGGAAGTGCAGCCTCACTGCTTTCAAAGATACCCACTGACTCAAAGTCCTGGCCAAAATGTGCGTTGCCTCTGAATTTCAAAATAGTGTACAGTGTCTCAATTCAAACTAGGTACTCAAACAATTTAATGAGGTCCAGAAGCTTCTGGTGATGGGCGTCTTTCTTGGGGTCCACATGCCAGGGGCCTCCAAGATCCTCCCTAACAAAAACACCTATCACAAGGAGAGCTCTTATTCAAACTGCTTTAAGGAATGGATCAGAGGCACTTAATTCCAATCAAACAACTCATACACGACATGCCTCCGGGTCTGTTTTCCTCACCCAAATTGAAGGGGACAGTTTTCCTTTTTCTTGAGCAACAGTATAATTTCCTGCTGACTTCACCATGATGCGTTTTAGAAACAAGGACCCCGTTGATTTGGAATTTGTAATAATTCAAAAGTGGGCTAAGGTCCTTTTTTATTTTGTTAGAAGGGAGCTTCATCAGACACATGACACTTACTAGCTGTATGATCCTGGGCAAGTCACTTAACCCTGATTGCCTCACCAAAAAAAAAAAAAGGGAGCTTCAAAGTTACATGCTCTAACCTCATCTTTTGAAAGATGAAGAAACTGAGGTTTCTTTTGCTCAAGACAATTTGAGCAATTTGCAGAAATAATTTGCTCGAGGTCACTTAGTGTCAGAAATAGGATGATGATCCAGGCTCTCTCCCTGCTCCCCCATCCCCAGCCAGTCCTCTTTCCCCTTTCCCACCCTGCCCACCTGAAATTTCCCTCGACACACTACCTATAAGGAGAGGAGTTTATTCTAAATAAGTTTAGCCTAAATAAGATTGCTCTTATGAAGAACGTCTCTCAAAAGTTGGCCTAGTCAGGTGCTCTTAAAAATTTCTTTGGCAGCACCCATTTGTACATAAACAATGTGATTATTACATGTGATTCTTATCTTTTTCCCGCAGGTCAGGTAGGACTTGGCCACACTTTTCATTGTGTCTGTCTGTCCTTGAAAGTCATAAACAATGTTTAGTTGCAGAATATTCTCTATTTCTTTTCACTTGTCACTAATCCAGCCTGAGCCTTCTTCCCCTAGTCCTGTCCTGTCCCCTACTCACATTAGTCAAATAAGTAAGTTTTGACTGTAGCTGCTTCCATCTGCTTGGAAGCAGCAGTGCCTTTAATCATGGTTTGGGGTGATTGCGTTTTTAGATTGTAATGTGTCTCCCCCACCCCTGGGAGCATCAGGCCCCATCTCCTCCTACCACCCTGTCTGGCTCTAACCCATTCAGCCTGCCTCCAGGCAGGCAGCTGTCTGTCTTCTTTGCTGCTCCTCGGAGATGGAGTTTGGTGAGAGTAGACCAGCAGCCTTGAATTCTCATTTCCTTATATGTTGGCTTCAGTAGCCTCTGAAATAGCCCTTCCTCCCTTTGGGTCTGGCATGAAGACCCAGCATCCTGTAAATACTTACCATGTTGGCTTAAAGAGTGAAAATTATCTGCCCATCTGTGTCCCCGGTCCCAGGAGAAGGAAGAAAACAAGGCTAGGAACAAGGTTCTTCCTTGTGCCTCTGGATTTCAAATTTGTGTTCAGTACTGCAATCCGAACTTGGCTTTTAAACAACCTAAAAGACTTGACAGCACAGTATTTCCTACTGATGGGGGCCTTCGGGTCCCTGAGAGCTTCTCTTACAGTTGCATCTATAGAATGATCATGCCCTTCTCCTGGACTCTTGGCCTTTGGCATCGCTCTTTGGACTTACTGACGTTAGGTGTGAGGAATAGAGAATTAGCATAACTCTGCTGGTTATTAGCACTCAGCTTTGTTAATTTGGATGGTTCTCCTTGGGAATCTGAGAAGCTTGCCTCTGTGCTGTCTATGAAGAAACTGTTTGCCAGGTAGGCTTATAGCTAGTGGTAGGGATGGGGGAAGATTGCATCTGCTTGAGGAAATCAAGTGTTTTCAGGCACGTTGGTGGCACCCGACTGCTTACAGCTGCTGATTAACTCAATAAGACAAGCTGATTCTTCACCGTTCATTAAAGTGGCCCCAGCAGAACCTTTCCTGGCAAACCTTAGGTCAGCTAGAATGACTGTTTATGTTTGCAGAGTGACGAGGCAGCCTTCCTTTGGAATTGCTATTTTAGGCAGGCTTCAAAATCCTAGAAATCAGAGGCTGGGGCTTTGGAGACCATCTCATCCTACTCCTTCCCCTTAGGGAGGAGATAAACTGAGGCCCAGAGGCATGAATGAATTCACCCACGGTCACATTGCCACGGAGTTGGGACTAGACACCAGGTCTCCGATCCCAGTCAAGTGTTCTTTCCATATGCTCACCCCTACCACCACCCCCATCACATCCCCACCCCCATTAGTGTGAATGAATAGCGTTAACTGCGTCCTTGGATTCTACCAAAGTGAATAAGTTGGGCTCTTAAGATTGGTGCCTGAGTAAGGGATATGGAAGTCCAACTTTCTTAGGTGGTGTAGGACTTGGCCTCAGATAAGTAACACAGTAAGTGTTTAATCAGTGTTGATTTGAATGAGATGGAATTGGAAGGAGAATTTGTTGATTTTCTCTAGCAAAGACTTCCTAGGACTTTGAGCCCACCAAGAAAATGAAATGTCCAGATGGCCAGCTAGATCCTTGATCCATTTTAGTCACTGAGCTCATGCTAGCTCACCAACCCCAAGCCTTTTGTAGGAGTTGGGGCTGGGGCCAAAAACAAGGTATAGTTTAAACCCACCCCAGTTCCCTCTTGGCAAACAGCAAAGGAGTAGTGTCAAAAAAAATTAGTGTCTTTCCTATCCCATACTACCCCACCACCTCATTCCCCCAGTGAGTAGAATGGGATGCTAGATTTCATGGTAGGGCACACATCAATTCATTTAGATGTTGCCCCAAGGACTGTGCAGAAATAAATGTCTATTTATTACGTTCCTACATTCATAAAGATCAGGCCTAGAGAACTGGGAAGTGTTTAGGGGGGAAGGGCAAGGCTCACAGAAGTAGGCCCTCAAATGATAATAGACCAAAGGAATGGTCTTCCTCTAATTACCTGGGGTGGTGGTGAGTTAGTATTTGCCAAGGGCAGGACTTCCCAGGAATTACTCTGAAGTAGAAGAAAGATTACTGGGCACTCAGGGCCAGTTCTAGGCAAATTTTATTTGCCCAAGCTCCAGTTCCATTCTTTTCTCCTCCAAGTCCTAAGAAAGATGTGCCATGCTGGTGAGGCTGGTCTTATAAACTACTGTGTGTGTCACTGGAATACCCATCCCCCTGGAAAGAGAGATGGGTCAGGCTACGGAAGTGTCAGTCAATTGCAGCTGAGCATAGCAGACAAGGACAAGATGGCCCTAGAAGGAGGGTACTTGGCTTCCTGCTTTATGTCTAGCCTGGGCAGCTCCAGTGGGATATAGGTGAGCTCAAGAGGAAATGAATTCTCATCCATCCTTTTCTTTTGTGACGTTTCACTTTCCTGTACTTTATTTTCTGCTTGAAGGAATAAACCTGTCCCTTTCTATTCCTCTTGCTTATCTTCTAGCATGGTTGAAGATCCTACTTTTTCTTTTTCATGAATGTAGTTTTGTGATGCCCCCTCAAGTGCAGCAATGTTCACCTGTGAAAAGAGTTCCAGGGAGTGATGAAATCTCAGAGCCAAGCTCAGCTCTGACAGCGGTGGTGATTATCACGTTCCTTGTTCCTTTTTCCTTGTTAGAGCGGAGAGGTGCTTTGTAGAGTCTGATTGTCTATGCCCTGTAAATAGTGTACATTTAATTTATTGCTACGGTAACACGGTGTATTGGTTAATGTATAAAATGAATTCTAAAAAGTTCACAAATGTATATTTTGTTGCTTAAATGTGTCTTTGCAGAAATTCACAATAAATAACATATTTTGTGTCCATCAGTGTATGAGATTCTCTGGGTGGGACCACAGCCTCAGACTTCCTGACCCGGCCAGTCTGGACTGTCCTCTTTCCATCCTCACTTCTTTTAAAATGCAAGAGACTCCCCACCTACAGGCAGCCTTCTCTGAATAAAATCCACCCCATTCACATGATATTTCAAGCCACATTCCCTCAGCTCAACTCTGGGACTTAGATGTAGGCACAACCCCTGGATGCTGGCTGGGCGCTACCAATAGTCAACAAAAGGCAAAAATCATGTTCTAGGAAGCAGTTCCACCTTTCAATAATAATAATAATAATAATAATAATAACTTCTCCCCTGTTAGAACATATATTCCTTGAGTAGGAACTGTTTCGTTTTTGTCATTGTCCCCACCCCCAATCACCTGGGCGTGGTGCCTGGCACGTAGTAGCTACTTAAGAAATGCCCACTGGTTAATAATGACAACAACAATAATAATACTAGCTAACATTTATGTGGCACTTTCTATGTGCCAGGCACTGGGCTAGGCCCTTCACAATTATCACCTCATTTGAGGCTTGCAAGAACCCCGAGAGGTAGATGCTACTATGATCCCCATTTTACAGATGGGGAAACTGAGGCAAACAGCAGTTCATTGGCTTGTCTCGAGTCACACAGTTGGCAAGTATCTGAAGCAGGATTTGAACTCAGGTCTTCCTGACTCCAGGCCCAGGGCTCATGCACAACCCCTGTGAAAAGAGGGAGTATCATTGCCACTATCCTCCTAGCTCTTGGGGTTGTCACAGAAATACTTAACAGACTGAGCACCAATACTTTTACTCAATTACAAACAGCACTGTCCCCCTTCCGTGCACGGGTCCCCCAAGAACGTTGCAAGGAATAATAATAATAACAGGGTAGTGACTTGTCAAGCGGCTGTTTCCATTTTAACTCCGTCAAAATATATATAATCTCATTTATACCCATTTTATAGATCAGCTATTTTTATAGCTAAAGAGCTGGAAGGTGACCCTAGGCAAATCACTTAACCCTAATTGCCTCACCAAAAATAATAATAATAATAAAGAGCTGGAAGGGATTTCATGCCATCAAGTCCAACATCTTCACTTTACAGCTGAGGAAACTGAGGCTCAGAGAGATTTATCATCTTTTATTGGATCTTCGACCTATGTCTGGAAGGGACATTAGAGGCCACCACCTAGTTCAACCTCTCTTTTTACAGAGAAGGAAACTGAAGTCACACAGCTAGCAAATGGCAAAGCTGGGATTCGAACCCTGGTCCTCTGACTCCCAGTTTGGCCCTCTTTTGACTAGACATGAAGTCTTTCTATTTCACAGTATCCTAGGCTAAGACTAAATTTGATATTAATCCAGCTGGAACAAGGTATCTTTTCTTTTCTTTTCTTTAAAAGACAGGAGGCACTCACGAACCACAAAATGCAATTAAAATGACTTGAGTAATTGAAGATTAAAAGCTTGGGATGCCAAAATATAAAAAGATATAGAATATACCTCCCTGTTCCTCAGTGTCTAAATCAGGAATGGAAGAAAGGAAGGGGGGGACCCGTAGGCAGCTGGAGCTGAGGAAGGCTTCTGACAACCCTTCCCACCTGCAAGCTAAAGTGAGCTATGATTCAGCTTTCCCCGTGTGGTGTGGCTGAGCCAAGCAGCGGGGCTGAGGGCTGGCTGTGGCCACAGCTTCTGCCGAGGCCCCAGAGCCCCTCCTCCACTCCCAGCTTCCATCCCACGTGGTCTCCAGCCTCCTCAGCACCCTGGTCACTCTCCTCTGGGCCAGCTGCATCTTGTCAGTTTTCTTTCTGAATAAAGCATAGTCCCCAGAACCAGACACAGCGCACCAAAAGTAGTCTGACCAGGGCCCAGGGCCTCACTAGAACGTAGTGATTGAGTCGTTTCAGTCATGTCTGGCTCTTTGTGACACCACATTGGGTTTTCTTGGCAAAGATACAGGAGTGATTTGTCATTTCTTTCTCCAGCTCATTTGACAGATGAGGAAACTGAGGCAAATAGAGTTAAGTGACTTGCTCAGGGTCACACAGGGTCTGTCTGAGGCAGAATTTGAACCCAGGTCCTCCTGACTCCAAGGCTGGCACTCTATCCACTGTGCCACCCAGCTGCCCTCTCACTAGAATTGTGAATTTTCAAATCTTGGAGTTAGAAGAGACCCCAGGTCCTCTTCATCTCTCTAGGCCTCAGTTTCCTCATCTGTAAGATGAAGGAGTTGAACTTGATGGCCTCTCAGGCACTCTTAACATCTTTGAGCCTCAGTTTCCCTATCTGTAAAATAAGAGGGTTGAACATGATGACTCAGAAGGTTCCCTCCCCCTCTAAATCTGTGATCCCCAGGTCTTGGACTTGGAGCATTGCCCGGCAAAATGGTCAGTGGCCACTAGGTGGCGCCACAGTGCACAGAGCACTGGGCCTGGGTCAGGAAGACCAGAGTTTCAATCCTCCCTCAAACACTAGCTAGGTGACCTCCCCAGGCAAGTCACGTCACTCCTGTTGGCCTCAGTTTCCTCATCTGTAAAATGGGGATCATAATAGCACCCACTTCCCAGAGTTGTTGTGAGGATGAAATGAGATAATATTTGTCAAGCGCTATGCTAGCCATTATTAATAAATAAATGCTCATTGACCATGAGCCTACGCTGTAATCCAACCTGAGCAGTATCCCCTCATTTCATCCTCCCAGCAACCCTGAAAGATAAGTGCTATTATGATCCCCATTTTGCAGTTGTGGAAACTGAGCCAAAGAGGTGGCGTGACTTACCCAGGGTCACACAGCCAGTCAGAGTCTGAGTTCCTATTGGAACTCAGGTCCTCCTAACTCCAGGCCCAGCGCTCTATCGCTCTAGGTGCCAGAGACCCTGGAACATCTCTACCCTAGCCTAATATGCTCTCGCTTTCCCATCCTTTCCCCTGAATCTCCCCCTTCCTCCTGTCTCAGTCTCTCCATAGTTGCCCCCCACATGCCCTCCTCAGCTCCCTCCCCCAGCCCCAGTCCCCAGGGTCTTTGTAGCTAGAAGGGTGAGAGCAGACGTTTCCAGTGTGCAGCCTCTTGTTTATGTAGAACACCGGGAATGGGGCTAGGTAGGGGAGAGAACGTCCTTGCCCCCAGCTTCAGCTCAGTGTGTGTGCCCTGCCCTCCCCCACTCACTTAACTGATAATGGGAAGGCTGACAGCTTTGCGCAACTCTGCCTCACTTAAATCCAATTTCCGTGCAAGTCAAGATGTCAGCCCCTGATGTCACTGGTCCTCTGAAAATGAAGGACAGGGGCAGCTAGGTGGTGCAGTGGATAGAGCACCAGCCCTGGAGTCAGGAGGACCTGAGATCGAATCTGGCCTCAGACACTTGACACTTACTAGCTCTGTGACCTTGGGCAAGTCACTCCACCCCATTGCCAAGAAAAAAAAAAGAAAATGAAAGACAAACATCAACAACCTACACAGAGGCTTTGGAGTTGAGAGTAATAATAATGGCAACATTTATAGAGTGCTTAGTAGGTGCTTGGCTCATTTGATTTACAATGTATCTCATTCTCTCACAATACCGGGAGATAGGGGTTATCATTATCCCCATTTTACAGAGGAGGAAACTAAGGCAGACAGAGGCGAAGTGATTTGCCCAGAGTTCCACAAGTGTTGAAGGCTGAATTTGAACTCATCTTCCGGGCTCCAGGCCCAGGGCTCTGTCCATTGTACCACCTAGCCTCGCTGGGCAGTGTTGGGTGAAAACCCCCCGCATGAATGATGTCTAGGGGCAGTCTAGCCTTCAAAGATAAAACTTGGGAGGGATCAAAGTGGAGGTCTCTGACAGGGGACACTCGGACCCTGCACTAGGAAGCTCAATTTGAAAGATCAAGTTTGAGAGGTTTTGTCAGGGAAGTCTCTGCGATTTGTTCTGGGTCGCTGGGGCAAACCTCCCGCTGCGCTGAAAAGCTTTGTAGATGGGACTGACTGAAAGAGAGAGCTCACTGCTTGTGGCAGCAAGCTGAGAAGGCTTTGGTTTTTGCTGGCTTCAAGAGAGGGAGTATTTCTGTTATTATGGTTAAGGCAAAGACTTGATTTTTCTAGAAAAGTTCGACAGGGTAGCACCAATTCTTCTCATGAGAAAGAGCTGATCCCATAGCCAAAGGCTTCAGCAAACACTCACAGAAGCTCCCCAGCCATGTGCCCAGGAGGCTGTGCCTGGCAGCCAGGAGCAGTTGGTGGGTAGAAACCACGTGTACGGCACCATTCCCCCACCTGTCTCCATCTGCACTAACTGGAGCTCCCCTCTCTCTGACCACCCTGATGTATAGACACCTATAATGCAGAGAAATGGTATGACCAGCTGCATTGCTTTCCATTATAAACAAGATGCAGAAATTCATCCTTTATTGGGATGAATTAGATAGAAAAAACCATCAGAGGCCAGGCCTGGAGGTCAAAAATACTCTACATGTGCATCCATCCATGACCAGACTTGATTCCTGCATATCTATTATCCCTGTGATGATGCATGTATTTGTGGGAGAGTACGTCCCAGGTTTATGGGGAAAACATTTTACTATAACTTTTCTTATTATACTGTTTCATTAAATATCTTTTGCTTTAAATTAATTGTGTCTTCTGGTTGAGTGTTAAGGGCCATCACATCAGTGGGGGCTCATGAACAAGTATGTATAGACTCACAGAGTATCTTGAACTACTTTTAGGGCAGGTAGCCCCTCCCAGAAGGGTAGCATATAGCCTATGGGGTATGTGGAAGGAAGACCCTTCTCCCACTGTGCCAGAGGGAGACTTTACTGGGCAATTATGCAGGTGCGCCTCCAGTCTCTGTCCATCCTCTTCTCTCCCGTTACTTAGTCATGCTCCCAGGAGAGAGGAGAGAAGAATCCGTAGGTCTTCTATTATTCATGTCTCATAGAACAGGAGCTTCACAAGGGCCAGGACCATTTTGTAGGAGACAATAACTGTTTGTTAAGTTGAGATCCTGCCTAGTCTGGCTGTAGCCAGGATGCCCAGAGAGGACACAGACCGCGTGCCCCTTCCCTCTGTACACTGAAGGACCCTCAGCTTGTGGAAGTGTCGACATCAAAAATCACATTATGCCAGGTGTACCCCAGAGGCTCCAGCTGTCCCCAGAAGCTGGCCTCACTCACCCACCAGGTAATTCCTGGGTCACTGATAGAGCTGCCTCTCCTGCTGGGGGTGTGGACATCTTACCCCAGATGCTACTCCTAATTACTAGGCACCTACTGTGTGCCGGGGTTACAAAAAGAGGCAAAAGACAGTCTCCGCCTTTGCTTTGCCTGAGCATTTCCCAAAGTGGACCCCTTCCCCATTCCCTCAAATGAGAGGCTGGAAAGGGAAAAGGTGCCTCCTGCATCTAGACGGATGCTGGTGTATTTTCCAGCCCAAATGCATACTTGGCTGCCCCAAACCCTGTCCCTAGGACAAAGGAGCCAAGGGGTAACCCTCCTTCATCTGTAGGAGGATGCTGGGTGTGGGAAAGGTAGCTGGGACAGAACCCAAGCAGTACCAACATAGATGACATCTGTGTAGAGGTTTTTCAGAACACTATTTTATTTGAGCCTCACAACAACCCTATGAGGTAGGTATTACAATACTGATGTTATTCCCATGGTACCGATGAGGAAACTGAGGCTCAGAAATTCAGTGACTCTCTCAGGATCAGAAAGCAAGTCAATATCTGAGGAATTTGAATGCAGGTCTTTCAACTGCCCCTACAGGACTCTTTCTGCTTTTTCCCTACACTGTAGGGAGGTAACAGACCACGCTATAAGAGGCTCTGGTGGGAGGAGAAGGTGGCATGTGGGTGGATTCTATGGATTTAGGACATTAACACAGCATGCTTTCTTTAATTCTCAATTACCAAAAGCTTAGCTCACAAAGTCTACGACAGGGGTACCCACAGAAGGTGTCCAGAAAAACAACCATGTTAGGTGACATAACCGTAAAAGGAGTGGCGGGCACCATAGAAACCGTGTTATGAATGGAAGCATTGGTAATCGCTGGCATGGGCTGCAGAGTGGGCTGAGAAGCTAGACGGCAGCAAGGCAGGTCCCAGGGCCAAGCTGAGCAAAACGGGCAGCAAGTACTGAGTGGGCTTGAGGTGGGCTGCGGGGGTGATCTGCCAGTGACCGACATCACAGCAACCCTTCATGACCCCAACGTGAGGTTCTACTGATCACACGTGTAGGCTTTGCTCACAAGGCCAGTGCGTACATGAAAAATGAATGAATGAATTAAAAAGCTTTTGTGCCAAGTGCTGGCGATACAAATAGAAAGACTGAAAGGTCCCCTGCCTAGGCAGATGGAAAGGCCTGGGAGTCCAAAGCAGGGAAGATGGCAGGTCAAATTAATATGTCAGATGACAATGTTAAGGGTTGAGAAGGCAGAGCAGAGAAGGTCTGAAACTGGCCCAAGGTGAACACAATGGCAGGATGGGGAGAAGAGTTTTCTAGACTGGTAACTAAAGGTTTGCTCAATGAATGAATGTCAACTCGTCGGTCCTTATCAACAATGACCCTAAACAATAGATAACACTTTATGTAGTGCTTTACGTAGATTATCTCATTTCCTCACAATCCGGTGAGGTACTCATACTTGTAGGTCTCATTATCCTCATTTTATAAATGAGAAAACTGGCTCACAAAGGTCTAGTGACTTGCCTGTTGTCACACAATAGCATGGCTAGAACCCATGTTTCTTCAGGGTCTTTCCAGCCCAAGTTGTAAGAGTATGTTAATTATACAGCACTGGGTGGCTCTCAGCCACTGAATTCCAAAGGTCTCTCTGTCTCTCCTTTTCCCAGCATGTGCTTTGAATTCCTAGTAAGGCTTTCTCTGAAATACAACAGAAGAAAGGATGTGAGAGCCCAGCACTCATCCCCCAACATCTCATTAAGAAGATAATAGAAATTAGATATAGGTCTTACCTTGTCCATGCTTCTCACTGGAAGAAAAAAGAAAGACAAGAAAAGAGTTAGATTGACTGGATATTCCTCTTCCTTGGAGGCTAGGACTGTTTCTTTCTTGTCTTTGTAGTCATGTTCTGCCTCCTTTACGTAAGTGGACCTCCAGGCTCAGTCTTGGACGCTCTCCTATTCTTTCTCTACACTCTAGCTGAGATCAACAGTTGCCATGGATTCAAGCATCATCTCTATGCAGATGACTCCTAATTCTGGGTATTCAATCCTCATCTTTGTGCTGAATTCCAGCCCAGGATTTCCAACTGCGTGCTGGATAGCTCCGCCTGGGTGTTCTACAGGCGCCTCAATCTCAATATGTCCAAGACAGGGTTCATTATCTTTTTCACTAAATATCTCCCTCCTTTGAAATGGTGCCATCGTTCTTCCAGGTTTTCAGTCAAAGAATCATTCTTGATTCTTTTCTCCCTCAAGGCCCATGTCTTATAGATTCCATTTCTTCAGGATCTCTGGCCCTATTGATCCCACAACCGTGAAGATCCAGGTCTCCATTTGCTCCCACCTGGACGATTGCGTTGAACTCCCAATGCTAGTCCTTGTGCCTGGCATCTCCCCTCTCCAATCCATCCCTCCCGCAGCTACCCAAGGGATACTCTCCCCTGCGCTCCCCTATTCTCCCTTGTCACCCCTGCCTCTTGGGACCCTCTGCTCCCTTCAAGGCTCAACTCAAGGGCTACTTCTCCCAAAAGACTTCTCCCTTTCCCCAAATTGTTAACACTCCCCTTCCCAAATCATCGGGCCCTGCTTTTGTACATATCCTTACGTACTGCTCTGTGCACACGTGTATCTCAATAGAATGTAAACTCAAGGACAGGGTCGGGCTGCTTTTTGTGTGCTTGCATCACCAGTGCCCACCCTAGAGTGGGCAACTGATTAAATGCTTGTTGATTGACCCAAGGATTTCTCGGGACCCAGACTACTGTGTGTCCCGAAGGTCCTCAGATATCTCTCCCGTGGGAGGCTGTTGGCTCAAGGGGAGGACAAGGATGGAGCATGCACCCTCCAGTAGGCCTTGCAATTCTGGATGGGACTAGATTGAAGAGCAGCACCCCCCAACACACAACAGGGGCAGTGAGTGTTGCTGATTCCCCTCCCCCTCCCCCCAGAGCAGCCCAGCAAATGAATGCTGGTCTTTACCTTGGTGCAGATACTTCAAAAAGTACCCAAGCAGAGTCATCACGACTGCAAAGATGATTAGAAGCCACAACCCCGGCCCAGACTTTTCTGCAGAGACACAAGGACAGCCCTATGAGCAGCTGGCCTGGACCCTGGGCCAGGCCAGCCCCCGGCCCCACCACGCCTTAGGGGAGTCCCTCTCATGTTAAGAAGGGCTGACTGAGAAAGCTGGAGGAGCAGGATTTGGGAAATAGCTCCCGGAGGGACACACACAAAGGGATCCCTGGCCACTCTCCCTCCTAGGGTTTCACCTTTTGGGGTAGCCAGGTGGTTCAGTGGTTAGAGCACTGGGCCTAGAGTCAAGAAAATCTGAGTTCAAATCCTGCCCCTGACACCTACCACCTGTGTGACCCTGGTCAAGTCACTTCACTCCTACCTGCCTCTGTTTCCTTTTCTACAAAATGGGGATCAGAGACAGTATGCATAAGGTGCAATACAAATGCCAGTTATTTTTCATTACAGTTACATCTTAAGCTGCCCCAGCTCCCCAACTCTTCCTGGGACACTGGACTAGAGGGAGAGGACCAGGAGGTCCATATGACCTTGGCTGGGCCAGTCACTTAACCCCTCTGGGACTCAATTTCCTGATCTGTCATATGGGAAGGTTGAACTCAATAGCCTCTGATGTCCCTTCCAGCTCTATCTGTGTTCCAATGACAGAAGACTACAGAATGTTAGATCTGGAAGGGACCTTTGAGGCCATCAGATCTGATCCCTTATTTGATTTGATTTGATTTTAATTTATTTTTTGCCTAGGCAATGGGGTTAAGTGACTTGCCCAGGGTCACACAGCTAGTGTTATGTGTCTGAGGTTGGATTTGAACTCAGGTCCTCCTGAATCCAGGGCCGGTGCTCTATCTACCGCACCACCTAGCTGCCCTGTGACTCCTTATTTTATAGGAAAGGAAACTCACAAAGTTGTAGGTGAGGTGGCAACCTGCTTTGGTGGAGGGGAGTTTCCTCACATAGGAATTCCCTAGACCAACTAAATGACAGGCCCGCCCCTCTCCCTAATCTCGTGAGAAAACTGAGGCTCAGGGACCCAGAGAGAGCCCGGTCATTCAGTTGAGAGCCCTAACTCAAGCTGAGGCCACTGGATTCTAAAACCATCCCTCAATCTTCCTCTCCCCCCACCCCCCCCCGGAGAAAAGCAGAACTGAGAGGCAGCAGGAGAATGGGCAGAAGGTGCCAATGAGGGAAAAGAAAAGGCAGCCTGGGGCAGAATTCTCCAAGGGAAGCTTCCAGTTGGATCTGAAATCCCAGGAATTCCCCAGCCACTATGCTCTGGCATCTCATTTCTTTCCCCAGTAAAAAGCTGCTTTTTGAAAAACTCCAGGCTTGATGAAGCTGAATCAAGTGGGGGGGGGGGTAGGCCAGGCTATCCCAAGGAGGAAGTGGAGGAGAATCAAGAGGAAGAAGGGGGGAGGAGGAGGAGAAGGGGGAGGGAGAGGGAGAGGAGGAGGAGGAAGAGGGACAGGGGGAGGGGGAGGGGGGAGGGAGGAGGAGAAATGAAGAGAGAATCGGTATGGCCTAATGATGGGCTGTCACCAGGACAAGAACGTATCAACTTTGTCTGATATTCCATCACAGAAATCAATTGCTCCTTTTTTTTTTAGGCATTTAGGGTTAAGTGACTTGGCCAGGGTCACACAGCTAGTAAGTATAAAGTGTTTGATCTGAGGCTGGATTTGAACTCAGGTTCTCCTGACTTCAGGGCCGGTACTCTACCCACTGCGCCAATTGCTCCTTTCGAATGGAAACAGAAGTCCAAAGACCTGGGTTCAAATCTCGCCTCTGATGCTTCCTACTTGGGTGACCATTTATCCACATCACTTATCTCCCTAGGTCATGAGAAGGGTTGTGTCTGCTGGCCCCTGAGGTCTCTTCCTGTTACTCTCTGTCTAAGATCCTATGATGTCACTTTTGCTTTTGGTAATCTGACCTCTAGGCCAGGCATGGCAGTGTCATATACCATCAGCTTGGAATGAAAGAGTGAGAAGGGACCTATCTCAAAGGCCATCCACTCCAACATCTTCATTTTACAGATAAGGAAACTGAGGCACAGAGATTAAGCTCTTTGCCCACCATCACATAGTTGATGGGAAGGGTCAGCGGGGTTGGGGCAGGTAGAAAGGGAATCGGTCAAGGATAGCAGTGATCTTTGATCTGTTCTCACCTGGGGTTTTCTTTTGTACTTCCTCTTTCAGGGATCCTTCCCCAACTGATTTCTCACTACTCTGATCATTCCTACACCCGTCGCCCATCTTCCTAACATTCAATGTCAAGGTGAGACTGACCCAGTCTATCTGATGTCCTGTTTGCCAAGTCTGATGGTGGAGTACTTTGTTAAGAATTCAGAAGGACCTCCCACTGCATCCAGGGCCACCTCCAGTCGTCCTGGTCTATATCTGGCCACTAGACCCTCACGGCTCTGGAGGAGAGAGTGAGGCTGGGGACCTTGCACAGCCCTCCCTCACTGAAATCCGATTCACTTGCGCGTCATGGTGTCACCTCCCTGATGTCATGGTCCTCTTTGAGAACGAAGGACAAACAACTCTGGGGAGATGTGGCTGAAGTGAGATGCCCTCCCCTCCCTTCCCAGGCAGGTATCCCTGGAGACGGGAAGGAGGGATTGGGGGTTGATGGGGATCCCAGAGCTGGGCTGACCACAAGTACCTGTCACCCTGATCGTGATGCTTTTCCTGATGGGGAACTGCAGGCTCTCATGTTCCACCCGGCAGGTATAGCGTACACCATCATCCCGGAGTGAGGCCTTCAGTAGAAAGTAGCTGGAGAAGCTGTAGGTTTCGTCACTGCTCTGCCGGTGATTGCTGAAGATGACATTTCTCACCACCTCGGGGAGCATGCGGCCTTCCATGGGCTCACGCAGCCATTGCACGTGGGCTTCTAGCGGGAAGTAGCGGCTGACGTCGCAGGCCAGCTTCTGCTCCTCCCCTTCCTTCAAGGTCAGGGTTGGGGTCTGGGGGCTGATCGTCACTTTGGGGGCCTCTGGGGAAAGAGTAGAACGGGACCTTGAGTGCCGTGGAAGGGAGGAAGAGGCTGTTCCTGGGGACTGGCGCTGGTGTGGGCGCCATGGGCAGGGGAAAGGATCGGAGAGCTGGCCTCAGAGTAAGGAAGGTCACCTCTGGCACTGGCCAGCTGTGGGACCCTGGACACCACTCTAAAACTAAGATTCTGAGTGGTTGGCCATCTCCTTTGTTAGAGGAAGTTTCCAACCAGGACTAAATCCAAGGTCTATTCTGAACCCCTTCCCAAAACTCTCACATAAAAACTACTATTAATTCCCCTATTCAAATGGAAGCTTCTTGAGGTCAGTTCCTGTTTCATTGTTGTCATTGCCTCCTTGGGTCCTAATGCTTGAGACTGGGACCTCCTTGAGAACAGGCACTTTGTTCTCTCTCTCTCTCTCTTTGTATTCCTGGCACTTAATGCCTGGCACATAGTAGGTGCTTAATAAATGCTTGCCAACTATCTGGTATACAGTAGGTATTAATAGATGCTTGTCAGTTGATCGGTTGATTTGTCCTGCCTCCAGAACCCTGAGATCATTGGGAAGGTCACCCTGGGAGCCATGGAATTAGATTCTCCCTAGGCCACGGGGAGCCACAGAACTTAGGTTGCCTACGTGGGCTATCCAGACATTGCCAAGTTCAGGGGATGTGTTGGGGGACGGGGTTTCAGATAAGGCATATTCATTGATAATAATGATACATTAGAAAGTAAAGTCTATGAGAAATGTACAAAATTCTATGAGGCCAGGTGAGAGAAAGACCACTGCACCCACACATATTCATAAAGGAGCTAAATGACCTTAGACAAGTCATTTGCTGCTTTTCGGTCTCAGTTTCTTTCTCTACAAAATGGGGACAATAATGCCTGGCCTGACCAGGCTGGTGGGGACATCAGGAGGACAAATACTGTTGAGGTCATGAGGCAGTTCCCTCCATCACCCCCTCGTCGGCTCAGGGGAGAGAACAAAGAGAAAGAGAGAGTTAGTTACCCACAACAGCCACGTCAATGCCAAGCTGTCCGTGGAGCCCGGCTATGCTCACAGAGCAGAAATAGCTGCCCTGGTCCTTGACCGCCATGTTGGTGAGCCGAACGGAGGCGTTGCCACGAGGAATCTCGCTTGGGAAGGCCTCAGCCTGCTTGTGAAGGTGGGTCACCTGGCCCTGTTTGCCAGCATACTTCAGAACCTCTTGGTGCCACCCCCCCTTCTGCCGAAATATCCACATCACGTCCACAGCCTCAGCCTCGGGGGGTATGGTCCACGGTGAATCCACAGCTGAGGAGGACCGACCCCTGTAGCTTCACCTGGACTTTGGAGGCCTTGGTGTGAAGGGAAAACACTCCTGGGGGGAGAGGCACAGAAGCAGCATTGGGGGCCTCCTATCAGCGGGGAAAGGAATGGGGGCAAAGGGCAGGAGGGCGATGTCAGCTGGAGAATGACCAGGATGGGGGCAGTCAGTGGAGGTGGGGATAGGGGTGCAGAGACAAAGGAGAGGTCAGGACTAATCCAGAGGCGGTGTCCGGGACAGGGACAGGGATGGGGACAGGGACGGGCTATATAGCTGGCCTCCCGCGGGGTGGCTGACCTGAGAGGGGTGCTGGCCCAGGGCCCTGGGCAGGGTTAGCAGGCTGGACGCAGAAGGTGGTGATTCTGAAACTGCTGTCTGTGTGGGTGATAGTCACAATGTACCAGGTGGGCAACTGGGCCTGGTGCCGAGGGAGGCCCGGCCACAGGATCTGCGTGTTGGCGGTGAAGTAGCGGTTCATCCTGCACTCTAGCTTATCCACATCCTTGTCCATATGAGGGAGAAGGACCCCTGCCTTGTCTGCAAATACACGTGAGGGGTCAGAGAATGGCTCACCTCCATGCTCACTCGCTCCAATTCCATTTCATTCCATTCTAAATTTTTACGAATGGCCTACTGTGGGTGGAGGAAATGTGGCATATTGAATACAGAGCTGGTCTCAGAGCCAGGAAAACCTGGGTTCAGATTCTGCTTCTGACATATACTGGCCGTGTTACCTTGAGCAAGTCACCTAACCTCTAAGTGTTCCAAACAGTTCTCTCAGACTGTACTTTTCAGAGGAGTTGTGGATCTGGGTGGGAGGTAGAACTTAGACCCAGGGGATTCTCCCTGTCTTGAGCCACACCACCCCCTCCCAAAAAAACTGTGAATGGAAGTAGATACCACTCACACTCAATCACTAAGCACTTACTGGGTGGGAGTCACTGGGGGCCTGGACCTGAGATTTCATCAGTGTAGGAAACCCCTGGGTGAAAAAAACACCATCTACTCCCTTCTCTACAACTTAGCAGCGGAGACGGAGAGTTGTGAAGGGCACTGAGAGATGTGACTTGCCCAGGGTCACACAGCCAGGTTGTACCAGAGGTGAAACTTGAACCCAGGACTTCCTGGCTTCCTAGTTAGTATTTCTGATGCCTCTCTCCTTCCCAGTGTGGGTATACAAAGACCAAAGCAGTAAACAAGCCCTACCTTATAGAAATTTCTATTCTAATGGGCTCACTCATTACTTACACATACCAACACTTCTAAGTTCACACAATCATACCTACAAAGGCACACACATTCTCTCTCCCTCTCTCTCTCTCCCTCTCTCTCTCTCTCTGTCTCTCTCTCTCTCTCTCCCTCTCTCCCTCTCTCTCCCTCTCTCTGTCTCTCTCTTTTCCAGTCCTCACCCCACCACCCACTCTGGCAGGGATACAGGGAACCCTTATTGGAAGCCCCTCTTCATCCCTCTCCCCATGGCGGTCAAGAGACACTTACCGTACAATAGGAAGGTGTCATCACTGGCCTGGCGGGCCAGGGTCTGGCTCTCAGAACTGCTTAGCACAAGCTGAATATGTTGCCACTGAGGGCGTGGCTCTTTGTCGAGGGTCGTGGAGGGATCTACGGGGATCTCCAAGATGCAGGGCAGCTGGCTGACCTTCCTCAGCTTCATGCCAGCCTCCACCACATGCCAGCCTGAAATCCATAGCAGCCCTAAGATAATAAGAGAGGAAAGGAGAAAGTGACCGTTCTGCCCTTGAGACCAGTTGGTTGGAGGTTCATGAGCCGATCATGGATCGGAGTGGATGGCCTCTTCCAACGCTGAGATTCGATGATGAGCCCAGTTTCACTGCTGCCAAAGCGATCCCTGCCAATGAGCTGAGGATCTTGGGGTCAGCCCTGCCTCAATCAGTCAATCAGTAAGAATCTAGTAAGCATCTTCTATGTGCCAGACTTGGCCAGTGAGGTGGTGCCAGGGTGCACAGAACGCTGGACCTAGATCAGGAAGACTCATCAAATCCAGACCCAGACACTGACTAGCTGTGTGACCCTGGGCAAGTCACTTCACCCTGTTTGCCTCAGTTTCCTCATCTGTCCAATGAACAGGAGAAGGAAATGGAAAACCACTCCTGTATCTCTGCCAGGAAAACCCAAAATGGAGTCACGAAAGTCAGACGTGACTGAAACGACCAAACAACAAATGCGTCAGACTGTGCTAGGGATACAAAGACCGAAGAGAAACAGTCCTTGCCCTCAAGGAGCTTATATTCTCCTGGGTGAAAATACAGACACATAGAAGTGTATACCCCCAAAATTGTCCTGATCTGTACTTTCATAGGGGTGGTAACCTCCCTTAGGAGGAAATTCCCTATGCCTCTGCAGACTTGGAGTTGCTTGGGGCACTGGGAGTTTAAGTGACTAGGCCAGGGTCACACAGCCAGTATTCCTCATAGAGGGGGCTCAAACCCAGGCCAGCTCCCTATCTGCAGTATCATGCTGCCTCCCATATGTAGAACATACACAAAATAATACTGTGGACAGCATATACAATTTAATAAAAAATAATATTTGGGGGAGGCACTAGCAACTTGAAGGGGGGTCAGGAAAGGTCTTGTGTAGTCGACGGGGTTTTAGCTCAGCACTGTAGGAAGGTAAGAGTTCTGAGAGGCAGCGGTGAGGAGAGAGGGCATTACGAGCATGGGGAACAGCCACTACAAAGGCGGAAGGGGAGGGGGATGGGAGATGGAACACTTAGGTTAAGAACAGCAAGAAAGCAGTTTGGCTGGATTGAAGAGTGTGTAAATGGCTCTAAGCTTCCTCTTCTTCTCCTTCCTTCTGCTCTCCGGTTGTCCTGATCTGTGTCTGGCCACTGGACCCACATGGTTCCGGAGGAGAAGGTGAGGCTAGTGACTTCGCGCAGCCCTGCCTCACTTAAGTCCGATTCCCTGGCATGCCCTGGCATCAGCTCCCTGATGTTCTCTTTGAGAGAAGGACGGACGGCAACGAGAAGAAACAGCCTTCCAGGAGAAGGAAGTGAAAGAAACCCAAGTCCTGAGGTCCTCTGGAGTCTGTCTGCGGCCAGGTGGCCAGGCTGCTCCACCCCTCCTCAGTGGAGGACCCCCAGGATCTGGGGAGGCTTGGGGGAACAGCCCGGCAAAAAGCAGGCAACCTCAGCCCCTACGCCCAGCCCTCTCCTCAGAGACCCGGAGATCCTTAAGTCAGGGCCAGGGCCACCTCCCAAGCTGCGGGGCTTGGCCAGGGAGCGCCCTAGGACATTCTCTGCTCCGTTCCTCTCCGAGGGAGCACCCTAGGCAGTCCACTCTCGGAGCCCCTCCCTGTTCCCTGGGCAGTCCCCTCTTGGAGCCCCTTCCCTGGGCTACAAGAGGAATAGGGGAGGGCCACTTGCCTCTAGGCAGAAGCCCGGAGGGCTGGCAGCCACAGCATCTGCGGGGCTGCCCCAAACACATCCCCAGGGCAAGGTGAGCCTGGCAGCTCCTCAGGGTCAGAACTCACCAGGGCTGAGCAGGTACAGGGCCAGCATTTCTCTTCCCACCATTCCCCAGGACCCTCCCGGGGCTCTTGAAGCCCTCTCCACCAGGAACCTCTGAGATTCGCTTTCCTTCTCTCCCTCAGACTCACTTTCAGTTTCATTTACTTCTGAGTCAACACAGGGCAGGGCAGTACAGGGCAGAGCTGGGATCTCTCCCTCTGCCTCCCGGCTCCCTTACTTTGCCCTCTCTACCCCTGCCGTGAGACCGAAGGGCTCTGAGCTGGGTTTGGGGGTGGGGCAGGGGGGCACACACAAGACGAGGAAGGAGCCAAGAACCGAGTCTCTATTTAGCAGTTCTCCTGGAGTCAGATTTTAGGGTGTCAATGAACTTGGGTTGAGAAAAAATATATATCTTTATTCTCACTGACTTCTAACTGAAATTGAGCATTTTCTTTAATTATTTGAGACCATTATTCTGAGAAGGCTTTACTAGACTGCCGAAGGAATCCAGGACGCACGACAAAAAAAATTTACAATCTTGTTTTAGGGAGATGGGCCAGGGCAGGGGAGAAAGGGAAAACTTATTGCAGATTCTCGTGCCCCAAGGGCATCCACTTCAGCCCAAGGATCATTGGAAACCAGCCTACCAGACTCCTGTGACTGGAGGACTCCAGTGTACCCCTAGTGCCGGCAGCATGCAAGCATGCGAGGAGTCCTGTCAAGCCCTTGTCTGACATGAGAGCCTCTTCATGTGAGGTTCTGTGCCGGCCCGGGCTGGGAAGGCTAGAATGAAGTTGTGCAATGAGACAGCATGGATTTGAGCCAGGAAGATCTGAGTTTGGGTTCCTGCTTTAGACATTCACCAGCTGTGTAACCCAGGGCAAGACCCTGACTCCCCCAAGCACCTACCTCCCAGGGTTATTGTGAGAACCAAATGGGATGCTGCTGCTGCCCATACCATTTACAGAACATGTCAAGGTTTGCAAAGCACTTTATGTACATTGCTAATAAGAGTGCTGACCTTGGAGTCAGGAAGACCCGAGTTCAAATCCCACCTCTGACTGATTAGCTGTGTGATCCTGGGCAAGTTACTTCACCCCTGGTTGCCTCAGTTTCCTTGTCTGTAAAATGGGCTAATAATAGCACCTATCTTTCCAGGGTTGTTGTGAGGATCAGATGAGATAATTCATTATTATGATAATTCTATGATTTTGTGAGAATCAAATGAACTCATACTTGTAAAGCATTTAGCTCAGTACCTGCACAGAGTAGGCACTTAATAAATGTTTCTTCCTTCCCCTCTATTTCTACCTCTATCAAGTGGGAAGAATAACTCTTGCTCCAGCTCCCTCCTAGGATCAAAGGTAGTGACACAGATGGGTACTGAAAAGTAAAATGCTTCTGAGGCACGGTGAGGAATTTAATTCGTTACGGTGGGCCCCTAGGTGGGGGAGCCACCAGGCTGCTCTTATGAAAGTGAGAACTGGCCGAGGGATCAGGCCCATGAGTGTTGAAATAGGAAGGCAGGGGTCAAGAAAAGAAGAAAAGGAGGGAGAGAAGAAGGAAGAAAAGAGGGAAGAGAGGGAGTGGGAGGGAGGGAGGAAGGTAAAAAGCTCAAACTGAAGGCTATGCAGCTATAATGCTGAAGCTTCAACCCAAAGAAGAGGAGAAAATGTAGCCCTTTCCCTGAGGGAAGGGGCTGGGGCTGGAGATACTGAGTGTATCATCATACTGGTCAATGCGTTCACATCCCTTTCCTTTCTTTTCTACTCTTTGTTACAAAGGATAGTTCTCTTGGGGAAGGGAGAGAAGATTTGGAAATGTAGATGACATAAATCCAAAGAACAGGGGTTGGGGCAGCGAGGTGGTGCAGTACATAGAGAACTGGACCTGGAGTCGGGAGGACTTGAGTTCAAATCCAGTCTCACACCATACACTTGATACTTACTAGCTGTGTGACCCTGGGCAAGTCACTTAACCCCAACTGCCTTGCAAAAAAACAAACAAACCCAAAAACAAAGGACAGTGGTAAGTTTTTATGAAAGAAAAGTAGATGCCATCGCAGAAGGGCTAGGCCAGCTGCACCTCAAGGACATCCCTCACTTGTAGCATCACATTGGGAGTACTGGCTCGTGGCTAGAGCCTGCTCCTGGGTTGGCATGTGACCTCGGTAAAGCTGGTTATTGGGGAGCTACCAGCCCTTCTGCTTTGGAAAAATTAAAGTCTTTATTGGGGAAGAATACAAAAGCAGAATTTTCTTTAAGCAAAAAAAAAAGGTCCAACTGCCCCTAGGGTGTGGCCTCCTCTATCCCTGCCATCCCAGAAGGCCACTTGGGCAGTCCCGGAGCAGCCCCTTCCAGGACGAGGGCAGTAGCACTCTGGTGGAGGAGTCAGACCCTTCCTTCATACTTATCTCCAAGAAAAGGGGGAATCTGTGTTTCTCATAATCCCTGAGGCGCATATCATGAATCTGTAAGGAGCCAGAGCCAAAGAAATCAGGCAGTGCTGTGGGTCAGAAATGAACGTGTGCCCACAATTTCTCCCCAACCAATCCCTCCCGTGGGACTTTTGGTCAGGGACGGCCGAGGACTCCTCTTGGACTGGAGGGGGCTGGCTCCGCTGGGTCTTCCCCGGCCCTCTGACTTGGCCTGGTCCCCTTCACTTAGTCATCTTCTTGGCACGCTGCTCCTGGCTCAACGTCCTCATCCCCCCGCTCTGCCTCCATTCACAGATGGCAGCATAGTCGCACATCCGGCACTTCCATGCCTCCTTCACGTCAACTCCCTGGGGCTCCCTGAGTCCTGTCCAGTACCCGAGGTGATGTCGAAGTTTGTCCCTCACCTGCGGGGGCGAAACCAAGGGGACGAGAGGTAAGCCCGCCCCAGCTCGGTTCTTTTCCCAGCCGCTCATCTGTCCATTCAGACCCCAGGGTCCTGCACAGAGTAAGAAGGCACCACTGAGGCTGTTTAGTCCAGCCCCCCACCCACCATTTACATTTACATAGGAGGAAACTGAGTCCCAGAGACATTAAATAACTTGGCCAATGTCACACAAGTGGTAAGCATTGGAGGCAAGATCTGAAGCCAGGCCTCTTTCCATGGCACATCATGGAGCCACCATCCCAGAAGGGCTGGTGAAGGGGAACCCTCCCCTTCTGGAATGAGAGCCAGAGAGGCAAACAAAGACGAGAAAGAAACAGAGACAGAGACAGAGAAAGAAGGGGAGAGACAAAGAGAGACAGAGACAGATGAAGGAGAGAGACAAAGAAAGACAGAGACAGACAGAGAGAGAAATAGAGACAGAGACAGATAAAGGAGAGAGACAAAGAGAGACAGAGACAGATAAAGAAGGAGAGAGATAGAGACAGACAGAGAAATAGAGACAGAGACAGATAAAGGAGAGAGACAAAGAGAGACAGAGAGAGAAATAGAGACAGAGACAGATAAAGAAGGGGAGAGACAAAGAGAGACAGAGACAGACTGAGAGAGAAATAGAGACAGACAAAGGATATGGACAGTTCTCAGATGAAGAAATTAAAGCTATCTATAGTCATATGAAAAAATGCTCTAAATCACTATTGATTAGAGAAATACAAATCAAAATGACTCTGAGGTACCACAAATGATAAATGTTGGAGAAGATGTGGGAAAATTGGAACACTGATGCATTGTTGGTGGAGTTGTAAACTGATTTAACCATTCTGGAGAGCAATTTGGAACTATGCCCAAAGGGACTATAAAAATGTGCACATCCTTTGACCCAGCAATAGTACTTCTAGGGCTGCATCCCAAAGAGATCATACAAATGGGAAAAGGACCCACATGTACAAAAATATTTACAGCAGCTCTTTTTGTGGTGGCAAAGAATTGGAAGTTGAGAGGATGCCCATCAATTTGGAAATGGCTGATCAAGTCGTGGTATATGAATGTAATGGAATGCTATTGTGCTATAAGAAATGATGAGCAGGCTGACTTCAGAAAAACCTGGAAAGACTTGCATGGTCTGATGCTGAGTGAAGTGAGCAGAACCAGGAGAACATTGTACACAATAACAGCCATGTTGTGTGATGACTAACACTGATAGACTTAGCCCTTCTCAGCAATGCAAGGATCTAAGACATCTCCAATCTCATGACATGATGGAAAATGCTATCCATATCCAGAGACAGAACTATGGAATTTGAATGCAGATCGAAGCATACTATTTGCTCTTTTTTTTCTTCTGTTGTGTTTTATTTCCTCTTTCTTGTGGTTCCTCCTTTTGGTTCTAATTCTTCCTTACAACATGACTAATGTGAAAATATGTTTAATAGCAATGTAGATGTAGAGCCTATATCTGATGGCTCACTGTCTTGGGGAGGGAAGGGGAGAAAATTTAAAATTCAAAAACTTATGGAAGTGATTGTTGAAAACTAAAAATAAATTAATTTTAAAAAAAGAGAGACAGAGATAGAGAAATGGGAGGATGAAGGGGAGCACAGAGGACAGAGGGCTGGCCTCAGAATCAGGAATACCTGAGTTTGAGTCAGGATTGACACAGAAGCATCTGAGGGACAAGGGAAGCCTCATTTAGCTTGTCAGTACCCCAGACAACTCCTAAAGCTACATGTTCTAGGCAAGTTCTCAGTAGACATCAGTAGACGGAGTCTTCCTCACTGGGAATGCCCAACATATATAATATATAATCACAAGTCTGAACCTGCCCAATCAACTGTTTTCTCCTTTTGGTAGAGAAGTGAGGGATCACAGGTATGGAATGTTGCGTGCGCAGTTAGAAACAGTCACCGTATCAGCTGGTTTTAACTATCTTTCTCTGTTAAAAGAAAGGGCTCATTTGGGGAGGAGGGTGGAGGAGGGGCACCTTATGCAGGAAAAATAACAAAAAAAAACAAAAGAGATCCATAAAACTTCTTTTTTTGTTTTTTAAAGAAGGGGAAAGAAGATGGACATGGGCTAGAGTGACCTGAAAGATGGCCTCTACCTTCTTTTAATTCTGAAAGCACAGACTGCTCAATTTGCTACTAAATTATGCGTCATGTATCATTTTGTAGGCATGGGCCTCATCTCCCCAAATAATTAATGGGTAGCTTGAGGGCCAGGTGGTTGAATGGAAAACTTGGATTCAGGAAGACCTCGGTTTGAATCCTCTGATGCTTACTGGCTGTGTGACCTTGGGTAAGTAACTTTGGCTCTCCGAGCCTCAGTTTCCCATCTGTAAAACAGGCAAGGGCTTTACAAATCTTATTCTCTTCCCTTTGTTTCCTTCTCTTCCTCCACCCCTCCCCAGTATCCAAACACAGAAATGGGCAAGACATGTTATATCCACCTTAATAGAATGTAAACCCTTGAAGGGCAGGCACCATTTTTCATTTTGTCATATCTCTCACAAGGCTTAGCGTAGTTCTCTGCATACAGTAGGTACTTAATAAATGTTTGTTGAAGTTTGGGCCTTGGGAGAAGTGAGGAGAAAAAGCACCTCTCTCCCTTCTTGGCAAACATGGAGGCCTAGAGGTGTGGAATACTGTATCTGAAGTCAGACTCATCTGACATGTTATTCTGGCTGATCTGTCTTTATTCCTTCTCTCTTCTTTGTTCCAAGGGATGTCCAGTGGGGAGGGAAAGAGGGAGGGCTTTATCTGGAAATAAAATGATGTAAAAACAAGAGATAACAATAATTTTTAAAATATTTCTTAGCTTGGATTGAGTTTAGTACTTCTACAATTAATCAACAAGCATTTATTAAGCACCTACTGTGTTCCACGCACTGTACTAAGCCCTAGGGATACCAATACAAAGAATGAAACAATCCCTACTCTCAAGAGCTTCTATTCCATCAGGGGAGGCAACATGTATATAATCAACTGATTAATCAGCCAGCATTTATTAAGCACCTACTGTTTGTCAGGCACTGTGCTAAGTGCTTGGGGTACCAAAAAAAAAAAGGAAACATACAAGAATGAACAGAATAAATATGAAATAAATGCAAGGTAGTTAGGCCAGCACTAGGGGAATCAGGGAAGGCTCCAAGGTGGTGCTTGGAGAAAGTGAAGGGGAAGAGGTGAGGAGGAAGAATGCTCCATGCATGGGAAATACGGCCAATGCAAAGGTGGGAGATGGAGCGCCATGTGCTACTAGGGGTGTTACCCCTTTCCTGACTTCTCATACATCCCCAATCTTCCGACCCCTCCTCCAATCTCCTCTACCTCCCCTCTCAGTTCAGAGGGTTCAGGTCCCTACAGCGACTGTAGCTGAGGGAAGTCTGGAGGGGAAGGAATGGGCTCCGTCTCTACTCGGGCCGTGCCAGGGCAGCTGTTCCCCCTCCTGATTCTGCTCCTGCTCACCTGTTTCTCCTCAAAGACCACCATCTCCATGCCCAGTACGGTGTCCGTCTCCTGGTGGCTATACTCTATCTTCAGAGCATCAATGACCGGGAGGTCAGACAGATTCAGGGACAAGAAAGTCAGCTCCAGGAGATCTCTGAAGGACTTCACAGTGAAGCCCCCCTGTTGGGCGTGACTGTGTACCTGGGGCCCCAGCAGCACCTCTGGGGAAAGCTTCATGTGGTGAACCAGGCTGGCAGACGTCACCTGCCCCCGCACCATGGCATCAAAGATACATTTGTAGAGGCTGACCTAGGGAAGGGAGGAGATCGTGAGGGCAAACAGAACCAGAATCAACCAATAAACACCGTTGGGCAATTACTGACCTAAACAGACTCAGGCCAACAATGAAAAACCTGTTTGCCCCTAGACAAATCACTTACCACTTCCATAGTTCCTTAAGTGCTTGCTAAATTAAATTAACATTTTTTGAGCCTCAGTTTCCTATAAAATGGGTATAATAATAAATCCCCTACCTCACAAGGCTGTTGTAGGGAGAGAACTGTCAATCCAATTCAAACAGAGCATTTAAGCACACACTATGCACCTAGCGTTGGGGATACAAAGTCGTTACAAAGTCAAAAGTAGAACAGCCTTCAAGGAGCTAGTCTACTGGGATGATAAAACATGTACACAGCAAAACAGACAAGGAAATACTCCTTAACAGGAATGTAGATGTAAAGCCTATATCTGATGGCTCGCCATCTTGGGGAGGGAGGGGGAGAAAATTTAAAACTCAAAAGCTTATGGAAGTGATGGTTGAAAACGAAAAATAAATTAATTTTAAAAAAAGAGAGACAGAGAAATGGGAGGATGAAGGGGAGCATGGGAAGGAAAGATGGAATTTTCTATGCAAAGTACAGCAGTTGTCTGGAAAAAAGAACGTATGAGGTAGAGGAATGTGAAATAAGAGGTAGCGAGGTGGTGTAGTGGAAAGAGGAAGCCTGGAGTCAAGAAGACCTGAATTCAAATCCAGCCTCAGACAATAGCCACGTGACCCTGGACGAGCCACTTAACCCTATGTGCCTCAGTTTTCTCATTAATAAAACCACTTTCTGTGCCAAGAAAACCCCAAAGGGGGTCACCATGACTGAAACAACTGAACAACAATGCTATGAAATAAATCTGGGAAGGTAGGCTGGAGTCAGACCTTGATGGACTTTAAATACTAAACAGAGGAGTATGTATTTTACTTCAGAGACAGACTAGGGATTCTTCAGCAAGACAGTGACCTATGCTTTCGGAAGATTATTTGGGGAGCAGTGAAGCAGTGGATGAATGTGAGCCATTATCATTACCAAAGACTCTGGACTCTAAAAACCTGTTTTCCCCTCCAGGAGGGTGTCAGGGCGGAATGACCAAAGACAGCTTTGAAAAGGCTCTTTCATCTACCCTTTTCTTTGGGTCCCCATTGCTGCCACCCTAATCTAGGTTATCATTAACCCACTGTGTGCTCAGTACAGTATCTGGCACATAGAAAACCCTTAATGACTCGACCGTTGGATTCCTGCTGGCTTCAGCTGGCTGGCTTCCCTGGCTGGACTAATCCAATAAATGTTTATTGAGCCCTCACACCCTGGCCATCCTCTGGCCTGACACCCTCTAGCTGCCCCATCAGTACTACTGACCGAGCCCTGCAGCTTCGAACCCACTCAGCTCTGGAACTCCCAGCCAAGCACCCACGCTGTCTTGATTGACGAGGGCTTCCCTTGGCCCATGATATCTGTCTGGCCCAAGTCAGCCTTCTCTTTACACCCCAGTCATCTTCTTGCCGTTGGCCCTGCTGAGGTGGGCTTACTAATCCCTGTCTGCTTCCCCTGTCCAGCTCTGGAACAATGACCAAATCAATGTTGCCACTGCTAGTAGAAAGTATGGCTCTGCTTATCATCCCTGTGGCTTTCTAAACTGGAACAACACTCCTCCAGATGTGTGGTTTCCCCCATTAGAGTATAAGCTTCCAGGACAGCTAGGTGGCACAGTGCATAGAGCACTGGCCCTGGAGTCAGGAGGACCTGAGTCCAAATCCAGCCTCAGACACATAACACTCACTAGCTGTGTGACTCTGGGCAAGTCACTTAACCCCATTTGCCTCACCAAAAAAAAAAAAAAAAGAATGCAAGCTTCCTGAGGGCAAGGACTGCTTTCTTACTGGTATCCCCATCAGTATCATTAGAGTTTTCCACAGGCTCTGCAGAAGACCTTACTTTCACCTATCATCTCCCTCAATTACAGGATGAAATCTTGGACAAAAGAGTAAACCTCCCTCTTTGTATCTCCAGCACTCAGCACAGTGTCTGGTACACAGTAAACACTAAATACTTTTTCTTTCATTCACTCCCTCACTCACTCACTCATTCATTCACAGTAAATTTTGTTCCAGACTCTCATTTTCACTATGTTTCTCGGCACAGCTAGGTGGTACCATGGATAGAGAGCACTGGCCTTGGAGTCAGGAGGATCTCAGATATTTACGAGCTGTGTGACCCTGGGCAAGTCACTTAACCCCAATTGCCTCCAAAAACCATTTTCTAGACTTGCTTCTTACCTGCAGTGAAATGTTGGGTTTTGTTTTCTTATGCTTTGCCATTCTCTTGGTCTCCTTGGATTGTTTAACCCATTCATATTCAAGGTTTTGGCAGAGGTTAGTTTTCTTCCACTTCCTTCTCACGTATTGGGTTTTATGTATCATTGGCTGATGGACTGGTTTTCAATCTCCCTTCTTCTGAGGACATTATTTGTCCCCACTGATTTGAACCTATTCTCCCACAGCCTTCATTCTCGCTGAGTTTCAAGAAATGCCCCTTGCTCCTCAGCTCGACTCTGGACTGGGTGGGGGCCCATCACCAACACCAGCCCCATCCTTATCTCCTACCTTCCCACTCCCCAATCCAACTATTCCTCCCACTAGATACAGATCTACATGGGAGAGTCATAAGGTTTAGTCCACCTAAGAGTAATTCAGTTTTTCCTCTTTATCTTCTTCTGATCTCTCTTTGTTCTTCCTTTTAACTTATAGTTCAACAAGCTGTTTAAATAGTCGATAAAGATAAGACAGAAGATTTGGTAATTTAGCCTTTTTTGATAACAGTTCTTATCTGTCTTCCTGTCGTGGTAGAGTTGTTTTGTGATGACCCCATTTGGGGTTTTCTTGGCAAAGACACTGGAGTAGTTTGCTATTCCTTCTCCAGCTCATTTTACAGATGAGGAAACCGAGGCAAACAGGGTTAAGTGACTTGTCCAGGATCACACAGATAGTATGTTTCTGAGGCCAGATTTGAACTCAGGAAGATAAGTCTTACTCCAGGCCAGTCACTTTATTCACTATGGTGCCATCTAGCTACCCATCTGTCTTTCTAGTGTTTGCTTTTTTGGACTGCAAACCAAATATTCCGTTCACTTTAGCGGGTGGGATTTTTTTTTCAAGAATGCTTCAATTATCTCTCTTTTGTTAAACACCCATTTCTTTGTGTTAGTGATTATTTTCAGCTTTGCAGAAGGTATTTTGGTTTGTAGCTTGAGTTCCTTTGCTTTTAGAATTTCTCCATGACTCCAAAATAAACCTGCATGATTCAAATCTGTGTTCCTTTCCAGCTCCCGCTCTTCATCCTGGCTATTTGTAACAGGGGTTGTTTTTGAGTGATGACGAACAAAAAAGCATGTATAAATCCCTTATTACTTACCTGGCACAGTACTGAGAGTTGAAGGTACAAATATAAACAAATAAGATGGTCTTTGCCCTCAAGGAGCTTACATTCTAATGGCAGAAAACCACACTAGAAAGGCAGCTAGAAAGGGAGAAAGGGGAGAACATACTCAATTGGATGGCTTGGCAAAGGCTGAGTACTGACGTGGAGGCTGGGCTCACCTCTCAGAGCCCAGGGTCCCAGGGGCAGAGTCTAGGTTCCAAAGGAGGGAAGGGAAGAGGATGGCCAGAGCACAGGCAACATGGTTGGAAAGTAGCTGGGAAGTGGAACTATGACATTTAACTACTATAAATGGATATTTCATATCTAGATAATATAGGCATCGATTAGATTATATATAGTTAAATACATGTACTATATAAGTATATATCTATAGTGTATAGATATACTTATATAAATATACACACCATATATAATATAGTATATAGTATATATAATTATATTTTCTAACAATTCTATAATATAGTTAAATATATACCATATGTGTATATTGTATATATCATATATAATTATATTAGATATTAATATATCACATACATGTTACATATTATATCATACATATCATATCTATATACTATACATTTAATAATATAGAATATACACATGTATAACTAAATATAACATATGATATAACATGACATGACATGACATGACATGACATGATATATGCGCCTTGGAGTTTCAAGGGTAGAATCTTTCTCTGGTGATGATCTGTGGATCAGTTGATCAATACTTTCTTATCTGCATTCAAAAGTTCTGGGCAGTATTCTTGTAACGTTTCCTACAAAATGGTATTCAGATTTTTTGATCAGTCATATTCTGGGAGCCTTATGACCCTAACTACAGGAATTGAGCTGGCTGAGTCAATCACCAAGCATTTACCCTTAAAGAAGACCCAATAAGGGTCTAATATAGTAGAAATAGATGTGACCTGGGAATCAGGAGGCCTGGGTTCTAATCTCAGCTCTGCTACTAATTTTCTATGTGACTGTAGGCAAGGTGTGTCTTCCTGCTGGGACCTTGGCTTCCTTATCTGGAAAACAAGGGAACTGGACTAGATGAATTCCTTCTAAGCCCCAGGATTCTCAGGTATGGCGGAGTAGAGAAAATGGAGCTGAATGTGAAGTTAGCACACCAGCTAGGTCACTTAACTTCTGCATGAGCTTGGGTAAGTCAGTTCACCTCTGGATCTCAGTTTCCTTTGCAGTGAAAGAAGGTGATTGGATTAGACTCCTTCTAGTTCTGTCTCTATGATCCTATGACCTATATGGACCCCAGTTTTGTCATCTGTAAAATTAGGGGATTGGCAAAAAAAAGACCCTGTGCCTCAGTTTCCTTTTCTGTAAAAGGAGGGGGTCAGATAAGATGGCCTCTGAGGTTCAATCTAGCTCTACATCAAGGATGCTATAATCCCATGTCCCCTGGATCCCTTCCTTCTCTGAATCTACAACTCTAACATCGATGGTTCTGCCATACACACCTGGAAACGGTCCTTCTCCTTCTGAGCCTCCACTGGCATCATGGCTCGTTTGCGAGTTTTCAGCTCAACCAGTTCCAGCTCCCCTTTTGAAGTGTAGTGTAGCTCGTCAATTACCCCAACCAGGAACACCCCTTCTATTTCTCCAAAGACTGGGAACTCCCGGATTGTCCCACCTGTTGGAGAACAGAGGGTGACATCATTCCCAGGCAATCCATTCATTCTCCCCCTGGCTTGGGGCTTCTCTGCTTCCTCACAGTGCTCACAAAGAAAAAAACAAAAACAAAAAACAAAAAAACAGACACAGGGAGGTGTCCTCAGAGCCCAACACCTCTTCATGTAAATAGCATCTCCTCTGTTTCCTTCTAAATGATAGCTTGGAAACATGAGACAAAAGTAGGAAGCATTCCTTGGGGTGGAGGAAAGAATTTTTATAAGTAGCCATCAACTGAGGAATGGTTAAAAAAATCAGAATGGAATGGAACACAGTAGCAGAATGGCAAATATGAAGGATACAGAAAAGCAAAGGGAAGACTTATATGAATTGATACAAACTAAAACAGGGAGAATCAGGAAAGCAACAACTAGGAAAAAAATACTGAAACTGAATGTCATGTAATTATAGTGAGCAGGCTGGCATCTAACAGGAAAAAATGCATCTTCTTCCCTTCTTTGCAGAGGTGGATGGGACTACAGGGGTGGAATGCTACACACACTGTCAGTCTGGGTCAAGGTATTAGTTAGTTTTGCTTGACTGCCTTTTATCCTCCTATTTGTTATTATTTGTTTCATGGGATGGCTTTCAGTGTAGGGAAAGGGGAAGGATATTTCTGGAAATGAAAGTGACATTAACTCCTCCCATCCTACCCCAATCAATACAATTTTAATAAAAAAAGACAAAAGGCAAACAAGGACTTTGGCAGGTATCTTCAATCACAACTAACAGTCCAAAGGATTTAGCATCTTCATTAAGAAACCTGTTCCTCATTATTGGAGAAAATAATGACTAAATTGAGAAAATAATTAAATTGTTTATTCCCTTTGATCAATCTGCCCTAGGAATCACACTCCTGGGTTAATATTCTCAATGAGTTCAACGAGAGAAAGAAAGGACCCATTCATACCAAAATATTCCTAGCAGCACTATTTGTGTGTGTGTGTGTGTGTGTGTATACACATACATATATACACAGACACACACACACATATACATGTATATATATGACCTTCTTCAGAGAAACTTACTGCAAAGATTTTTTCCCAGTTACCTGCTTCTTTTCTCATTTTAGCTGCACTGATTTTATTTGTGCAAAAACTTCTTAATTTTATATCATCAAAATTGTCCATTTCATCTTCTATGATCTTATTTATCTCTTGTTTGATTATACATTCCTTCCCTATTCATAGATGGGAAAGATAATGTCCATTTCTATGTATAACTATAAAACTTCCTGAACTTTGGTACAAAAGCCCAGAACATGAGGCGTCAGTGACATCTTGGGTTTCACATATGTTCCCAACTGGTGTCCACCTTGGCAAATCTGGAGGTAGGGTAGTTGTACCCAACTAAATCAATTCAGCTTCCTTGTTTGTTGGAGCAAGCTAGGTGACACAATGCATAAAGCACGGGGCCTCGAGTCAGGAAGACCTGAGTTCAAATGCAGCCTCAGATACTAATTGTGTGACCCTAGGCAAGTCATTTAACCTCTGTCTACCTCAGCTTCCTCATCTGTAAAATGGGGTTAATAACTGCACCTATCTCCCAGGGTTGTTGTGAGGCTCAACTGAGGTAATATTTGTAAAGGGTTTGGCACACAGTAGACACTATATAAATGTCAGCTACTACTATCGTCATCATCATTATTTTTATTATTATTACTGAAGAGTTTTCCCATACATTTGTTAAGTAAACTTCTTTCCTGTTAAATGTTAGATTCTTCAAGTGTCCAGCTTAGTCCCCAGTTCAAGCCTGATCCACTGGACTGGTCTGAGTCAGGCCTGGCCCAGAACCATGCCCCATGGTTCTAGTCCTCCCTCCTCTGCAAAGAATGGGGGGGAGGGCAGCATCTTATCGCTCTTCTCGGGGGCCAAGATTAGTCATTAAAATGACAAGGCACTCAGTTCCATTTTTTCTCCCTTTCCATTTACAATGTTGCAGTCGTCATGTAAATTTCTTTCCTGGTTCTGCTTACTTTGCTCTGCATCGGTTCACATACATCTTTCTATTTGTTTCTGTCTTTTTTTCTAGCTCATAGAGCTTCAGCAATTGAAACCAATGCAGACCACTCAAGGGAAGGCTGCTGCCCATCCATCTCTTTTTCATCTACAGTGAGAGGGGTCAGATTCGCTGGCCGCTAAGGCCCCTCTTGGCTCTGGATCTGGATTCCTCTACATCCCCTTACCTGACTGCAGGATGGGTACCATAGTCAGAACGTTCAGCAGCTTCACTGCCCAGGCATCTTCCTTAGTGGAGGTGTGGATGTTCACAAGGTCATGGAGCTCCAGCTCTGAAGGGAGAAACACGTTAGTGTTGGGCACTTTCTGTTCCTTCTCACACTCAGAAGAATCCAGAGCTCCAGCCCTTGTCTCAAAGACCTCTCTGTCTCTCTTTATCAGCATAAATGAGTTCCCTAGACTTGAGAATGGGAGAAGGAGCCTCTGAATAAACTTGGGGAAGATGGGGCTGGAGGGGACACAGAAGGTCTCAACAGAAATTCCCCTAGGGTATATGTAGTGCTAGCCAGGGCCCGTCTATTGGGTAGAGGGAGTTAACCCAATTAGGGCCATCCGATGTGCAGGCGGGATGAGAACAGTGATTTTCCAGTTGTATTCTACTCCCTGAGACTCCATTTGGGGTTTTCTTGGCAAAAATACTAGAGTGCTTTGCTATTTCCTCCTCCAGCTCATTTTACAGATGAGGAAACTGAGGCCCACAAGGTAAAGTGACTTGCTCAGGGTCACACAGCTATTAAGTGTCTGAGGCCAGATTTGAACTCAGGAAGATTCCTGACTGCAGGCCCAGCGCTCTATGAACTATGGTGCCACCTAGCTGCCACAGGATGAGAACACACTAGTCTACCTTTTCGAGGGCCCGGAAGACCCTTTGTGTCAGCCTGGCCTTTCACATTTCATATATCAAAGCATCATCACTCAGTTCCGCTGTGAACAGAGATCTCTTTTGCCTGAGATGTACATTGAATGTAGAATAATACTTCATAATCCAAGAAACAAGTGGTTTGAAATTCTGGCCGCTGGGTGGTTCAATGGATAAAATGCACTGGACCTGGAGTCCGAAAGAACTGAGTTCAAATCCAGCCCCAAACACATACTAGCTGTGTGACCCTGGGCAAGTCATGTAACCTCTGCCTCAGTTTCTGCTTCTGTAAAATAGGGATAATGTCAGCACCTTCCTCCCAAGGGGTTCTGAGGGAAAAACTTTAAAGAACCAGATAAATGCTAGTTATATTACATTGTAATTATTTACAGTGTTCAGAAGTCTTAAGGCAGTTTAAAAGCTTAAAACTGCCCTAAGACTTTTGGGACACCTTGTGTAATAAAGCAGAATGTGATAAAGAGTCCTGTGACACGGGTTCAAAGAAGGGATAAATGCCTCTGGCCATTTTCCACCTTCTTAGAGATAAATGGGTGACAAGGGATGTGGACCTTGAAAGTTGTCAGTAGTGATATGGAGACCCCCAAAATGGCAGAGGAGGGGATTCCTGTTAAGCTCTATGATTTCCCGGGTTTAGCCTACCTTACAACAGGCCTGCCCACTCCTCTTGCCTGAGACCTCTGCCCTGACCTATTTCTAGGTCCCTCCATCACCTGGAATATTCCCGAGGCTAACATCTTCCAGCCCCATGCTGTACCTAAGGGAGGCTGCGAGCATCTCCCTGCCTGTGACATCACACATGGGGTAACCAATCAGAAACACCTGACTCCAACTCCCCCACGCCCATAAAGGCCCTGGCCCTCATTGGCATTTCTGAGCTGTTCTGATACTTGAAGGGACCTGGGTGTACCAGCACACAGCCTTGGCGACACACAGGGAGCTCAGAGTGGGCTCAGAGCATGGGCTGTGTGCTGGAGGGAGGGGGCCTCTCCCAGGCCAATCAGTGAACTCCTCCCTCCTCCTGCCATACCAACTCCCGCCCCCTTTTATTGGCCCTGCTCACCCCCCTCCCCTGAGTCCAGTGCTCTCCTGTAATACTAATCTATTGCTTTAAATATCACCAGCCAGTCCATCTTTCCTTTAAAAATCTCTAACTCTCAAAAGCAGCTGCAACGAACTGGGACAAAAGAGGCATCCTGGAACTGTGAAAGGAGCCTGAGGCTCTGGGTTCGAATCTTCCTTCTCATGTCTACTACTTTTGTAACCTTGAGGGAGTGACTCGATCTCCCTGAGCCTCAGTTTCCCCCTCTGTAAAATGAAGGGGCAGGCCAAGACAGCCTCTGAGGTCACTTCCAGCTCTAGGTCTATAACCCCCTCACGTGAGTGGATTGCCAATTTTCAAAGGCCTAGAACATAATACATACAGTAACATCGAAATCTACTGAGCTGTGATGGTTTGGAAGGTAGCTGAGGATCTCCCAAGGCTGGGGTCAGTTTTATAAGCAGCAACCACAGCACTGTGCTGGCTGAAAGAAATGCGAGAAACCCAGATTCCACATCAACAGAAATGAACTGTAAAAAGCGAGATGTTCTTGCAACATGGAAAAGAGGACCTGAGTTCCAGTCCCATCTCTGACTGCTTACTACTTGTGAGACCTTGGACAGTCACTTATAACCTCTTTGGACCCCTGATTCCCATCTGTAGACAGCTAGGGGTAGATAGGGTGTAATAGAAGAAGACTAGCAGTGCCACCCTGGGCAAACCATTTCACCTCTCTGTCTACCTCAGTTTTCTCATCTGTAAAATGGGGATCATAATAGCATCTACCTCATAAGGTCATTGGAAGGACCTGATAGATCTAATTTCTATAAAGGGGTTAAGCCTGACAGCAAGACATAAATACTAGCTTTTGTCATTACTTTTATCGTTATTTGTAAAATTAGAGGGTTGGATTACATGGCCCCTGAGGATCCTTCCAGCTCCAGACCCATGATCCACATTTAGGGCCACACTCAGGGTTTTCCTGGAAGATGGGGGCCGTGGGGCTCGCCCCCACAGGCTTACCTCTCCTCTCTTCCTTACCTCTGGCAAGGTGGGCACTGCTTCCAGCGTCCAGCACAGCAGCCTTCTCTGCCGACTGGAAGCCTGGAAGCTCCTTCCCGTACACCATCTGCTGCTCACACCAGCTCTGCGTGGACAGGTCGGAGACCCACAAGCACCTGAGGTGGAACCTCTCCATTGGCGTCGGGGCATCTGCCTCTTGCTTCCATTTCCATGGCCCCTGTGGGTCCACTTCCTTTCTGGGGTTTCCCAAAGAAGAGCCAAGCTCTTCAATGTCTCTGAAAACAGATAACACTGAGCTTCCAGCCAGAGGTAGCTAGGTGGCACAGTAGATAGAGTGCTGGACCTGGAGTCAGGAAGACCTGAGTTCAAATTTGGACCCAGAAATTTAGCTGTATCACCTTGGGTATGTCACTTAACTTTTATGTGCCTCAGTTTCTTCATCTGTGAAATGGGGCTAATAATAGCGCCTATCTCTCCAAGTTGTTGCGAGAATCAAAGGAGATACTACCCATAAAGTGCTTAGCACACAAGTAGGTGTTTAATAAATGCTTATTCCTTTCCCACACATCCAAGCTTCTTACTCCCACCCCCAGCTTTACAGCATGGTATAACTGAAATATTTAATACTGGACTAAGTCTGGAAAACATGGGTTTCAATCCTGACTCTGACATTTACTAGCTATATTAACATGGACAAACCACTTAACTAAGCCTCAGTTTCCTTTTTTGTAAAATGGTGATAGAAACACTTGCACTATTCACCTCAAGGGATTGTTGTGAGAAAAGCACTTTGTTAAGATACCAGATAAAAGTGAGTGTTGGAAGAGACACTCTACTATTTGTTGACCTCTGACCTGAAAGAGAATGTGAAATCCAAGACCCTCAGTATCCTGGCCCTTAGCGGATAGGGGAGAAGTAAAGGAGGGAGAGGGGATTCTTCCTGGGGAAAGGCTTGGTGTGGGCCTTTACCATATGGGAATGTCTGTATTTTTGTGTGGACCTGACTGGGTGCATGGGTGTCAGCTTGAATGAATGAATGAATGAATGAATGAATGAATGAATGAATACACTGGTCTAGATGAACAAATGACTATACTGGCTTGTATTCAGCACCTCCTTTGTGCTTAACTCTTGCAGGATGATAGGGCACAAAAGAAATGTAATCAATCAATCAATAAGCATTTATTAATTGATTACTATGTGCCATGCACTATGAAAGATGCAGGGCCATAGAAAAAGAGCAACAACAGTGCCTGCCCTCAAGGAGCTTACAGTCTAATGAGGGAGACAAAATGTATACATCAGAATATACAAGACAAATACAGAATAGATGGCAGGAACATTAGAAGAGACAATAATAGCAGCTGAGGGGACCTCTTGAAGGAGGTGATGCTTAAGCTGAATCTTAAAGGAAGCCAGAGATTCTGGAAGGTATAGATTGGGAGAGAGCGCATTCCAGGCACAGGGGACAGCCGCTAAAAAGGGTCAGAGATGGCAGAAGGAGTGTCATGTTTGAGAAACAGTGGTTGGTTAGTAGGGCTGGATTCTGTGGGGAGAGGAGTAAAGTGTAAAAAAAACTGGAAAGGTAGGAAGGGGCCAACTTGTGAAAAACATTAAATGTTCCCTACCATCACCCCCCCCCCAAAAAAGGCTGTACATTTGATCCTGGAGGCAATAGGCAGCCACCGAGTAGAGAAGTGATATGGCCAAACATGCCAGGTGTTAGGAACAACACAACGACAGTTGACTGGAAGATGGATTGGAGTGTCCAGAGATGAGGTATACCTCACAACTATCAGATTTACAAAGACGAAAGAAAAGGAAAATGGAAAATGCTAGAAGGGCTGCGGGCAAACAGGTACGTTACTGGTCTAGACATTCTGGAAAGCAATTTCACTCTACTATACCCCAAAAGTCACTCAACTATGCACATCCTTTGACCCAACCTATACCTTAGAGAAATCAAAGAAAGACAAAAAGGACCCATATGCACAAAACTATTTATAGTGACCCTGTTTTTGTAGTGGCAAAAGAACTGGAAATTTAGGGGGTGCTCATCAATTGGGGGATAGCTGATCAAACTGTAACAATACAATTGTGCCATAAGAAATAATGAAAGGGACTGCTATAGAGAAATCTGGGAAGATCTGTATGAACTGATACAGAGTGAAGTGAGTAGAATCCACAGAACAATTTGGACAATAACAACACTGTAGAGACAAACAGCTTTAGAAGACCTGGGAAATTTGACAAACGCAGTGGCCAACCATGATGCCAGAGGGCCAATGAAGAAACATGCCACCCATCTCTTAATAAAGAGTTGATGGACTCAAGATGAAGAGTGAGATGTATATACTTTTGGACACGGCCAGTGTGGGAATGTGTTTTCCTTGATTACGAATATTTGTGACAAGGGTTTTCCTTTTTTTTTTTAAAAGAGAGAAGGAAAAATAGAAAAAATAAAATAAAGGTTATGTAAAAAGGACTGCAATTGTCTAATAGAAACATGATGAATGATGAGTACATGCTAGGACAATGGCTTTATGACGAGAAGAAGGGATATATGCCAGGGATGCTTCAGAGACATGAGAAGATTTGGTAACTGATTGGCTATATGGCTGACTGACAGAGGAGAGTTGAAGATAGCATTGAGGTTGTGAACTTACATGATTAGAAGGATGGTTGGGCCCTCAACAACATAGGGAAATGTAGAGGAAAGGGACTGTCTCTCAGAATTAGAAGGGATTTCTGAGGCCACCGTCAGTATCCAAGCTCTATTACAACATCCCCAACAAATGGTCATCCAAACTCTATTTGAAGACTTCCAGGGTCAGGGAACTCACTACCTCTTATGGCAGTTTATTTCACTTTTAAACAATTCTCACTGCTGGGAAGTTTTTCAGGTAATGAATCTGAAATCTGACTCTCTGCAGCTTTCACCCAATGTGGCTAGCTCTCTTCTCTAGGCCCAAGCAAATTAATTCTAATCTCTCTTTTCCATGACAGCCCTTCAAATATCTCTAAACAATGGTCACACCTACTTTAGAGGCCCTGAACCTTTTCTGTGTCATGAACATCCCTTCCCACCCTTGGCAGTCTGGGTAAGTCTATGAACTCCTCCTCAGAACTGTTTTTCAAGACATAAAATCAAATACACAGAATGACAAAGGAAACCAATATTATTGAACTTCAGTTACCAAAATGTTTTAAAAACAAGTTCACAGCTGTTTCAGGTTACCAACTCCTGGTCCAGACTTTACAGGATTGCCCTGATCTACCATTTCAGAAAACTAGGTTAGTGGGACATACTCTGTTTGTCGTTGATAAAGCCATGCTAGGTCTTCCTGAGAACAAGTTCTATGTCTTAAGGGCTCAAAAATCTTATACTTTTGTCAAGACTGTCCAAGCCAAATTCACTGGACTATAGTTGGGACAATCTACCTTCCTCTCTATTTTCAAAACTGGGACATCTGCCTATCTCCTATCCTGAAACAACAACTCTTCTATCCTCCACCACTTTTAACTGTTATTGTTTTGTTTTATATTCAAATTAATTTTTAAAATGAAGAACTGCCTTTTCTTCCTCCAACCTCTCCTCTGCCCCCCAAATTGAGAAAGCAAGAAAAACACAACTCCTGTTACAAACATGCAGTCAGGCAAAACAAATTCTCATATTCGCCATGTCCAAAAACTATTTCAATCTGCACTGAGGCCATCAGGAGGTGGGCAGCCTGTTTCATCTTGTGGCTGCTTTTTGTGACAACTGGAGTTCCTAAGTCTTTTAAAGTTGATTGTCTTTACAATGTTGTTCTGGTTCTGCTCACTTCACTTTGCATCAGTTCATACAAGTCTTTCTAAAACCACTCCCCTTGTCATTTCTTATAGCACAAAAGTATGTCATCACAATCATTAACTATAACTAACTAGCCATTCCCCAGTTGATGGACATTGCCTCAATTTCCATTTCTTTGCCACCACAAAAAAAGCTGCTATAAATATTTTTGTATATATGAGTCCTTTTCCTCTATCTTTGAACTTTTGGGGGTATAGGCCTAGTAGAGCCACTACTTAAAAAAAAGTTTTATTAATGCTTTTTTGCTTTCACATCGCATTCATTTCTAAATATTATATTTTTCTGCTTTCTCTCCCCAGGAAGTATTACCTAGGAACAAAGATTAAACACACACCATTTCATTGCAGCTGGAAGGGACCACAAAGATTATTTAGTCCACTCCCATCATTTTACAGATGAGGAAAATGAGGTCAAGAGAAATTAAAGTGACTTGCTTAAGGTCACACAGATAGTACTAAGTAGCAGAATTTCTGTTTTACCCAGAGTCCTCTGACTCCAAATCCAAAAAACCCAGCAAAATCCACCAAAGTATTCATGGTACTTGACCGAGTGGGTAACATTCCACACCCGTAGCTCTCCACCTCTTAAAGAAAAGGAGTCCTCACTACTTTTAAGCTAGTGGTTCAGCATACACATTTTCCAGCTCTTTCAGGAGCCTGGTGACTCGAAGCCACTGAGGGTTAGAGTAAACCCTACTCCCTCACCTCCCATGTGTATGAAGAGAGCAAGAGCAAGAGAGAAGGAGGAGGAGAAAGAAGGGAGGAGAGACTAGGACAGACAATGCAAAGAAAGAGAGACAGACAGACAGACAAAAGGAGAAACCGACAGACAGGGATGGGGGACACAGATAAAGAGAGAGAGACCGAGAAGGAAAAAAAGACAATGAGACAAAGGACAAAGAAAAACTGAGAAAGAGGAGACAAAGACAGAGATATGAGGGGGAGAGAGAGAGAAAGAGAGACAGAGAGATATGGGGGCGGGGAGAGGAGAGCGAGCAAGAGTGAGAGCGAGAGGGAGAGAGACAGAGACAGAGTGAGACAAAGAGGGAGAGAGAGAGAGAGGAAGGGAGAGAGGGAGGAAGGGAGGAAGAGAGAAAAAGAGAGAGGGAGAGAGCGATCACCGCATCCATGTCTATGCCTCTCTCTGGTCTTAGCGTGACTCTCGCCCTTCTCCCTCTCCCCACGTAGCGCACACATCCTGCGTCCCCGGGCTTTAGACGCCAGTTGGCAGAGGGTTCGCTCCCTCCAGGTGAGGGCTGCGCTCATCAATCCGGGCCCCCGGGGGTTTTAGGCCACGATCCCTGACCTCTTTCCTCCCCCCGCTGCAGCCAGATCACTTCTCACCCTAGCTCCGAAAAGTCCGGGAACTCCGAGTCGCTCAAATCCTCAAAACCCGCGTTCTCGGCTGCACCGGACTCCTGACCAGTCCCGGCCATGACCCAGCCCCGAGTTGCGGAAGGGGCCGGTTCTAGAGCACAGTTCCCGCCCCTTAGTCCTCCTGCCTCCTCTGTGCAGCCCCTCCTCCTGCATCATCCATCCCCTCCCATCCCTCCTCTTAAGATACTATGTAAATGTCGGCTAGGATTTGTCGAGCCCCCTTGCACGACACCTCTGTACCATCTCTCACCTCCGTAGCTAACTTTCCCCGGTACCCCACTGCATCCCATCTGCCTGCTCCTCCTCTTTCCCTCTACCCTTCCACATCCCTCCAGAGCTTACTCCTTCAGCTCTGTTTTGCCTCATAGGCCCTTCCCACCTGTCCATAGGCTAGGACTTCAGCTCCAAGGGGAGGCTCCTTGAGATATTTAGTGACCAAGAGCAGAGAAGGCTCTTGCCTCTGGCCCCCACTAAGGAAAACTGAAGGATCTCAGCTTCCCAACTCCAACATTCTCCTGAAATTCCTCCCCCAACCCCTGCTGTCAATTCATAGAATGTCAGAACTGGAAGGCGGACCTTATAAACCACTTCTGGCATCCAAACCCTCTCATTTTACAGAGGAGGAAACTGAGGGCCAGGGCTTGTGGCTTTCCCCAATGCCCCCGAGCCACTCAGGAACCTTGGGCAAGTTGCTTCATGCACGTCTTGGCCAAGTCCTGGTACTGCAGTGCTATGTGCCCACGTGGGATTCAGAGTTTGCCCTTTCCTCCCTCCATCCATTGGAAAAGACCTTTACAAGGTTGTAATATATGTGAGTGAAAACAAAAGAGCTGTAAAACTGACCACAGAATGATCCCATTACCTTGGGTAAGTCAATTAAGCCCCTTGACCTTCACCTTCTTCCTCTGTAAAATGGGGGTTGGGGGGAGTGGGAGGATTGACTAGGTGACCTCTGAGGTCTCTTCATGCTTTAGGTCTATGATAGCTGGCACTCAATACAAATTTGAGATACAGAAAAAAATTTAATTTTAAAAATAAAATAAAAACTCCAAAATAAAAAAAAAAACCACAAGGGTCATGCCTTCCTGATCTTGGGCCTGGAGGATTATCTTGGCATAGGAAAGATATTAAGTACCCTGGGAAAATTTGTGATCCTCCCCAGGTGGACAAAGAAAGCCTTATTTACTTACTCCCAAATGTTCTTGGGTAAATCACTTAACTTCTCCCATCCCCAGTTTCCTCACCTGTAAAAATGGAATGATGGATGGTCTCTCAGTTCCCTTCCAACTCAAGATCACTGAATCTATATATAAGGCACCATTCTAGGTCTCAGGGGATACCAAGACTAATATGAAACAGTCCTTGCCCTCAAGGAGCTTACATTCCAGGAAAAAGTATTCAGTAGACATTCTTCTACTTGAATGAATCTGGAGTCCAATCAGTGAGCATGCTTCTTTCTTCCCCATGGTGCAGCTCACAGCCCATGCACACCTTCTCATCTTGTGACATTCTTCCCCTTATCTTCCAGTAAATCTCCTAGAGAAGACCTATCCAACATATTGGAGAGCTCCTGTGAAGGCTCCCACCTACAGAAATATGGATGGTACAGAGAAGTTTGAGAACATAAGGAACTGAATCCCAGATACTTGTGTGTTTGCCTGACTTACCCAAGGCAACCCAAATAATAAAAAGCCGAGCCAAGATAATAATGTGGAAGCACGCCCTGAAGGCCTTTTCTTAAAAGGAAAAACTGAGAAATAAGACTATTTCAGTCTAAAGTCCTTTTAGATTCACGTGATTGAAGCAGCCTTATCAGTACTTAAAGAGGGGCAATAGCCTGCCTGGAAATTCTCTGGGTTCATCCTTAATGAAGACCTGCCCAGTTTCTAAAGGGAAATCTAATCCAAGGTCAGGGAAGAACCCGGACTTCCTGAAAATAGATTTCCCCAGGGCCTGGAATTCTCCTCCTCATCTCTCCCTCAGATCTCAAGTCCCACCTGATGCAAGAAGTCTTTCCTAGTCCTCTTTAATCTGAGTGCCTTCCCCTCAATTTACTGGGCATATATCTAGTTTATACAGAGTTGTTCACATGTGCTCTCCCCCATTAGACTGGGAGCTCCATGAGGGCAGGGACTGTCTTTTGCTTCTCTGTGTATCCCCAGTTCTTAGCACAGTGCCGGGCACCCAGTTGGCGCTTAATAAATAATACTTGTTGATTGACTGACTGATGAGAATAGGAGCATAAATATTCTTTGATATATCCAATCAACAAAAATTCCTCTTTCTCTAGTCTCACATGGTTTAAATGATTTGAGGAAAATTATTCTCTCAACATTTTAAGTTATTTGTGTTTCATTTAAGCAAATTAAAAAACAAACTGAACTTTGTATCTTTGTTTTATCTCTTTGGGAAATTTTGCCTTTTTTCATTCTTATTATAAAAATGGAAGTCAAAATGTATTGGAAAGAGACATTTTAAATAAATGAGAGACAGGGAAGACAGGAACTCTATGCATTTGGATCTGTCTGTATCTCTACCCTTATTTCCCTCAACTCCCTTCTCTATCTTTGTCTCTTCTCTTTCTCACACACCCCCCTCCCTTCCTCTCTCTCTTCCTCCTCCCTCTGTATCTCTCTCTCCTTCCCCTCTCCCTCTTCTGTGTCTCTCCCTTTCATCTCTGTGTCTCTCTATCCCTCTCTCCTTCCCTCCCTCTCTCTTTCTGTCTCTCTTGCCTATGTCTCTTTCTCTTTGTCTGTTTTTCCTATCTTTCTCTCTCTCTTTTTCTTCCTGTCTGTCTCCCTCTCTTTGTCTCTCCCTCTTTCCATTCCTCTCTCTGTCTCTCCTCTCTTCTCCACCCCTCCCCCACCTCTTTTACAATGGACTAAATACAACCAGGAAAACAGCAAGACTTTATGCTTCAGCTCCATATCCCATCCAGCAGTCCAACCAGGCCATTTCATCTCCTCCTCCCTACCTCCTGCAGCATCCTCCACATCAGACCTGGTACCTGGATGTATACACTAAGTGTTCCAGAATCTAGGCCCCAGATCCTGGGGAAGTCAGTCAGTCAGTCAATCGGTGACTATGGATACTCATTTTGGGAGCTCCCAACCCAACTGTATGACAGTAAACTTAGCCCACTCTATCTACTGGCTGACTCTAGCCATCAGACCATGCTTCAGCCATCCACTCAGGTCATCTCGTAAAATCAGAACCTTGGCTCCAAAGAAGAGACAGGATCTTCTTCGAAGAGAGGAGGTACTGGGTTGAATGTAGAACACTGCATCTTAGGTCAAACTTTGTCTATACCTTGGTTAGTTTTACTGAACTGGTTTTTTTTCCCCTAAAAAAAAAAAGCCTTATCAGGACTCTGGGAAGGTTAGAGAAGGGGAATACATTGGGAAACGTAGGTGATGTAAAAACAGAAGATTTCCATAATAGCCACTCAAAAAATGACAATATAAAGATAGTACGGTTTCTGCACTAAGACTCTTGAGACATCCTCCAGTTTTGTACAGCTAAGACTTTCCCTATGACTTTGATCTCATTTCTCACCTGGCTGCACCACTCCACCAGGCCCCTGGAACCTCAATATTGGGATCACCTCATCATCCTGTAAGATCTCATGGAGCTTTCTAAGTACTTCACCTCATCACTGACTGGAGGGTAGGGTCATGAACTCCAAACTTTTTTTTTTTAAGGCAATAGGCATTAAGTGACTTGCCTAGGGTCACACAGTTAGTAAGTGTCTAAGACCGAATTTGAATTCAGGTCCTCCTAACTCCAAGGTGGCGCAACACCAGATATCGCATTTCTCACCTGGCTGTACTATTTTGGGACTTCTATGACTTTTTTACCATCTGGCACATTCTCCTCCTCCCCTTTTCAGTTGTGTATTGTCTTCCCCCATTAGATAGATGGTAAGCTCCTTGAGGGCAAGGACTGTCCTTTTCCTTTGTATTAGTATTCCCATCATTTAGCACAGTGCCTGCACACAGTAGGCACTTAATACATGTTTATTGATTGATTGGGAAATGTCTAGTAGTGGTATCACTGGTTCCAAGGGCACCTACAATTCGATGAATTCTTCTTTACATGATTCCGAATTATTTTACTGTTCCCAGCTCCACCGACAATGGAGTACTGCAGAGTCCTGTAACATTCATGCCAGTGCCTGGCACACAGTAGGATGTCTCCGCCTTCCTGGTTGGCTGGTGACTTTTGCTTTTCAGGATTTTATTAACTATACTGTTCATTATTAATTAATTAATTAACTATACGGTATCCTCTTTGGGAGCTTTAGACACAAAACTCCCAGAGGGTAGCAGCAATATGTAAACCAGGGGTTCTTGACTTTTTGGGGGGGTCCTGGACTCCTTGGTCAATCAGAGGAATATTTTTAAATGCATTAAATAAAATACAAAGGATTACAAAGGGGACCTATTATCTTCAAATGCAGTTGTCAAAATATTTTTTAAAAGCACTATGAATAATCCCTAACGTTACGGAAATGCTGCCAAAAGAGAGCCTCGGTCTGGGAGAAACAGGTCAAAGCAGAAGAGCCCCGCCCACAGGGCGGGTCAGGGAGGGGGGAAAAGGAAACGCCCCGCCCTCGATCCACCACGGCGCCTGCGGTCCCACGGCGGGTCACGTGTACGGAGAGGGCTGCTGAGGCTGAGGGGGCGGAGCCCGGGGAGGGCGGGGGTGCGGGGGGAGGGGGAAAGTGATAACCTCCCGTGATGCCCCGCGCCGGGAAGGGGCCGGAACTCCGGGGCGGGCGGCTTGTTGACAACATGGCGGCTGCGGTGGCGGCTGTGGCGGCCGCCCGAGCCGTGGGAGGCGCCGGTGGCGCCGGCGGCGCCGGGAGGAAGGAGCCTCTCTCGGGTTAGTTGGGCAGGCCGCTGCGGGAGCCGCCGGCGCTCGCTCCGGCGGGGGGACCGGTCACTGAATGAGGGGAGCCGGGGCTACCCCGCGCGAGTCCCCCCGCGCCCTCCGCCCCGACCCGGGCCCCGCCATGGCCTTCTTCCGGCGGAAAGGTAGGCGACGGGGCCGGGGCGGGGAGCGGGGCCGGACTCC